TTTGTGTGGTAAATACCAAATAAATTTTACCATGATATTGAGGTGCTATGCATGGTTTTAACTGTCCATCATGATCTTAATGAATGATACTATGGAATACCAATGGTTATTTTTAATAAAACTCAAAATCTTATAAAATTTAGGTTGTTCCAATTTCAACAGAAGTTACTGTTTTTGTTAATGAACAAATTTGCATTTGTTCAAAAACTCAAGCTATTTCTCGTGCCAACTCAAGCTACAGTCAAATATGCATTTCTCAGAGACAAAACATGTAATATTAATATTGCAGCCTGCACTGCAAACTGTGCTGAAGATATGTGCAACACAGATCCAAGTCAGGCAACACAAACCGGGTTTCATGATTTGAAACAATATCACCCATTAAAACGTGCCGAAATAAATGTTTCTATTAAGAAATGTATTTTGTTGAGGAAAAAAGACTGGAAATGTGTAAAGAATTAAAAAAACGTTAAATGTTTGTCATGTTCTGACAATAAAAAGTACACCACAATCAACAGCCTGGTCATGAAAGTGCAGACTCATATGAAGACCGCAAGTGTTTAGGGTGCCATTTCAGACATATTTATAAAAGGAAATATTACAATTAAATTATTTGACTGAATTTTTTTGTTGTTGTAATTTTGGCCAGTGCTTTCACTACACAACGATCATACCTCCTGGATCTGGCATAGCCGGCCTCCTGCCTGTGTCCTCTCCCTCTCCTCTCACGTTCACTGCTGGAGGAGAATGTCGGTGAGCGCCGATGCCGAGGTTTTCTCCCTCGCTCTCGGTCTCTGTCCCGATAACGATCTTGGTAGCTGCTGTGGCTGGCCCTTTCCGAGGACGGGTACCGTCTGGAGTGCGGCATCTGCTCGAGATATAACATAAAATTTATTAAGATAAACAAGAAAATAAAATGAAAGTGCTTCACTAATCTTGTGGCTTTTGGGAGTCAAATGACTGTCCATATGTAGGCAGATTAGAGAGGCAGGTCCAGAATAGGTGTCAGAAAAGACAAAAAATTATTTAAACAAGAAGAAGGCTGATTTTAATTTTTATTTAATTGATAAAACATTGCCACTTTATTCTCTTTTGTATGGTTGTTGACACACATGTTTGTTACTGTCGTACAGTATGAACACTAATACCAATAAGATCAGCATGGAAAACACACAAAAATATATACATTTAAATATTATACATCAAGGATAACATATAGGCCTGGACGTTTTTTATATGTATCCTGGTATATATTGCATAAAACATATTAAGGAACAAATCATATGAGGCTTTAGAAAATTAATTTTGCCTAAATTTATTCAAAAAGCATTTATAATCTGGAAAAAGTAAACTGACGTTTAAAATACGTTAACGTTACATTCTTAGAGAAATTTTGCCCCAAAACTATATCAAGAGCCAGTTATTCGAGCCAATTTCTATATTTAGCAAAGAAACGGCAGACCAAGCTATAAGAAACCACATATAAGGAAAATACTCGATGTGATCAGATGTTTATAATGCATTATTACAAGAAAAAACAACACATGTGCAGCAACGTAAAGCTGGATCAGCTAACCAACTAACGTTAGCTAAAGTAATTTTAATTACCATTTAATTTTGTAGCATAACGGAAAGGAACTCAATTATTAATCGTCTCTAATGTTAAACTAAATTCTTGATGTAAGGACGATACATGACATGGTGTCGTAACTTTTGAAAACGGAAGATAACTATATATATATATTAGCTGACTAGCTTCTTTACGCGTCGACGGCCATTTTGAGATCTTCTAATCTTCAACTGGCCATTTCTCAAATGCTCGTTCTTGTTCTTTTCGGCTGAGATAGGGGCAAATAGTGGCAGACAGTAAAATTATGTTTTGTACTCACCGTTTTAGCAGCCAGCCCTGTGCGTTTATCCCAAAGAAAATCCGTGTTGACGCTTTGGCAAAATTTTCTCACTCAAGAAGACCAAATAAACAGTGTAGAAAAAACACTACTTCCGGTCCCTCCTCTAATAGCTTGTTGTTCTCTTTCATCATCTCGTGTTCGAGATCCACCTATGGGAAGGGCATCCGTACCTGACCTCTGCAGAAGCATCCAATTGCACCAAGTCTGGCTAGACAGACAGAAGCGCGCGGCCAGTGCCCGATGAGGCCACACCCCTCACCCACGGGCATATAACATCTGGGCGCGCTGCTATTCCTCAGTTGACATTCGCTTCTCGCGACCTCTGCACTGACACAGTTCGGTTGGATTAACGTTACGCTGTCCACTTTCGAGTCTACAGGAGGACATATCGCCAGATCAGCCTCCGCCAGACGTGAGTGACAGTCGTTTTTCTTCAGCCTATCCGCTGTGTTTTTTGCATCCGGAGCCGCCGAGCTCTCACTGTCCTTCACCTGCTCCTCCTTACATGGCTGCCCGCCACGTATTTTCCGAGTTCTTCACCGCTGGCCCACCCATGGCTATGTGACCGTCTAAACAGCCGCTTCCCCTGGGGAACAGTCCATCACGACGAGCCTGCCCGGCCGCGTGTGGTGCTCTCATCGCCGCTAAGGACCCTCTCGTTCTGCGCGGTCCGCTTGGGCTTAGCACGCTCAAGAAGCTTTGGAGAACCCGGAGAATTGCGGTCATTGTAATTGCTGCCCATGTAGCTTTTTACAAAGCCGGCTTTAGTTGCACTATCCAGCGCACCGTGCTTGGCATTTCTTACTCGGATGGGGGACACGGTGATGATGACGCGCTACCGGGGACTCCCGGAGCGCCACAGATAAAATATTTGAGCGGTATTCAGCCCAATCCGCATTCCCTGAAGAGGACATCTTCGCGGGAAAACCTCACTCTCGTTGACGAACCGGTACGGTTCCGGCGACGAGGATGACGCGGTCTTTCTAACGTTACCCTAAGCTAGCGCTCACGCGGTTTTGCCTCAGTCGATCCTCCTGGAAGTTTGTGAGCGAGCGGCCGTTCGTCTCAACATTGTGTGGCCAGCTCCATAGAGCGCCACCGACCAGGATAGGAATATTTACGACGGGTAAACGCGGGTACCACCGCCCAGCCTGAGGAAACAACTCTTCAACGTTTTTTCCAGTGTTCGCGAAGCTCTCAAGCGCGCCTAGAGCCTCCCGCTAGACTGTTAACACTGTCTCACGGGCCTTGATGAGTAGGAAGGCGGCCCTGAACGCTAGCAGCCCGCCTGCTGTTCCACCATGGGAGCCTCCAGCCCGCGTTCACGGGCCACGAGCCCTCCGTATTCTCCCGGTCCCGGAACCCTTGTCCGAAAGACACGGGGTCTCCCTCGGACGGTCGGGTAATCCCGTCCCGTGGCTACCAAGCCACAGGGGGGCTGTTGTGAGGGAAAGTACATAAGCAGTGTTACCACACCGCACACACTTGGTTCCCTCACCCAGTTATTAAAGGCTTGCCCCAGTGTTTCCCAACACAAAACACAAACTATTATTAAACGAATCAAATGAATTCGTGCAGATTTTTATATCTGTGTCAACATAGAGAGCAAATCTCTCTGATCCCTTGCATGTCGCCCCGAGTCTACCCTCAAGATGGCGCCATTGCCTCACAAATCAACCAGCTGGGCTCGCACAGCTCAGTTGCGGCTGCAAGCCATGTGTTTCTAGTGCACGTTGTGTGTGTGTGGAAGGCTTTGGTCATTGTGTTTCCCAACACATAACTAAATACACGTTTAAACAAACTATTCTTATATATCCTTAAAAATGGATAGTATTTTCTGCCTGCACTTGAGACTGCCCAGTTCATGTGTTCAGGAGATGTGTGTTTTCCCCCCCAATTTCAAGGGGCTCCTTGTGGGTAAAGTTTAGCACAGTGTACACCACACTATGTTTGCCCAGTTCACGCAGTGTTTGCCCAACACAAAACACACAAACACAAATAATAACGAATCTAACAAATTCGTTTCGGAGGAAAAACCTCTTTCCGCAGAGAGAACCTTCTCACTGCAGAGAGAGGAAACCCCTCCGAACCCCCGCATGTCGCCTCTAGTGTGCCCACGAGATGGCGCAATTGCATCACAAATAATTCTGTTGGTCTCAAGACACAGCTCTGCTCTGTCCCGAGCGGGGACACTCGCGAGTCACGAAGCGGCTTGGCTAACCGTTTCGGCTCCCGAGTGGGTTATGCGTACAATAATGCAGGGTTACAGATTGCAATTCGCAGTAAAACCCTCTCATTTCAACGGCATTCTCTTTTCTCACACGGAAGAGAAAGCTTCTCACATTCTGGAAGAGGAAAATTCATCTCTCTTAAACAAGGGAGCGATTCAGGTGGTACCCCCCAATCTGATGAACCAGGGTTTTTATTCCCGGTATTTTCTGGTTCCAAAGAAAGGCGGCTCTCTCCGCCCTATCTTGGACCTTCGAGTGTTGAACAAACATTTGAGGAAATACACCTTCAGAATGCTGACACAGGGCGCTCTCGCCCGTGCCATAAAACAGAACGACTGGTTCACATCAGTCGATCTGAAAGATGCTTTCTTTCACATAAGCATTTATCCTCCGCACAGGAATTTTCTTCGTTTTGCCTACCAGGGCATATGTTGCGAATTCACAGTTCTTCTGTTTGGACTCAGTTTGAGTCCCCGGTCTTTCTGTCTGTGCGCGGAGGCGGGCTTAACGCCTCTGAGAATAACAGGTCTGAGAATCCTGACTTACATAGACGATTGGCTCATCATAGCCGAATCGAAGGAGAAGGTGTTGCAGGACACCGGCCGTGTGCTCGCGCACATCACATCGCTCGGGTTCCAAGTGAACGTGGGCAAGAGCTATCTCACGCCCAGTCAGAATGTCAATTTCCTGGGTTTGGAGTTGAACTCGGTTGCCATGCGAGCGCGTCTCTCTCTAGAGCGCGTTCGCTCTCTATGAGCTGTCTGTCACAGTTCAGAGAAGGGGCGAAAGTGCAATATCGCACATGTCTCAGGATGCAGGGTCTCATGGCTTCATCCACCCAAGTTGTGCCATTAGGACTCCTTAAGATGAGGGCGTTCATGAAATGGGTTTTGTCGCTACATTTCAGCCCGATTCGCGACCTTTGCCGCTCGGTTACAGTGACGCGCGCGCGTGCACTGCAGCCCTGCGCCATTGGAAGAACGCAGACTTTTACGCACGGGGAACCCCTCTCGGGGCGGTTACGATGCGGAAAGTGGTGACGACAGATGCATCCTTAACAGGCTGGGGTGCCACCCAGGAGGGCAAAACGGTGAACGGTCTGTGGCCAAACAGACTACGTTCAGCACATATAAATTATTTAGAGCTTTTTTTTACCAATTGTAAAGCTCTGAATCATTTTCTGCCTCGCCTGCAGGGACATCATGTGCTGGTACGGTGCGACAATACCACGGCTGTGGCATATATCAACCGTCAGGACAGCTTGCGCTCGTCGAAACTTCACCTCCTAGCTCACAAGCTCTTGGTGTGGAGCAGACGGGTTTTCTTGTCGCTACGCGCGACTCACGTCCCAGGCATTCTGAACGTCGGCGCATCTGCTGTCAAGGGGAAACCCAATCTACGGGATTGGCGTCTTCATCCGCAGATAGTGGAAATGCTATGGATGAGATTTGGACGGGCGAGCGTAGATCTATTCGCCTCGCGCGGAAACTGCCATTGTCCTATGTTCTTCTCTCTAAGGGACGTGGACGCGCCCCTCGGGGTAGACGCACTGGCCCACCCATGGCCTAGAGTGCTCCTGTATGCTTTTCCTCCCCTGTGCCTGATATTCCCACATTGGCCAGGGTGAGAGAGCAGGGCCTGTCTCTCATTCTGATAGCACCCAGATGGCCCAAAGCACCGTGGCTGGCGGAGATAATCCCTCTGTTATACGCCGAGCCATTGTGCCTTCCCGTTCGCACGGATCTATTATCCCAAGCCAACGGTGAGATTTACCACCCCCAGCCGGACAGGTTGGCTCTCTGGGCCTGGCCCGTGAGAGGACGAACCTGAACGCACTTGGGCTTTCGCCGCGTGTGGTCACCACTATTCAGAATGCCAGGGCCGTCTCTACACGGCCCGTATATGGCTGTAAGTGGCAAGTGTTCGAGGGGTGGTGCGATGGGCGCGGTTTCACATCTTATCAGTGTTCAGTTCCTGATATTTTGTGTTTCCTTCAAGACCTCATGGATAAAGGCAGGTCCTTTTCCACCATTAAGGTCCACTTGGCTGCTATTTCAGCCTGTCATGTGGGTTTTGAGGGCTCGACCGTCGGTCAGCACCCTCTAATCCGTAGATTTATGAAGGGTGCACGCCGCTCTTTGCCAGTCGTCAGGAGAACTGTCCCGGAGTGGGACCTCTCCATGGTGCTGGAAGCTCTGTCTCAACACCCTTTTGAGCCTTTGGATAGTATATCCCTTAAGCTGCTGTCTCTCAAGACAGCTTTGCTTTTGGCCTTGGCATCTGCTAAACGTGTCAGTTAGCTACATGCACTCTCGGTTCATCCTTCGTGCTCTAGTTCTCTCTTAGTGGAGATAAGGTCTTCCTTAAGCCTAACCCGGCCTTCATGCCGAAGTGCTTCCCTGCGTTCACTTCGGAGGTGTTGGAGCTGTCCGCTTTTCACCCTCCACCCTTTTACCTCTCTAGAGGATCAGAGGCTGAACGCTCTGTGTCCAGTCCGTGCCTTACAGGCATATATGACCAGGACGAATGCTTTCCGGAAGAGCGACCAGCTCTTTGTTTCATGGGCTCCCCCTCACTTAGGGAGTCCAATTTCGAAGCAACGCCTCTCACATTGGGTTGTGGATGCTATTACCATGGCTTACAAAGCAAAGAGAGTGCAGCCCCCTAGGGGCATCAGAGCTCATTCCACAAGAGGTTTAGCCACCTCTTGGGCTCTGTTTAGGGGAGTGTCACTGCAGGACATCTGCTCCGCTGCCAGTTGGGCTTCTCCTCATACCTTCGTGCGCTACTACCGGCTGGATGTCACCAGTACCTCGGTAGCACATTCGGTTCTAGGGGTCGGGTCGTCTTAGCCCCTCCCTGCTGTAACCCTGTTGGTATATATATATACCATTAAGAGTGAATGGGCTGACTGGCCATGTTCATTCCTGTCACCTATCATTTCTTCCCCTTTCGGGTATAGATTATGTCTTGGTGGGTTGGGGTTACTATCTCGCATGTGTCCCATGCGTATTTCATGTCCTGCTTGTCCACATTAGTTAGGTGTGGTTTCACCATCGCAGGCTCATGATTAAGGGACGTGTCAGGCACCGCCTCCCTGAGGTGACCGTCCTTCTCTGGCTTCAGAACCTCACTGTGAGTGTATTGGGCAATCGGGGAGCTGTCCATGTCTCTCCCATAGGTGGATCTCGAACACGAGATGATGAAAGAGAACAATAGGTTACTGTCGTAACCCCGGTTCTCTGAAACATCGAGTGGAGAGATCCACCAGCTTTGCCCCGCTTGCCGCACGAGAAGCGAATATACTTACTGAGGAATAGCAGCGCGCCCAGATGTTATATGCCCGTGGGTGAGGGGTGTGGCCTCATCGGGCACTGGCCGCGCGCTTCTGTCTGTCTAGCCAGACTTGGTGCAATTGGATGCTTCTGCAGAGGTCAGGTACGGATGCCCTTCCCATAGGTGGATCTCTCCACTCGATGTTTCAGAGAACCGGGGTTACGACAGTAACCTATTGTTTATATCACGCGCGCGGGACATTTGTACATTCAATGTGAACAGTGCGCTATTTATTCTATAATGATAACCCTCAAAAAATGTTACCCAAAGTTTATTTACCCAAACATTTACTATAGCCACAAGTGTCTTCACAAAAAGAAAACAATATATAAAAAGTTAAGAAGTTTAGTGTATTTGAAGGAGACAAAATTATGATTTTTACAGTAGTAATTTTGGATTATACTATGCTAAGCATAGTTACTATAATAGCCACTAGTGTCTTTAAAAAAATACACACACACACAGAAGGAATCTGTGTGGAGTAACACAGTAGTCAACTTTTTTTTTTTATAAATAGCAAGTTATCTTAAAGGTTTACCAAATACATTTACATTAGAATTGCTTCTTTTATTGGTATTGTTCATATGCAGCTTTATTTTCCAAACATACTTGCATATTTGACTGAAAAACAAAAAAATAAAAACATAGAAGACAAATCTTACAATTAAGTCGTTTTTGATACTTGCAAATTTTATTTACACACAGATACATGACTATTCACATTTTTTTTTTTGTAGAGGTTAAAAACAATAAAAAAAACACACTTTAATATATTGTATTATACTTTTCATATTCAATGGGTCACATTTATGGAATGCTCTTCCAGAACAGTGACCAACATTTCTGACATGTTGAAAGCTTCAGTGTTTTATGTTGCAAGGGGCAGATCAGAGCAGTCTTCCAGTGCACCGCAATGAGCCACAGCAGCAGAGCAGAACCTTCCCCTCCACACTGCCCACCTCATAGTTATAATCCCACGTCATCTCCGTACCTGCCTTGATGCGCCTGATAACGACAAAAGAAAGGAAAAACCACACACAAACACATTAAGAATCTTGTCAGGCAATTAAAATATGGCTAAGGGGCTGTTCACACAGAAAGTGTTTTCCCATTCCACTGCTTTACTTTTTCCTAGTTTACTAATGCGTTGCGCACGTGTCTTGTGTCTTTTGCACAGAATACATTTTTCCACTCCACTGTGCTGTCACGTTGCTAAATGTTTACATGAAAAACAATGGAAACCTATTCCATTTTTTTTTTTATGTAAACATTTTGCAACTCGACAGTGTTCTAAAGTTCTCAGTGTTTTTATGTTCCACTTCCATACATCTGGTGTTTTTAACTCCAAAAATGTACTCCGTATGAATGGCCCCAGACAGAGTCCTTCACAGGTCCTGTTTGGTAAACCCGAAGTACTTAACAGAACAGCTGAGTCATTATCCGACAGCAGCACTAATTTAATTCTGTACCTGACCCATATTAAATAAAGACTGTGACCCGAACCTGCATTAAATCTAATACATTGTGAGAAGAACCAATATTATCCATTCTAAGTTCATGCATTTATGAAAAAAGACACGCAGCCCAACATGGTGATAAAAGAAAAAGATTAAAATGTGTATCAATCATGTAAAAAAAAAACAAAAAAAAAAAAAACTTATGCCTACATAATGTGAACAATCTGCCCATACAGGCTATTTTCAACAAAATAATGTGCATAAATCCCACCATAGGCTATATAGACGCTTAGAGGTCTCCATAAATTAAAAGAACATATTGCCAAATATGAGCTATTACTGTCATTTATTATCGCAATATTTTGGATTCACTCTGCATTTAAATGCGGTTGTTTCTCCTGAAACTGAAAGATAACACTTTTATTCAAATTGCGAAAAGAACTCTTAATGACTGAAGCTGTCAATCATGCAAACGCTGTACTGATTGCAGCAAATATGCTATTATACTCCATATAACTCCATGTAAAAGCCAGAAACTAAGCTTTTTTTTTTTTTTGCACAGGCCTGTCTAAAGGGTTAATGGTTCCACCTGGTTATGAACAGTAAAAATGACAAATTTTACCTCTTCCCAACAGGGAAAACCATCAACAATCAAAAATGCATGATTTTATGGTGTCATGGCTTTACAATCAAAAAATGTGGTTATAATGGAAGTCAATGGGGCAAAAACAGCCACGAACAGTAAATGAGGGAGAAAAAGTTAAAATCTGATGCTGCACAAAAACTAACAATGCATCAAAACCAATGTTGTTTCTAATCTTTGACATGTCCAAGACTGTGATAAAAGGTAAAAAAAAAAATCCAGTCCACAATCATATTTTATATTGAAAATAAGTCATTTTGTGTGTTTTTTCCTCCCAAATCAGTGACATCATTTATGAATTTGGCAATTAAAGAGTTAAAATCCTGAATTTTTTTTTAAACATTTAGTAGTTTTGATCAGGACTGAGGTCGGTTAATAGATTTATGCAAAAAAAATTTGAAGAAGTAGTGGCTTTTTTCAGCCACAAACATAACGAAAGGGTAGTGAATTTGCCCAAAGTGTACTGTTGAGTTTTTGAAAAATTTCAAAGCATTTTCCCAAAATATGTGTCAAAACAAGATTTGTCACCAAAAATCATTCCATTTGCTGAAACAAGGAAAAAGTTATGGCCAAATTAAGACTAAAAAAATACCCCTTAGTGGCTGAAAAAAGCCACAACAGCACATAAGGGTTAATTAGAAACATTTGATGTTCTTCAGACTACAGAGCATGAAAACAATTAAGCACGGGACCGTATGAAAAGCAGCTGCCTATCAGTGGATACCGAATTGAGTCGAAACAGTTTTAGATATTGGACCCGCCGTCCGTCCATGCCTATTGATTCCCGACCCTCACAGATCACAACGCAAATATCCCACCTGTTACATCAAATATTAGCAGTTCACCCATCCATGCTTTGCAGTCCAGGACTCTGTTCCCTGACACGGCATTCTTAAAACACAGGACTCAAGTCAAAAGAAGTTAAAAACATTTTAAAAAAACGCATCTCTAGACACAATAAATGGACATTACATTACATGTTCTGTGTGAACCAGCCCTGAGGGATTATTTCACTACTTTTCCATGCAAGCACGCACTAGACGGATGTGTTTGACTGTTGCGGCTCAAGTTTAACTTTTTCATTCCACTGACCTGCGTCTCACGTTTTTAACTAGGGTTACACAGAAAAGCAACGATTTCAAATTCAATTTTTGGAAAATTTGTACAGTTGAATAGAAAACACACTCCGTGTGAATGGCCCCTAAGAATTTAGTTCATTTATGATCTTGAATTATGAAACACTTATGAAATCCATAGAGTTCCCAATCAAAACGTGGGTAAACATCACTCATTTTGAAGTATATCAACACAATTTAATTGGTAAACAAACTGTTATGAATCAAGGAACTGACTTGCTGGCAAAGAACGCCACCCATGGGAACCGGAGGTCATGAGTGTCCACAAAGACGTTCTGGACAAACAAATTTGGACTGCAGCTATGCTGTTGAGAGAGGCAGGATTAATGGTAAAACACAAATCTAAAAGTGCATAATTTTTACAAATTCGTATTATTGTTGGCACATTTACAATCACAAAAGGCTTAGGTTTAGCTTACATTGATGTAGCGGCCGAGGTTGCCCTCTTGTCTCGCGTCAATAATGTAACAGGTCTCCTCGCCATTGAACAGTCTGCGGGTGTTGTTGGCAGACAGAGCTGTCCTAGTTTTCTCAATTTGTGTGTCAGTGGTTTCTAATGGTTTTACTCTTCTCCTGCAGGACTTTATGGCAAAGCAACGCTTTGGACCAGAGGTCTCTTTACCTAGAATCACAAATTATAGACTCAATTCAATGAAACGCTAAAAACATAAAATGATTTTAAAAAAAATCTTTGATTGAATGATTCTTTAAGAGAATAAAAACTGACCGTCCTCTCTTATTTGTTTGGTCACTTTCTTCAGAGCATCTTTAGATGCTTCATGTGGCTTATGGGATAGTATTCTCGCGCCTAAGGACTCATCACAGACTGGACAGGACAGGACAAGAAAAACATCAGGCATAGTTTGCTACATAATAGAGCAGCATGAATGATGGTTGCTAGATTTCAACCTATACAATTTAGCATTTAGCAGTTTAGCAAATTGCATCCAAAACTGGATTTAGGATTAGTCTGTTTTATATCAAAGATAAAGCTAAAGCTACACAATGCAATGTGGACACTGTGGAAAGTGTGAATGCAATTTGAATTGGAGAAAAGTCTCTGTCGAATGCATAAATTAAAATAATATGGAGGTCATATCAACACTCACAACAAATCGGGCGAGTCTTAACACTATTAGTTTGTCACTTTTACATAAAGTTTATGACAAAGATTTTAAGATGTACATCCATAGTATGCAATAAACTTTCATACTCTCTTATTAGTTAGTATTATGTACTTTCCCCATCACCAGCAAACTATACAAAATGGGATGATAAAAAGTCCCGATTTAGTCTCCATATTAAACCAATATATTGAAATAAAGCTGAAATGAAACGAAACATATTAGATGAAAACCTTAATCTAAACGAAAATTACTAAACTAAAATACTTAAATTATAAATCAAACCTAAATCGGGGGAAAAATGCTAAACATTTAAACGTTAAGGCTAATTAAAAATATTAATAGATAACACATCACACTGCATCCTACCTTCCATTTCCTCTTGTTCTTTGACCAGCTCCATAGGTTCTTCTCTTTCTATGAAAATGGAGAAGAAAAAAAATCAGTTACAAATACAAGTAAACCAACACATATTCTCTTGGTTATATTGTGAATATTTACACACACAACACACCTTCGCCACTGCTAGTGTCTTCTTGGTAGAGAGTATTTTTCCGCAACGGCCCTGTTTTCATGGTTATAGTCTTCTTGTTGCTTTCGACCTCTGTGTCCGAGCAGTACGCCTCGCTCTCATAACCCTCTTTCAATTTCTCCACTCCCTCAATGAAGTCAAGGTTGGCCAAATAGTCATTGCCGGACACCGTCTCATCTTCATTCACTTTGTCTTCGTTCACTATTTTACCTATGAGGTGATAGAAGGAGGTGGGTAAGGAAGTAAATGTTTGGGTCTAAAAGGTTTTCAGTTCAAATGCATGATTGCTTACCAGTGAAAACACAGACAAACGTGCCCTTGGCCACATCATCTCTGCAGCGGATGCCCCATCCCTTGTGCTGTGTCATGAATAGCTCCAGCCGCAGCTGTAGACCGTGCTGAACCAGCCTGTTGCTGCACATTCTCGGGTCACAACGGCACAGAGGGTTACACTCGTACACCCTACAGAGATGGAAAGAGAGTGAGAGAAGAGCGAGGGTGTAATGTCATTTTCAGTGCTGGATTTTCATGCATTACATATATAACAGGAGTTACGTAATCAGACAACTTTCAAGTAATGAGTAGTAGCCCATTACCTGGCTTTTAACATTTACCTTTTCAAATAAGCAAAGCATGTTACGTTGTTTTGACTGACACCTCGGTTCCCATGTTGAGAGAAATCGGGAATAAATGCAGAGGTTTTGTGTGCAGTGTGAATATGATGGTTATTGTAGTTCTTAGACTAAATATAAGCAGGCATTCACTCATACAGAACTCGTACAAGAACAGATTCAGTATTCCTCAAAATGAATAAAAACAGTGAAATGCAAACTCAGAATATTATGCAAACCTACAATAATTTAATGCATTAACACTAATATATTTATGGTGCTGGTGACCTTTGATGAATTAAACCATACTAATAATAAGAAAAAAAAAAGACTTCAGATAAACATCATATTTGTTTAATTTCTTTGTTTTTATTGCTAAAATAAGAGTGTTGAACTTACTTCTACTGCGACCTATTTTTCGGCAATCCAGAAGGCTTATTCATTTCACGTTTGTTGTGAAAGATTAGAGATTTTGTTTATTTATTATTAAAATCCATACCGGCAAGTCAAGAAAAAGTAACACAAAAATAACGTAACTTTCCATTAAAGGTAACTGACTTTTTTTAGGGAGCAATGCAATTTTGTGATGCATTACTTTTAAAAGTAAGTTTTTCCAACATTGGTCATTTTAACCAATGTTGGATTTTACTATTATTTATAATTTTATGATATAATATTATTAAAATAGAAAACCGTTACTTTAAATTGTAATAATACTGCACAATAGTGCTGTTTTACTGAATTTATAGCTACATTCAAAAACATTTCAACGAAATCTTACTGATCTCAAACTTTTGAATGATGGTGTATCTAGTTATGCACTGATCTGGAGCAGATCATGGCTATGTTTTAAAATGAACACTGTAACAATGATGCAATACATCTGATTTTGGTGAGGCAATTCCATTGTAATCAAACAAAAATCAGACAGAGGTCGTTTCTTACCCTGTTGGCAAGCTTGTTGGTAGCCTCTTATGTGTGTATCCAGCACTAACATCTACTGGACCGCCACTGCATAAGGACGTGGCCCCAATGGTCAGCTGGTGGCATGCACATTTTGACCTGTCACATGTCAAATGTGTTTAATAATGTCATCCATAATTAAAAATGTAAGTAAATCTTAGTCAAGTACCTGTCCCGACAGCCATCCGTGCAGTCACAGCCGATCAAGAAGTCCAAGTTTGTATTGACGGAAACACCTGGAGCTGGAATTCTGTCTTTTGTGTAAGTGACATTAGGAGCAGGAGTATTGTCCACTTCATTAATACAGGGCACAGGTAACACCTCCCTACCCACAGAGATGTCCGGCAGGAAGAGGTGAGGCTGGCTGGTTGATGTGGAAGGGGGTCGGGCACGATTCACAAGCACAAACGGGTCCATACAGAACATTTCCAGGAAGAGGAAGTCACAACGCGTTTCAATCAAGTATTCTTGCACTTCCTGCATATCACATAGGCTCCGCCCACATGGAGAACGATAGAAAATGTGGAAAAACACCTAAAGAGTGCAAAGAGGAGACATTACGATAATAAAATTAATGTGCAGCTGCCATACAGAGAAACAACTCCTTTCAAAAGTTTGGGGTCGGTTAAACATTTAACTGAAGCAAAACATTTCTATTTCAAATAAACGCTGCTCTTTTGCTCTTTCTACTCAAAGAATTTTGGAAAAAAGTATCATGGTTTTCACAAAGAACTTTTTTCAACATTGATTATTATTAACATAATAATGTAATCAATTAACATTGATTATTATGATATATATGTATATATATATTTTTTTTTTTTTTCTTTAAGTTTTCTGTTGTTTGTCATTTTATGTTGGTGAGGTCATCTAATTTGTGAATCTTGTTTATAGGAATGGGGTAGGAGTTTATAAGATTTTTTTTCTTCATCCTACTCCTGTTCTTTTTTTGTCATGGAATGTACTTTGTGTTCGTTTGATTTGTTAAATTGTTCTTGTGGTATTTCGTGTTGCATTACCATGAAAAGAGAGAATAGAAAATAAATGAAATGAAATTTTTCACGAAAATGTTTCTTGAGCAGCAAATCAGCAAATTAGAATGATTTCTGAAGGATCATGTGACACTGAAGACTGGAGTAATGACTGCTGAAAAGTATTGTATTTTAAAATTACATTTTAAAATATTTTACTATTAGAAAATGGTTATTTTGAGATGTAATAGTATTTCCCAATATTTGTATATATATATATACACTCACCGGCCACTTTATTAGGTACACCTGTCCAACTGCTCGTTAACACTTAATTTCTAAGCAGCCAATCACATGGCGGCAACTCAGTGCATTTAGGCATGTAGACATGGTCAAGACAATCTCCTGCAGTTCAAACCGAGCATCAGTATGGGGAAGAAAGGTGATTTGAGTGACTTTGAACGTGGCATGATTGTTGGTGCCAGAAGGGCTGGTCTGAGTATTTCAGAAACTGCTAATCTACTGGGATTTTCACGCACAACCATCTCTAGGGTTTACAGAGAATGGTCCGAAAAAGAAAAAACATCCAGTGAGTGGCAGTTCTGTGGGCGGAAATGCCTTGTTGATGCCAGAGGTCAGAGGAGAATGGCCAGACTGGTTCGAGCTGATAGAAGGGCAACAGTGACTCAAATAACCACCCGTTACAACCAAGGTGGGCAGAAGAGCATCTCTGAACGCACAGTACGTCGAACTTTGAGGCAGATGGGCTACAGCAGCAGAAGACCACACCGGGTGCCACTCCTTTCAGCTAAGAACAGGAAACTGAGGCTACAATTTGCACAAGCTCATCAAAATTGGACAATAGAAGATTGGAAAAACGTTGCCTGGTCTGATGAGTCTCGATTTCTGCTGCGACATTCGGATGGTAGGGTCAGAATTTGGCGTCTACAACATGAAAGCATGGATCCATCCTGCCTTGTATCAACAGTTCAGGCTGGTGGTGGTGGTGTCATGGTGTGGGGAATATTTTCTTGGCACTCTTTGGGCCCCTTGGTACCAATTGAGCATCGTTGCAACGCCACAGGCTACCTGAGTATTGTTGCTGACCATGTCCATCCCTTTATGACCACAATGTACCCAACTTCTGATGGCTACTTTCAGCAGGATAATGCGCCATGTCATAAAGCTGGAATCATCTCAGACTGGTTTCTTGAACATGACAATGAGTTCGCTGTAAGCAAATGGCCTCCACAGTCACCAGATCTCAATCCAATAGAGCATCTTTGGGATGTGGTGGAACGGGAGATTCGCATCATGGATGTGCAGCCGACAAATCTGCGGCAACTGTGTGATGCCATCATGTCAATATGGACCAAACTCCCTGAGGAATGCTTCCAGCACCTTGTTGAATCTATGCCACGAAGAATTGAGGCAGTTCTGAAGGCAAAAGGGGGTCCAACCCGTTACTAACATGGGGTACCTAATAAAGTGGCCGGTGAGTGTGTATATATATATATATATATATACACATTTTTGTATGCTGAGCAAGGCTGCATTTACACTGCCACCGACTTTCAATCATTTTCAATGGAAGCGTCAAATCCATCAGCGTTGTGTTTTGAGCGTCAATAAAGTTGAAAGAAGCTCAACTTTATGGTAATGACTATCGTGCTGGCTAAGTCTGGAGAAACATACGATGTGAACTTTTGCTCCTACCAAAACATTAGTTCTGAGAAAATGGAGGAGAAGCTAATAATCGGTTTCCTATCATGTATGACATGACGTTGTTCGATTATAGGGAGGGACCAGTTACAAAAGAACATGGGATAAAATAGCTGGGAAAGTTTTGGTGTCTCCAGTGAGTTGATGAAGTGCGTGCTGATGATTATAATATTTTTAACTAGGAGGGAAATAATTGCACATCAATGAACAGTGCACAAATTAAGAATGAGCGCAACTTTTATTTGAAATATTTACGAACGCTCGTTTTAAGCGGAAATGCAATTCATTTGCTCAGTGACACTGATTTGACAAATTGCACTGACTGATGCAAATAATAATAATAGCTAATTATTCTTTTTTTTTTCCTGACCAAATGTGACCAAAACAGTTATAAAAATACTGTCATTATAAAAGGTTTACTCAACGTATTGCTAGTTTTTTCTGTTTATTACATTTCATGTTGTGACACCAGAGCGTCCAAAGTGTCAACAAGCTTCAAGCTATTTTGCCGCTCAAGTCGGTGGCGGTGTGAACGTACAGTTAGACACTTCTTTCAAGAGCATTAAAAAAAATCTTACTAGCCCAAACTTTTGAATGGTAGCGTACATTCAATATAATTCTATAATGATTTCATAGAATCCCTAATGGATTAACTTCCACAAACACCACCCACCTTTCCATCAATGCGCCTCCGAGCAGTCATTCGCCGAAACTTAAAAAGCAATGGGATAAGAAGCGGATTTTCACCACGATGCATGTCGACCTGAGATGGTCTTACCCCATCCAGACATGCTGGACAACAGCGGTGATACAAGTATATGGACTTGTGCTGGTCTTGCTCTGAGACTTGCCTCTCTTCCTCAGAAACACATTCTTCTTCCTCATCAGGGGCGGGTCGTTTTTCACTTCTGGAATATAGTGTCCGGTGGTTGGTGGTTAGTATTCCATACCATCCCATATTTAACTAGTACACACCCATTACTCACCTTAAATGTGAAGTACTGATTGCCATAGCAGATTTTGCTGTTCGCGTTCTACCCTTCGACACACCGAAAGCTGGTAAGACGGCCAACTTCTGGAGGATGACCTTCGGCTGGAAAGCTGCCGACATGATAGTTTGAGGGGAGATAGATGGTTTTTTGGCGACTGTGGTATCAGATTGTCGGGTCATGCGTACAGCAGTGTCAGTTGCTGAGGTAACAGTCGTTGCTGAGGTAACAGTCGTTGATGAGGTAACAGTCGTTGATGTAACTGTCGGTGAGTCCACTTTTGTCGAGGAGGAAGTTTTGTTGTGCTGAGGCACGGCATTTCCTGCTAAACAAGAAACAGAATCGGAGATAAATACTAATACAATAAAATAATACACAATAAAAACGTATACAGTAAACCAATTTCGCAAAAGAATACAACTATAAAGAATCAGAACAATATATATATTTTCTGGGCTGGCATGTTAAAATGTATGTGTAAACAAATGTTTGAAAATAAATATTAGGTCTCAAGTATTTATGTATTATTTGATGTCATTTGATTCACACCATATTGAACACAAAAATCTGAATGGCTGTTTGATGGCTGTTTATACGCCATACTGTATTGTAAAATTGAACCGGTTGTTGGAAAAGAAAACCAAATTCAGATTATAATGTATGCACAATTAGTCACTGCTTTTTGAAGTGCCCAAGTTAACAATACCATACACGATAATTATTGCAATATACAATATTAAAGAATACGGACAAAGGTCTAGTTTTAAATGCGCATACAGGAAATGTGAATGAATACCGGTTTTATCCGGTTGTTGAGTTTTCTGTTGAGGCGATTGTTGTGTTCTCTTTGGAGAGGTTTGTTCTGGACTGTCTTTAGAAAGACGTTTCTTGATATTTATAATGTGTTCCAACTTGTCCGAGCCTTTATAAACCCACTCCTTGTGCTTGTCTTTCTGAAAAAATAACAACAACACCACATTTATCAGCATCAGAATCCAGCATTCAAGATCAGAATCTCCTCATATCTGTCAGTGGGGCTTGTCAAGTGAGTTTAAATATGACATATGCTCATGAAGTACCCACTGACTTTCATGTACGTTTGTATAAAAGGCACTAAATGATTCAGTTGAAAGGTTAGAATCAGGTTCACATAATAAAACTAGCAGACCACAATGGACTCAGTTTCACCTTATAGCAGATCTGGATCAGGCTGCCATCCAACTGAAGCACCGTGCAGGCCTCAAACTTGCCATTTCGCACCGCCTTCGTGTCTTGCCCCATGCGAAGCACCACAGCAATGGGGTTGGGAAAGACACGCATATATTCCTTCACCTGCGCCCGACATGTCTCATCCTCAATATCCCTCCACACCTTTTTAACTGCAAAGAAAAGCGTTAAAAAAAGTTCACTTTCAGAAGTCAAGCGTTTTTAGGGGATTTATTAAACTAAGACTGAAATGGAGTATGAAAGAGAATCTCTTACATTGTTTGCAGACAACATGAAAGTCCGGCAGTGCCAGATACGCTGCCAAGCCACCATCATAAAACACTAAGAACCTGACAGAAACATTTAGTAAAACTTTAGAGATATATCTCTAAAGAAAAATTTCACATACAGAATGTTTTTTGAGAATCAAATACTTTCTACATATATACTGCGCTCAAAAATTCACCTCATGCGATTCTTGCGCTCAGGAAGCTCAACCAACACACCAGAATTAAACAAGGTCTTTCCTGCATCATTTTTGTAGCTTGCCACAACACGACAGCCAACAAACAAATCGGTGAGCACAGGACGCTTTACAGGGGCCACTTGATTAGCAGACAGCAGAATCTGTTTCCCATGCTTAAACTCCACCACATATTTGTTGCCCTTCTCTAAAATGAGAAGATGAGACAGGTCAGATGATATCATTTACAACCAATGAATACCACAATGAATAAGAAATGCTTGCTTAGTAAAAAAAAACACAACCAAAACCTTTCCTTTTAATTGGAAAGATACAGAATAGACCATTCTTACCCATCGTTTGAACTTCTTGTACTGTTCCTCGAGACCACAAATTGGGTTTCCTTTTCCCCAAAACTTCCGTGCTAACAGTGAGCTTTATCTCCTCAGTTTTGAGCTTTACCTCTGGAGTTTTGAGCTTTATCTCTGGAGTTTTGAGCTTTAGCTCTGGAGCTTTATGTGCTTTAGAAGACCCAGAGGAATCGTTTATTGAAGGCTTGGAACCTAAGAAGAACAGTAACCGAGGAAACATACTGTTACTGACTAGATGGATGGATGGATGGATGGATGGGAGCGGTGACGAAAAGCATGTTATTTTATAGACACTAATTTATAACTTATTAACACTTTTACTGGACAATCAACCCCACAAAGCTCTAAACATATTAACCAAGTTATAATATTTTTTTCATCTTTTCTGATTGAATCTTTGCTGAATATAGAATAAATAAAACTCATTGACCTCAAATATTTTCAAGGGAAATATTTATTTTAACTACAACGCATGATAGAAATCAAAATGTAAGATTATTCATAACAGACAAGGTACATCTGTAACACAATATACAATGCTTAAGTTAAAGGGATACTCCATTTTTTTGGAAAAAGGCTCATTTTACCACTCCCCCAGAGTTAAAAAGTTGAGTTTTACCGTTTTCAAATCCATTCAGCCGATTTTCTGATATTTAGAATAATATCAGTAACCAGACAGTTTCTGGTCTCATTGACTTCCGTTGTAGGAAAAAAATATACTATGGAAGTCAATGAGACTAGAAACTGTCTGGTTACTGATATTCTTATAAATATAAAAAAATCGTCTGAATACATTTGAAAACGGTAAAACCCAACTGTTTAACTCTGGTGGAGTGGTAAAATGAGCCTATTTCCAAAAAAAGTGGAGTATCCCTTTAATATACTGTATAAATAAAAAAATAAAGCTTACTTTTTGCAGCTTTGGAAGGTTCCACAGAAGTATCGTTGCGGGAGGTATTATCAGGTTTATTGGTCGATGCCTTGGAGGGGGGGGGTTCAGGGGGATCATCATCACTGGGTATAGGACTATTAGGCGGCAGGTACTCTGGGTCCTCTGAGTCAGACGGTTCCTCAAAACTATCTGCAGGTGATGGTGGTTCACTTGTCTGTTCTTGCAGCCTGGAAGTGCTGGTGACGGATGTAGAGATTTTTGATCTCAGATTGATTGATGGACCTAGTTTACCAGATTTGCTCCTCGTTGTTGGCTTTTCCGTCTTGTCCGTGGATTCTGAATCATTCTCAGGTTCTTCTGAATTCCTCGGCAACGGTGACACTTCAGGAGAATTCTCTGTGGTCGACTCAGGCTCAGTCTGGTTGGTTTCAATGAAAGCTGTATCATCACTTGGAGTGGTTTCAGGTTCTTCTAAAATCCTCGGCAACGGTGACCCTTCAGGAGAAGGTGCTGAGGTTGATTCAGGCTCAGTCTGGTTTGTTTCAATTAATGCTGTATCTTCACTGGCAAAAGTGTCCATTTGTTCTGTAGTGCTTAATAGCGAAGACACTTCTGAAGAGGTCAATGGTGTCGCTTGAGGATCAGATTCATTTGATGCTATGGATGCTGAATTATGACCGGAACTAGCTTTCAATTGTTGTGAATCACCTGAAAGTGAAGGGATTTCAGGAGAAGTCATAGCTGATAATTTAAATTCAGTTTTAATTGTTGCACTGCGATCTGAATTGAAACACTCGGACTGTTCTGAATCGCTTTCAAACAAATGTATTTCAGGAGTTAATGCTGTCAGCTGAGGTTCAGACTTCATTTCTGCAATGGATTCTGAATTATGACTGGGCCGGATTTTGAATAGTTTGGAATTGCTAGGAGGCGAAGACATTTCTGACTTTACTACTGTCGACTGAGGCTCAGATTTTATTTTTGCAATGGATCCAGAGTTAGCACTGATAATAGTTTCTGGTTGTTTGCTTGGAATCGAAGACATTTCCGAAGGAGACACTGCTGTCAATTGAGGTTCTGTCTTGATTAATTTTATGGATGTGTAGTTTTGACTAGGAGCGGTTTCGTGTTGTTTTGAAATGTTCATTTCATTAGCTGTTATTGCTGTCAGTTCAGGTTCAGTCTTGATTGGTCTAGAATTTGTGACCGATTCAGAACAGCTGTTGTCGGGGGTCGAGCTCGATGAGGGTCTGTTGGATGATGATGATGGTGGTGCAGCGCTTGAGGTTTTGTTCACCATCTGGACTAAGCCCTGAACAAGTCTGGATGACTTCTGAATGGCCATAGTCACCTTTTCAACCTGAAAGAAAGATAAAATGGAATGATCACTGAAAAATTAATAAAAACAATGAAAAGAGCTAAATTAACAGAAAAAAAGACAATGAAAAATGATAAGCGCAAAATAATATTAGCATGTGTAACACCATTTTTTTTTTAAGTTAACATCCTCACCATTGGTTCCAAGGTTTCTTTCGTAGCTGCAAAAGAATAACCAAAATCATGAGCCCAAAATGGTATGCCATAATGTAAAAATATTTTTTATTATAATGTTTGTCACTTACCTCCCAGATCAATGACAACAAGATCATCATCATCTCCATTACAAACACTAATCTCATGTCTATCCTCATCATGTTGTATATGAATGACGTCCTGTTGTCGCGGTTCTCCTCCTCCTTCCTCTTCCGAGTCCTCGTCTTTGTAGTCCAATCCCAGCATTCCATAAAGACCCTTCATCACCGACTCACACTCAAGGACTGACCTGATATAAACAGTTAAAGGGTCACCAAGACTTCAAGATATTGGCATTAGTCACTGAAAAACACAACTTACTCGCAGGCATTGCTGTACAGAAGGCGGGTGTAGGTTGAGTCTCTCTCCCTCAGCTTCACCCACTCCTCCACCTGTGCAAGCTGTTCACGTCTCTGCATAAGATGAGGGTTTCGGTCCACCTCTTCTTGGATCCAGCGCTGCAGGTCGTCCTTCGTCATCCTCAGGAGGTTATCATCTCTCCCGCTACTCATGGCTTTGCTGTTGGAGCAGTATGATGAAAAAGGTCAAACATTTTGAACTTTTTTGTTTAACGTATGACATTAGTGCTGCATGTGGTATTATTATTTTGATCAATTTGACCATAAAGCATGTACAATATATGGACATAATTATAAATAGCTTCCAGGAGTCATCAGAAACTCTTGTAAAGGCTAATAATGAGAATTAAGTTAGAGGATGCAAATGTCCAGCACTCTTGACAGTTTATTTTAAACAGCATGACTGACAGATCAAGAACTACAAAGAGAGGATATAACACAAACTTCAATGACGTAACCGTTACTTCATTTTCATTCAACAAATGTAAGGCCTAATAAAACCAAATGTTGCTATTTTCGCTATGGCAATTACATAAAGCAAGGTAATTTCATAGCTAAGGTGACATACATAACGTTACTGTGTAGTTTTCCCAACTTGCTGCTGAGGTAACGTTATTTTAGAATCCTGAGCACACTTGATTTTATGGCGTAAACTATTCCGCTTACCGTTAATGCACAAAGTCTACTACTGCTGCAAGGACGAGTCTGGATATCCTACAGCCTCCGAAATTACATGAAACTATAAAAAGTGCGCAATAAAAGAACTAAAAAAACATGGAAAGTAACAATATATCCAATCTGTCGTGCGCCTGTGTGGTAGCGGATGTAGAATCTACAAGAGACATTCTGATTGGACCTATGCACGTTGACGCGGGATTATTAGCCACGCCCACAACCCGTAAATCTCTTCAAACACACAACGAGGAACCGGCGAGGAACACAATATATTTAACGGAGGTAGTTGGACGTAATTTGTTGAGTGTGGTTGGTCTAAATGATAATTATTGTTGTTTAAAGCTGCATCGTGTGCTTTCTATCAAATGGCTTCGCTTGCCTTTTATAGATTATCGTATGTTCTTCAAGTTCACTTATGGGCGCCGCATTGTCACGTGCCATCTCAGCGCTTGGACCAATCACAGTGGTTTTGTGAATGTGTTTTCGTATGTAATCGGAAAAGTGTGCAGTTCTCCAGGGTGAATGAAAAATAAAGAAACATAGTTATTATGTAAACTTGCTTTATTTTCATAAACATGTAGCATATGACACAATGATACATAATTATTCAGCTCAAATGTGCTGAAATATAAAGTAGCAGAAAAGAAATACAGAGCAAAATGTACAAAACTGTTTTTCTGTAAGCCTTTGAATATTTTCCACATTTTTAGAATGCTAGAAATGTTATCAAAACAAAGAAATAACATTTAGTGAACAAAAATGTTAAACAAACTAATATTTAGCACTTTGTCTAGAGCTCTTTACGGTATGTGTCAGTGTGTGAAAATTACAATTTGACAAAGATTTCATTAGACTGAGAAGTCTAACATTATGGAACCATGAGATATTGACATCCTGTTATTCTTTTTTCTTGTCATTTAGGCTACATTGCTAAGCTGCACTCGTGGTCTTTAGTTCACCATGTTCATCCTTCACCTGACCAGTGTTGTTTTTGTTTAGAGGTTCCTTGAGAGCCATCATTTCCTGTATCTTCAGGAAGATGTCACAATCGGATGGAAACCGATTTCTCTGAAAAACAAAGCTGAAATTAAAAAAGCTCTTAATCCCTGTATGGGACTTATTATGAAATCACAGCTAGAACAAATATATGACTTTATATTCTACATATATTTTTAAGTCTGAAATAATTTTCCTAAATTAGTTTTCTACATCTGACCTTGGGCTTTTTTAGGCTGCCATGCTTTATAAAGGAATTGGTCCTATTAGGGTAAATTATTTGGGGCATATTGTCCGAAACTTCACACATTCAAATCCATTTTCCCTGTCTGAAAACTTCTGAAAAGGTCTTAGTGTTTCACAAAACAATTTTGAGTTATTGCTTTTTACAAAATGTGCATTAAAAATGACATCATTGGATGTACAAAGATACATAAATGAATACAAATTTATATGTATTTCCTGGTCTAAAATGAACTCACAGTGGAGCCTTGACTGCATGTGATCAAACATGGCTTTTGATTTTATTGGCTGAATGGGATGTCATATGATAATACTAAAAAGTAATTATTTTTTTTGGTTGAATGTTAAATGCAATTTGCTCTGCGTCATTCATAATGACGGCAAATCATAGAGGGTTTTAAAAAAGGTTTAGGAAAAGAGTGATGAGACTCACATTGAGAGAAAGAAGCAGAAGTCCACCTTCACCCTGGCCCTCCAAAGAAGAGAGGAACAGTTTGAGTGACTGCTCAGTCAGCTTATTTCCTGAATTATCAGAAAAGAAAATGTTACAGGCATAACATTCTAGTACGTTTTACTCTAATACTAAAATAAAACCAAGTCTGAAATGAAATCACCCGACAGATTCAGAGAAGTGAGGCATGCGTTTCCTGGATGAATTACTTTCCCTCCAGTGTGCACAATTCCAGGATCCATCAAAGGAATCACCGTCTCAACCACCTCCACTGTCTGACATACAAATGTTCCTATGCTTAATGTGAAGGATGTTTAATTTTCAAAGCTCTTATTATAGCAAAGATGTTTCCTAAACATTTAGGAAGTTATTTTCTCTTACTTCTTAGTCCATGCCATTATCTTATCCTGGACTAAGATGGGATGGAGATATAAATATTAGGCATGCAAGTCAATATTCTGAACCAAATTTTTTCAAGCACATACCAATTCCAAACCACATTAAACTTGTGTATAACCATACGTGATGTAGTTGTGATCAAAATAATTCAACCCCCATTGCAAATCAGGTTTATTGGCAAAATTTACAGACTTTCAGCTGTTTGCGATAAACAAAACAAACAAAAATTGAAATAGCTCAACACAACAAATGTTTCAAGTTGTTTCCCCAAATTCAACTGAGTGAAATTGCAACTTTTAATGCCTTTCGCAATCTCAAAATTATTTAACCCCCTGAATAGCAACAGCACAAGCCAGCAAAACAGAGGTGCATTCCATTCGACAGGGTCCCTACGCAGTGTTCACTGCTCCCTACTCCCTGAACATGGTATATCAGTTGAAGTGGACTTCACTGACTTCCTGTGAAGTGATGTATCGATGTTCCCTTATTCCCTATGCAGTTTGCAGTGCCCTTCGAACTGAACATGTTCGTTACCTTCGAATTGGAATCTCACTAAAGATGGCGAAATACCCTGTGAAGTCCACTTCGCAGTCCACTTACAGTCGAATGGAACGCACCTCAGGTGTTGCCTCAAGCACCTAATCAAGGGCTTCATTAGTTGCACCAGCTGTGCTTGAGCTAGAACACATGAAATATCTAATCTGGCTTAGGCCCCGTTTACACGATGGGAAAACGCAGATATTTCTCTGCATTTTGCCCTCTCATTTACACGAAAACGCCATTTTTATCACAGAAAACGATTATTTCTAAACTCCGGCCACAGTGGAGATTTTTGAAAACGCTGGTTATGTGTTGCCACGTAAACTGGGAGAAACGGCGTTTTAGGTTCTCTCTTGTCGATTCTGAGGATTCTGATTGGCTTGCATGGCTTTATCCTTAACCCCTACACTGCCGCCAATAGGTTTGGCATAGTTATGATGGCACTCGACGGCGTGTGTGAATGATGTTATTTTTGAAAACGGAGAGGGGGAAAATATTCGTTTTGCTAAATACCCGGCTTTGTGTAAACGTGGCCTAAGTTAGTTGAGTGTCACGTTTGACTGCATGTTAGAAATATGGCTATGTCAAAAGGATGGTCAAGTCAAAAAGGAGATGCTTTATGTTCACAAATGTTGTTTCATGTTTTATTGGGACTTATGATCTGCTGTGATATTAGCACTGAGAGTTCTGCACCTTACTTGTGAAAATAGTACCAAAGCGAGAAAAAAAACTGTATCATATCTTATTTGGCCCATTTTACAAGTAACAGAAAACATGCTTAACAATTATGCACATCAATACAAGGCGTTTTTCACTTCCAGCCATCGTTAATAATTATATATCGCTTATAAATTATTATAAACAAAATTAATAGTAGGTTTTAAGATTGATGTGGTTTGGAAATGGTCAAATGTGCTTGGAAAAAATATGATCAGAATATAAACTTGCCTAATAATTATGAAAGCACTGTATTCTCTAGCTAAAATGTGTTCAAAATGTTTGACAGATTATATTATTGTATTATTTTTAGGTGCTTTTTTTTATTGTATTATCATATTATTAATTACAATATTATATGTAAGATCATATAATGATTGGTCAATAATAATTTCATGAAATAAGTATCTTAAATATTTATTCACCCATGTATATTTTTACAATGGGATGAGTTGTTAAATTAATTCTTACCTCTTGTTCAGAAACTGTCAGAATCTTGTCTTTGGGTCCTATCTTTCCAGCCTGACTACGGGGAACTTTATCATCTAAGTGAAAAACAAGAAGTGAAATATTCACCTTACATGTAAACCATCAAATATAGACCATTTCAAAAGATGTAAACAACACTGGTCCAGAAGCACTTCCTGTTTCAGTTTTTTAACACTACATAAAAGCTGGGATAAAATACAACCAACAGAACATTTAAAACTGAATCAAAAAGTTAAACAAACATCTTTAAGAGCTTTTATTTACATGTGAAATAAAGAAAACAGTTACAAACTGAAACAGGAAGTGCTTCTGGACCAGTGTTGTTTACATCTTTTGAAATGGTCTATAAAGTGCACTTCTGAATCTCAAATAGAAGTCAAATTAGTTTAATGACCTTTCTTGGCCACTTTTGGCTCCTCTTTCTTGGCTACCTGAGCTGGCGCTGGTTTCTCCTCTTTTTTAGAGTTGTCCTACACATAAACATTCATAAACAACTGTAATCATAAAATCGAAATCATAAGAGACACTCTTTTAATGTGTGTGTGTTTGGCATGCTTCTCTCGCAAGCAACAATGCAGGTGTCAATAGGATACAGAAATACAATGGCTAGCATAGTTCATGTATGTTGGTTGGATTCCCGGCAACGTTCATTTAGCTGAAAATGCTTTACCTTCTTTTTGGTGGTGTTCTTTGCAATCTTGTTGAGGCGATCCAGCGAAGAGCTGCTGCGGACGGAAAGAGGCTGTTCCAGTGAGTCTGCAAGACTAACCAGGGACGGCTGGATCACTGATTGTTGAACTTTAATTAACAGCTTCCTCCTCTCAACTATCTCCTCATGTGTCAGAGCAAATGGGCCAAGCACCTAAACAAAGAAATGAGAAAGAGTTTCATAGAAATATGCACGTTTCACAGTCTAATGTCTCAACTAAGGCAAACTTATGCGTACCTCAGCCAAACGAGCTGCTCCTTCATCTCCTATTTGATTGTGGGATAAGGACAGACATAGCAAGGAACGGTTGAAACGCAGACCCTTTAGAAAGAGGGATGGGGGATAATAAAAACTCAATTTTAAGGGTATGCAGTCTTGACATCATTCGAAATAGTCCGAACACCTTCAGACGGACAGCCTATAATTCTACACACCTGAGCAATGTGTTTTGCACCTGCATCACCAATGCTATTAAAGGCCAGGTTAAGTGACAGGAGGTTTTTGTTGGCAGTGTGCACAGTGGACAGAGACGAGCCAATCAGACGAGCTCCTTCCTCTCCTATGTGACTGTTGCGTAGTGATAAGTCTGTCAGCCTGCAGAGACATTATTTTAAAAGAGCTGAGTGTAAAAACTACAAATAATGCATTTCGATAACATTATAATACATTTAAGTTCTATATTGAAAGCAGCAAATGTACATGTGTACCGACTTAACCATATTTAATAAAAAGTTCAAAACAGCATTTATTTGAAATAGACATTTTTGGTAACATTATAAACACATTTAAATGTGTGTGCATGTGTGTGTTTAAAAATAACTCACATGCTGTCCTCCCCTATAAGTAAGTGGTAGCTCTGCTCAGGGAGTGGATTGCCATCCAAAACCAATTTCCTAACAAGATATAAGTCATTAGATGATGTCATCAGATTTTCCAGTATCTATTATCACTCTATCATAATTTATTTTCCGAAAAGATCATTTGGGTAAGATTTACCAACAGTTTGCGGCAGTGCAAACCCTCTTTTGGAGTTAAAACACTACTCTTAGGATTTACTAAAGACACAGTGAAATATTTTGTACTGAAAAGGTGTGGACAGTTATTTTTGCAGATGACCTTATAATAATTGCGAATGCATTTGTAGGAGTTTCCCTTTCAGACACAAAATTTATGGGAGTAGACAATTTAAGTGAATAAAGTTTCAAAGTAATTAACTAAGGTTAACGCCATTATTTACTGCCCAAAAAGCACGCCTTAAACCAGACGCTCCTGGTAGTTTGCATTGGTCATTCTGGAAATGATCCGGCTGCTTCTGTGTTTTTTAATTTGCACTTTCCACATCCACCAGAATTTTTTTGGAATTGTGCTCTCACGCTAAATTGCACTGTTTAGTCAATCTTGCCTTTTGTCTGTGGTGCAGCAAAAAGTAGACCTATAGCATAATTTCATGAAAAAGGATAATTTAAGACTTGGAAATATGGTTTACATAACATTCTGAGATCTAATTAATGTTTTTTGGTGTTCCTATTATGCTAGTTTTGGTTTGGAGGTCTTCTACAATAGGTTTACATTCATCCAAGGTCAAAAAAACACCGAAGCATCTCCTCTGTGTCTAAAACAGTTCAATAAAGGATTCAGTCTCTCTAAATCCCAGACAGCAACATAGTGTCGGCTCAGATCCGGGCCACATCTGGTACATGTGGATTCCACCCGTACCATTAGATGTGGGGCCGGATCTGGGCCTAAACTATGTTGGTGTCTGGGACCCCTCCTTTCCAAGAGCCTACTCTCCTCTCCTCTGTTTGGTCAAATGGCCCAGTCTGTTGTGATTGGTCTACTGCTTACAGTGCGTGTTGGACACGATAAGATACTAGAGCCAGACCAATATATCGGCAGGGCGATATTATCGGCCGATATTAGGCATTTTCCAAACTATCGGCATCGGCAGTTATAATGAATGACTATTTTGTCGAGTTTAGTTTGTCCACCAGAGGATACTCTACACCGTTCCTGTTGGCAACACTCGTTGAGTTGGTCATGAGACATACATTGCTTGAATAACAATTAAAAGAATGTGGGTCTTAATGGCACAAAAAAGGGATTAATGATGGGAATTTTAGACATTATAGCCCTTAAAAACAGTTTTGACTCACCTGAGATTTGAGCACAGAGACACTGTGTTTCTCAAGGAGGCGAAAGTGCAATCCGTCAGGCCTACACGCCACATGCTGCAAAGCATCACCGTTATTGGGAAATGGACATAACATACTGTTTATTTTGCAACACTAACACCCATAAACATACATATCAGTGATCACACACACAAACGCTCACTGTAAGTACTGGAAATTACTGAGGGACGGCAATGTCCTGCTCAGCACCTGAAGCATCATATCATCCACCTTCCATCCTATAGAAAAAATAATAATAAAAGACATTTTGATCTGAAAAATTTCTTTGGAGTTTGAACAACTGCATCTAATAAAGCAATGGCCTTACCAGATATCTTGACCGTCTTAGGCTGGTCTTCATTCTCCAGCTCAATCTCAAGGCAGGGCTCAGAGGACCATGTTGTCATTTGACTTTCTAAGGATATCTGAGATTGATTGTGTTCTTCATTCCAGGTTGGGGTTTTTATTAGGAAAATGAAGAGTTGTGTGGTGTTAAAAAACATCTTTACTTTAATAGGGGAGCAGAACACAATTGTCTTATACAACATTTACCCATCACAGATTTTGACTGCTTCAGCTTGACAGAAGGGATCTTTTTCACACCCATGAGTTTACAGAGTTCTGTGAAGTCCAACTCCAGATTTCCTGAACACTGGTAATCATCTAGTGTGAATGATACCACAACACAATGACAATCAGTTGACTTTAATTGCCATCATGGGACATGGCATATATTTTGGTTATAATAAATACCACATTATCAAAATCCAGTCTGACTATTTTAGTCGGATACCTGAGGTTTTAGATGTTTCCTCCTCAATCCCAGAATCCACCTTGTCCACTTTCTCTTTGGAGGGTTTCTCAACTCGTTTTCTCATCTTTTCAGTGGGAACCTGTTTCAATTTATTAAAACCCAAAACAAAACAAGATAATGAATTTAAATGATAAAATTATATATAGGCTAGTAAACTTTGCTCATTCAGCACTAGCGTTGTAGCGGGCTCAGGTTGTATTTCGTTGCCGTGCCAACCCATGAAATTCAACAGTTACTTTTGAAGCCACCTAGTGGATGGCGGCAAGCCTAAGCTCCTTTACTGTCTAAGCTCTTGTCCGCCATATTGGAACGGTCAAAGTTGACTGTACTCAGAGTGTAAAAAAAAAAAAAATGACCGAAAAAAGACTTAGACACAAGTATGAATCAGTATATTTATATCTGCAGCACACTTTAGCAGATGATTTAAAGGCTTCAGCCTTTAGATAACATGACACTGTACCATAGTTTAAAACCCTGCAAAATGTTGAATTAATACATATAAGAACCCAAACCAATACATTCTCACCTGTGAAAGGTTATCCAATCTCTTCGGAAATTTAAATCTCGGTGAAATCTTCTTAAAGCAACCAAAAGCTGCGCATCATTGATTCTTACCGTGAGTGACAACATGCTGACCGTTCCAAGATGGCGAACGCGGCGACATGTCTGGAGCGGTCGAATGTGTCATGTAATTACTATAAATATTAACACATTCATTTAAAAGAGATTGCATGATGGTTTTAAAAAAAAACGTTATCATTTCGGCCCCATCTTGCTTTGAATTAAATCAAAAATATATTTTGCGAATTGTATATCACATGTAATATACTGTATATAACTAATATTTTTTTCTGGAGGTGTTAGGAAAATATGACCTACAGACTAAATTGCATATAACAAATCTTTTTATAAATATGTCACAGCTATGAAGCCTTACAAAAAGGTTTATTTTTCAAATGAATATTTGTCTTCCGTCAGGACATAGTTATAATATTTCCCTAAATGTAATGACTGTTGCAATCTTTTTAAGAGTCCAAAGATTTGATCAAATAAAGACAAGGCACACATGTGTTAAGAACATTATAGTGATGATATAAAGAATTAAGCATCAGTAACTACATCACGTGAAAACATCACTTATGTCTGGCATTAATTAAATACGAGGTATTTATTAAGTTAGTGTTTTCTTTGCAAATGTATTTGGCAGTTCAAATGATGGTACACAATGTCAATGTGCTACGCAATAGTTAAAATTCACTTTATTTGAAGATGTATTGACTGTCCATACAATTAAAATACGATTTGTCTGTATACCTGGAGTAATAATGGTTATGACCTAGTAAAAGAACTGCATCACAGATTCTCTGCTAAATGTATGAGCAACAGGCAAGTATATTCACAATAATGTAGTGCTTTTTATTAAAAAACAAACAAACAAACGAAACAAATAGAATATAAAACAAAACAAAAAAAGTAAAAACCAACAGCATCTTCATGACTTTATAATTACAAACTTTGAACCAGAGTGGAAGAAGTTTCGACAAACTGTACACAACATCACAAAATGCCTGCCAGTCTGTCCATATACAATGCTTGCATCTTATTTTGTGATTGTCTAAAAAGAACTAAACAAATCACACAAAAACACACAAATACAAGAAATACAAGCATTATATTTATGACCGCTATCACAAAGAAAACAGAACAATCTTTTCTCATTTGAAGAACAAAAAATTAAAAAGGAGATTAAGAACATGATATCGGGTTGACAGCTTCTTTTCCTGCCAAAATATCATTTTACATTTTTATGTTGGTTTGTTTTTTTAGTGTTCAACACTTTGCAGCAAAAGAAAAACGAGGAACATTATATCTTTTTCTCCTCAAAAAGTAATAATAATAATAATAATAATAATTCATATTAATTATTACAGTGACGGGTGCCAGGTCGACAAAGTTCATCAGACAATCCTCCCCCTCGAAATGCGCTAAATTCATGTTTTTGGGTAACAAGGTTTCAGACGGTTTGTCGTTTATGGAAATTTGTAGCGATTATTAATCATAACGTCTGCCACTTTCTCCTCCACTTCTCGAAAAAGTTACATGTGACAGTTCTGTCAATACAAATCGTTTAAGAATGCTAATAATAATAACAATAATAATAATAATAATAATACATATAGGGCTGAATCCTGTACAATACAATACACAAAATCCATTATCAAGATATTGCTTTTGGAGACATTTCTCACATTTTCCTGTCTGTATATATACATAGCTTGGCACTATACAACTTTCCTTTTGTTTGTCAGTTTTCATCGTTGTTGTTTTTTCTAAGGGGGTTGAAATACTTTTCTGTCATAGCTGAAGCTTTAAGGGCGAAACAAATCTCATCATGATTTTGTATATAAACATTCTCCATGGCAACCTGAAAGGCCATTAAAAAAATTAAAAGAAAATGACAATACTAAAACCGCGACCCAACCCCATCCCACCCCACCCGCCCTACAAACCACAAAAAATATGACATCACATGATTTAATAAGTTCTTGTGAATTCATGAATTTAACGGTTTATTAACTGCTGTCAAGCCCTTAGTTGTTTCCTCTTTCGTATTTATATTATCAGAATGGGCTCACACACACACACACACACACACATTCTTACACCGTAAAGAATCTCACACACTAGTAGACACTACCATAAACAAAAAAACGCTCAACATCATGGCATTCTAAGGCGTTATATATATTTAAAGCCAGCGCCTCCACTGCTAGATTTTGTTTTGTTGTTTTTTTAAGCTGGTGAATTAAATACTTTTTTTTTTTTTTAATGGGGGCGGAGCTGGCACCCACTCTAACCAATCGCAATGCCCACGATAACAGAAGCGAAACATTCCAGCCCAGTCCCGAAGTCCCGAACTCACAAATATGGATACCCCCGTCGTGCTCCATTCCTAATGTAATTGCAGTATAACAAACAAAAAACAAAAAAAAGAAGGTAATATACTTATTTGTTTTGCTTTATCATACAGCATTCATCAATACTGTGTGAATGTTAGTGTGTCTTATCCGTACATCTCCGGGGAGCGAATGATGTCCGTGTTGTTAAAAGTGCAGTTAGCCAACGTTCTTTCTCAGCTCTCTCCTTTCGTCCTCTCTCTCTTCTCAGTCTACGGGCAGTGTGTGTGCGCGCTACACTGCACCTCCTATGTCGCTCCTATTTCAGTTTTTTTTTGCCTCGTTCTGCTCTTTCTTGGTCGTTTTCAAGTCATTGCCACTGTAGACCACAAGGTGGCACCGGTCTCCTAGTTTTTCTATTTGCAGCCGAATCGAAGGCCAAATTTAGTACCACACGCTTCCTTAACAACTTAGTCATTGGACACGTTTGACCAGTAAAGTCATAGTTCATCCATGACAACTGGGTTCGAATTTCAAGGCGCTTTTCTTCAGTTTCAACTTTCCTATGTGTGACACTTGCACTTTTGAAACGCGTCAAGGTTGACGACACGCAGCAAATTGCGTGTCCTCAGTGCACGAACCTCGGCCTGGTCTCTCTTGTAGTTCCTTTAGAAAGAAACTGCAAGATATAAATATCCTCCCACCTCCATTTTCCCTCTTTTTTTTCAGGTGTAGTCCACCTCTGCTCCTCGATATCCATTATTCTCTTGCTGCTCTGCAAGCGTGCTCAGCAGAGAGTGCTCTCAGCGTTACTTCCTGCAAATAAATTCGCTCAGTCCAAGCGTCCGTCTGCGGAGGCGGCGACCAGAGCCTTCCTCGAGGAGATACGTCACATCTATCGCTGTAAGGGAGACATGAAGAAATTTGTTTTCATCAGACTTGCATTACATCAGTTTCAGTGCGGGGTTAAAGGGAAACTCCACCCAAAAATAAAAATTCTGTCATTTATTTAGTCACCCTCAAGTTGTACACAAAGGAAGATATTTTGAAGAATAAATGGAACCAAACAGTTGTTTGGCAGCTTCCATAGTTGAAAAAAAAAGTATAGTATGGAAGTCAAAGGTGCCAAAGTTCCAATCATTCTTCAAAATATCTTCCTTTGTGTTCAGCAGAAGAAAGAAACTCATACAGGTTTGCAACAACTTGAGGGTGAGCAAATGAGGACAGAATTTTCATTTTTGGGTGGAGTATCCCTTTAAAAGAGCAGCTTATGAATACACGTTTTAAAAAAAACCTGGTCCAATTTCACCCCTGAATAAAAAGTCCTTGTCAAAGAATTCTCTCTTTCCCTTCAGAAGAAATGTAATTTATGGTACTGAATGACAAAATTGGAGTCATCAATAAAATAAACAATCAAAAAGAATAAACAGATTTGTAAAAGAAAGAATGGAATTAGGTTGCAAGATACTGATGTGATGTAACTAAAGCCTAATATTCTCAAGGCCTGTTCACACCGGGACGAATTTCGCGTGCGATATTCACCGACGTTTAACGCCTCGTGACTAAACAAAGGGCGCCAATGTGAGTGTGCACACTGACACGTAAAAGCATCATTTAAAAAAAAAAACGCCTCGGGTTCGTTTTTTTTTTTTAGTTTGACGCGCCGCGTCAAAAACTATCCAACCAATGAGATTGGTGCTTTTACTCACGTGTTTGGAGCTTCTGAAGTTACAGTAAAACAAAACTTGGGGGTGCTCAAACACAAAACGGTTTTGCCGAGCACACATACGGAACGGAGAAGATAATCTACGCCAAGTAGCGTCGCCGTCTACACAGCCAGGAGGAAATAAGACGAGGAAGATGCGAGGCAAGATGAATAAAGAGCTGCTGGTCTCGTTGGTGCTAGAACATAAAGAACTATATGACAAACGCGACAACGACTACAAACATCTTGATAAAAGAGACTGTTATGGAGTGGTATTGCAGAGCAAATTGGCGCCATCTAATGTCAGGGAATGAATTTGCATGTTCACTCAGCTCATCGTCAGCGAAAATCGCTTGGGTGTGAACACAAAAAACGTGTTGAAAAATGCTGACGAACAACGCAAACTGATATTCGTCCCGGTGTGTACGGGCCTTTAGTCTTACCATTCTTGCTGGGCGCCCGATGCAGCAGATCGAGCAGAATCTTGTTCAATCGCTCTCTCTGCGCTTCCCTCCTTCCCAGGATTGATGGATGAAGAGGTGAAGAGGAGAGCGAGGCTGAGCATGGGGCGTCCAACACGTCCCGCCCTCCTCCTCCCCTTTCCCGAACGCCCTCGTCCATGTCTCTTCTCTCCTCACCCTCCTCTTCTTCCTCAACGTCTTCCTCCTCTCCACCAGTCGTCCTTTCCTGTGATGTGGATTGCTGGGGAACAGGGGTGCTGGAGTCCTCTTGAGAGGTCTCCACGTCTCCCTCCGCTCCTCTACCTCCGCCCTCGTCCCCATCTCTCGAGTAGCCAGTGGATAGTTGGTCACATGATGCGCTGGGGGAGGGGTCTTCATCGCAGTTTGTTGCACCTTTGGGCCGCTCACTCTTCCAGGCAGAACGCCCGCCGTTCCTCTTGTAGTTATCCGGCACATAGTGAGGCTGTAGAAAGAGAGATAAATTCATCAAAATGTAATGGAAGCACCTCGCCAACCTAAACTAGTTTAGATTAAAAAAAAAATACAGATACAATGTAATCAAATCGACTCCATAACACCACTTCTGATCGAAAACAGCAAAAATATGAAGAAAAAAAAAATTATCCAAATTATTAAAAAATCTCCATTTTGTCGAGTACCCTCATGACTTAAGAGTAATCTTATATAAGTTAAATAAAGTCTTAAATGAACGTAAAGAATAGTGAGAAAATGAGACGTGTGTGAGATAGTGTGTCATGTGCAGAAGCAACTGTTTTTAAAGGGACAGCAGCCAAGCCAGATTAATAACAGAAAAATATGTGTGAATAATCGAGTTTTTTTTTTTTAATTGATTGACAGCACTAGTTAACTATGATATTAAACTACAATAAAATACGGGTTAAATTTAGAAAAAAATGTCAAGCTCAAATTGCAACCTAAAATAAAAAATATATATATTTTTGTAATATAATGTAACAATTCTATGACATATTAAAGCTCAAAACATAACTGTTATTATTCATAATGTTTTTTAATAATATAATTTCCATTTAAAACTATTATTATTGGCCAAAATTACATTTATGGAAGAATCTCACAGAATTGTCCAGGTCACATTTCACCACCCTAAAACACTTCTCAACACTTCTTACTTCCCATCTACTGTCAAACTGTATAAAATAAAATAAACATTTTATATAAAAGTTATTTATAGGTGAATATCTGAAAGAAATTTAAAAAAAAGAAAGAAAGAGAAAACATTTTGAAATATAATTAAAACAAAAAAGTAAAAGATGTTATTAATATCTTTACATAATTCTTACATACATTCTTTTCCCATCTAAAACTGTAAAAGTATAAATAAAATAAGCTAGTAACACATAAGTAACACCATTTATGGGTAGTCTATCAATATCAAATTTCACCCGACACAAACATATTAATTAAAAAAGATAAGAAATATATTGTGTGACATGATGTGATATAATTATATTAATAAAATGTCTAATGTTACACATTATAATAATTAATGTTGTCATGCGTTTAATTTTAAGGTGCCCCAGTCTCTCTAAACCAAAGCTTCCTCAGCTCTGATTGGTCAGACGGCCCAGTCTGTTATGATTGGTCTACTGCTTACAGCACGTATCGGAAACAAAACTTCCATTACAATATCTGATCTTCAGCTCCGGAAGCTTCCTTAGCACTTGATACACAGTGATACGAACAGTTACGCTGGCGTCGGTTTTACCGTATCAATTCCAGTGCTACATGCAAAGTGGATTCACAGCACAGAAAACAGTGTCTTCTTGACATGTCGAAAACACAGCATGTTGCTATGTTGCTTCTCAGCTACAACTACAGCGTTTGAGGGTGGGATAATGTAACTAAAATCCTAGGCTGGCATTATGCAAAATTGTTACAAACCTACATACCGTAGGTATGTTACGAAAGTGAGACTGGAATTCCTGACTACTCGTTTCGAAGTTCAGAATCGATTTTTTCTTTTAGCAAGACAATAACTTTATTTGGCGTGCAGACCTTTTACATTAACAAACAGTTATTTTACAAACTGCGTGAAAGGTAATAATCGAAAAAGTATAATAATCTTTAACGGTCCTAAAACATCCCTCTTTATTTTTTTCTTAAACATTCCTTCCCCCTCCGCTACTCACAGAGAAGTCTCTCTTCGGCGCCAATCTTTTGGGGAAGTGGTTGAAAGCGTAGGGCTTGGTGCACACCGGGTATCGGTTGCGGTGGATCTTGTAGAACAGGTGTGCCGATTTATCCAGCCGGTAGTCGCAAATGTAAACGTCCTGTTCCTTTACCCCTTTCGGACGACCTGAATCCATTAGCAAGAGAAGCGGTCATTAGCATGCAAAGAGTGTGGTGTTTTCAGCATGAAACATCTGGTTCAGTGCATCTCTTGAATCTTACGGTTGATTTATTTAAAACGGTTGTACGTGTGAACGTCTCACCCTTGCAGTAAGTGTACAGGTCCAACACACAGCACATCCCCACCACCGCCTCCAGTGGTATGATCTCATAGAGAGGCACTCGGAATAACTCGTTATGATAGAAGCGGCGGGAAGGAGAGTGGTGTGTTTCATGGGGGCGGAAATAGTGATGACCAAAGGCAAACCTTTCACCTCTACAGAAATAGAAAGAGAGTCCAGATCACATTTAAAAATATTAGTCCCCCAAAAAATGAAAATTCATTCCAAACCCATGAGACTTCGAAAACACAAATGAAGATCTTTTTGATGAAATCGGAGAGCTTTCCGTCCCTCTATTAGAGCCAGACCGATATTATCGGCCGATATTAGGCATTTTCCATAATATCGGTATCGGCAGATATAATGGCCGTTAAATGAATATTTAAAAAATAAAATAAAAACAGACGAAACACGCTTCAATCATCTCTCCTTGACCTGTTATATTGAAAATGTATGTTTTACAATTTGCAGTATGATGTTATCTATTGCTAAATTATGGCTCATCATAGACCACAAAGCTAGCTAATGCCACTATCATCAGTGGATGACCGCTAACGTTAACATTAATGAGCTTGGAAACCACAATGAACTTTTTCTGCCTAAATAAAGTAATGATTACTATATTTATAACTAGCATATCTCTAGTTACAGTCCCTGCATTGTAAACTGTAAGTTATACTTGCGAGGAGTGAACATTTAGACATCAGACGTATCAAACGTATCTCGTGCAGAAAAGTTAGCTTTTCTTTTACACGTGTGTGAAATCCAACAATATTTAATAATAAAAAAAAATATCGGCCGATATATCGGAATATCGGATTTTAAAACCCAAAAATATTTGTATCGGTATCGGCCTTCAAAATCCTTTGTCGGTCGGGCTCTACCCTCTATTGACAACTACTTTGACGCTTCGAAAGTTTATAAAGAGATCGTAAAACTAATCCATATCAATCAAGAGGTTTAGTCCAAGAGGCTCGATCAGTTTATATGCCGAACAGATTGAATTTAGGCTTTTATTCACATAAACATTCATCAACTCGCACATTATTTGTGGTAGACGGAAGCTCAAGCATGTTCAACCAATGAGGTTCATTCTCACGTGTTACGCAACGCATTTTAACATGTGTCAAGCAGGTTCGGTTGAGCTTCTGTTTAATGTTCACTGATCAATGTTTATATGAATTCATATGAATTAGTTTTACAATCTCTTTCTGAACTTTTTGAAGCGTCAAAGATGGTTAATGGAAAGAGAAATCTCTCAGATTTCATTTTTAAAATAACTTCATTTGTGTGTTTAAGGTGTCCAAATAAACAACTGAATCAGAATGTTTTAAATAGTGTGAGTATGGGAAATCTCACTTTTCATTTTTCCAGAGTTTCTCGATACGGAAGATGTCCAGTTTGTCTCTGTTGATATGAGACAGGAGACGGTATGATTGACGCACCGGCTGGCCTTCTTGTGTGCGTCTGCTGTCCCGCATGAGGTACACACAGTCACCTACGATGGCCACACGCAAACATAAATAAATATAAGATTCAAACAAAACATCATTTCAACACATTTGAACAAAAATACAGTTAAAAAACAGTAAGATTTAAGTCTTTAAGATTGAAATAAAGTCTCTTATGCTCACCAAGGCTACATTTATTTGATCAAAAATACAGTAAAAACAGAAATACTTTGAAATATTATTACAATTTAAAAGAAATGTCGTTTATTCCTGTGACGGCAAAGCTAAACTTTCATGTTCCACGTGGAAACCCTGATACATTTTTTTGGATTCTCTGATGAATAGAAAGTTCAAAATGAACAGCATTAATTAGAAATAGAAATCTTTTGCAACACTGTCTTTTACTGTCACTTTCGATCAAGTTGATGTGTCCTTGCTGAATAAAAGTATTCATTTCTTTTTTTTTCACAAACACACACATGCACATACCCTGATGCAATAGTAAGTCATCACGCAGCAGGCATATATAATAGATGGATCCTGATTGGGCATAGCTGGGTTGGGGCACCATTGGGACTTCCTGTTGCAGCAATGAAAGGAAAATGCATAAAAGACAAAATGAAAAATCCTTTCAAAAGTTCAGAACTTCCCGAATGACAGAGAAGATCTTAATCTTAAAGTGACCTTTAAAATGTTGTGATAAGAGAGCATATGGCTGTTCTAAACACAGTCACGGAGGAAGAATGAATTGTAAGGTTACACAGACTGAAAGGTCACATACCCTGTCCACTGGACGAGGGTCACACAGCTCACAGAGATAATGCTCCACTTCTGCCTCCAAACGCATGCAATCACAATGCTGCCACACCTGACAGACAGAAACACAGAACATACATATTAGAGGCTATTCACAATATGAATAATGAATAGTTAAATAGCTTACAGTTGTTATTGGTAACTAAAACAACTCAAAGTATTTTTTGGTAATACAATCAAATAAAAAAAAATGTAATGTTTCCAAACTTTTGACATGCATTGCACTTATAAGTTTGTTTTTGAAAGAAATCTATTGTCAGTAATGTCTTCACTGTCCCTTATGATCAATTGAATGCATCCTTGATGAGTAACCCATATCAATCATGTAGCACAAATGGCGTGGGATGAGTTGCACACTAAATTTTAAATATGAGCACATACCATGCACTTCTCACACTGGATCATGAGTCCTTCGTCCTTGTACATGCCACAGATGCAGCGGATCACATCATCGTCTTTGTCGTGGCTGCCCCCTCCATCATGGTGATTGTGGGCGTGGTCTCTCTCCAGCGAATCAGAGCTGTCGGCCTCACTGGCCGTCTCGCCCACGATCTCATCAATCTGCACAGCAGCCTCATGACGCGCGCCATAGTACGCCTTCCGCAGCCGGCACACGTCACGACCCACAGCAGACTTGCGGCCATAATATTTCTGTTGAGAAGAAGAAAGGGTTTAGGAAAGTGCTGCAGAATAAGCCAGAGAAGAGTTTTCTACAACTTTTCTTTTCTTTTTACGTTTTTCTAATGAGGATAAAATTACAGTGCATCTTAAAACTCTTTTGTATGGAAGCTTGTTTGCGCCACTGAACAAAAAAATAAAATAAATAATTGTGACTTTTTATCTCACAATTCTGACTTTTTTTCTCACAATTGCGACTTTATATCACCCAATTCTGACTTTATATCTAGCAATTCTGACTTTATCATTCAATTCTGACTTTATCACGCAATTCTGACTTTATATCACGCAATTCTGACTTTATATCTAGCAATTCTGACTTTATCATTAAATTCTGACTTTATCACGCAATTCTGACTTTATATCACACAATTCTGACTTTATATCTCGCAATTCTGACTTTATCACGCAATTCTGACTTTATATCTAGCAATTCTGACTTTATATCTAGCAATTCTGACTTTATAACTCGCAATTCTGACTTTATATCACACAATTCTGACTTTATATCATGCAATTCTGACTTTATATCAATCAATTCTGACTTTATATCAATCAATTCTGACTTTATATCACGCAATTCTGACTTTATTTCTCGCAATTCTGACTTTATATCTAGCAATTCTGACTTTATATCTCGCAATTCTGACTTTATATCTAGCAATTCATAATTGCGAGATATAAACTCACAATTGTGAGAAAAAAGTCAGAATTGTGTGATATAAACTCGCAATTGCGACTTATCAGGCCAATTCTAAGGGGAAAAAAAGACTAACTTTTTTCCCCCTCAGAATAGTTTAAATCTCACAATTCTGACTTTATATCTCACATTTCTGACTTTATAACACGCAATTGCGAATTTATATCTAGCAATTCTTACTTTATAGCTCTCAATTCTGACTTTAATTCTCGCAATTCTGACTTTATAACTCGCAATTCTGACTTTATAACTCGCAATTCTGACTTTATAACACGCAATTGCGACTTTATATCACGCAATTCTGACTTTATCTCTCAATTCTGACTTTAATTCTCGCAATTGCGACTATATCACGCAATTCTGACTTTAATTCTCGCAACTGCGACTTTATATCACGCAATTCTGACTTTATAACTCACAATTTTGACTTTATCACGCAATTCTGACTTTATATCTCTAAATTCTGACTTTAATTCTCGCAATTGCGACTTTATATCACGCAATTGCGACTTTATATCACACAATTCTGACTTTATATCTCGCAATTCTGACTTTATATCTTGCAATTGCGACTTTATATCTCGCAATAGCGAATTTATATCTCGCAATTGCAACTGTATATATCTCGCAATTGCGACTTTATATCAAGTAATTCTTAATTTATATCTCGCAATTCTGACTTTCCATCTCGCAATTCTGAGAATCACATTAATAAGGTCAGAATTAGAATCACATTAATAAGGTCTAAAAAGTCAGAATTGTGAGAAGTAAACTCGCAATTGTGAGAAAAAAAGTCAGAATCGTGAGATAAAAAGTCGCAATTACCTTTTATATTTTTCATTCTATGGTACAAACAAGCTTCCATACTTTTGTCCAAATAACTTATTTATTCAATATACTTGAGTACTTATAATAATTACAATGATTTGTATTCATTAGAATTATATCATAATGATTTACATTATAGACTACAGTAATCATATTTGTGAGTAAGTAAAGAGCCTGAGAAGTGTAACTAACCTCAGCATTGCGGAACACTTTGAGCATGTCCGCATCAAATGCCTCGACGGTTTTGTAGTGTCCAGTGAGGATCTGCTTCTCTATGGTACTGAGATCTAGTGGATCGGTGACCTTCTCATAGTACTGTGTATTTCTGTAGACACACATAAACATGGAAAACTATTGCCATGAAGGATGATGACATTATAGTGACCACAAGACTGTTCTCACTGCAGTTATAAATCCCCAGACTTTCATAAGAACCCTATCTGCAGGTCTCTGACAACTAAGTCAATGTTCAGACTGCTTACTCGCTTAACTTTCAGTTTCAACAACACAAACATGCATAATAGCAGGAAGAAAACAGTCAATTTGTACTATAAAGCACTCTCCAGCTCTTTTGCGTGACATCTGACCTCGACAAAATGAACAGAAGAAAATGAACCGGAGAAAAGTTCCACATCAAATAAGGCTATTACATCATCGCCACGGACCAATGGTAGTACCAAGGTGTTTAACAGCCGATCATATACTTTTATGGAAAGTTCACTTCGGAAAGCAGTTTCAAACTCCCAAAATGAACTCCAAACTAACTTTGTTTTGGTCTGATTTTGTTTTGAAAAGACGTCACACCAGTTCGTTCTTTAACTTCGCCTGAAGTATATCAGGGCCTTAAAGTAGTTCACTTTTAAAAAAACTTTTGCTGATAATTTACTCACCCCCTCGTCATCCAAGATATAATCCAAAATGAACGAATCTTCAATTTCGATTCAATTTCGTATGTTGAATGAACCAAATGACACGAAAAAAGATTCGTTCATTTTGATAAACGAGTTCGAACAGGAGTCACGAACACGTATAACAGAACAGAGCAAGGCAACCATTTGAGCTTATAAAACTTAAACTTTGTTATTTTCTTTTAAATGAGCGATCGTTTTGCTTGATAAGACCCTTATTCGTCGTCTGGAATCATTTAAAGCCCTTTGAACAGTTTGCACTGAAACTGTCTTTTGGACCTTGAACCGTTTGGTTCCCATTGAAGTCCATTATATGGAGAAAAATCCTGTAATGTTTTCATCAAAAACCTTAATTTCTTTTCAACTGAAGGAAGTAAGACATGGACATCTTGGATGACATGGGGGTGAGTAAATTATCAGCAAGTTTTTTTTAAAAGTGAACTACCCCTTTAAGCCAGTCTGCAGACCATTTAATACCAAATAAATAGCACCAAATAACTACAAAGTACATATTCATGTTGTAAATAATCTGTATTAAGAACATAATATTGTTCTCACCTCTTCCTAGAAGGGAGGTTAAGCAGCGGAGCAGCAAGAGTCTGACCAGATGAATCTTCAAAGTACAAGAAAGCAATTGATTATGTGAGTGTGTAAGTCCAAACAAGTCTGACACTGAAGCAATAAAACAAAAATTAGATTCAACATTCTAGATGAAATCAAAAGTAAAAGAATTTTGCAGAATCGCATACCTCACTAATTGAATTTTGCATAGCTAAATCATTTTATCATATTTCCATTAGAACAAATGACTAACGAGTGTCAGCGTTTAGTAATAAGTTCACAACTGATTACAGTCCAGTCAACCAAACTGAGAAACTACAGATGTGAAAAGCATGTCAAACTCAGTGTAACTCCATTATGCCACGATTGCGACTTTGGTTCTTGCTTTGCATAATGAAAATGATTATGCAGCAATTAAAGCGACAGCCAACAATAGCATAAACTGCAGGTTTTTATGGGTTTATGTGTGATGGTGTGTCTGAATGAATTAGCGTCTGTTTACCCTTGTAGCTTGTGATCATGTCACAGATCTCTTTGAAGATGTGTGCCAGGCGTGCAGTGCGTGTAACTTCCGTGTTCTCCTCGGCCGCCGCAAGTCTGCGTGTGCGAACAGAGCGTGACGTCTGCAGCGCCGAGAACTGAGTCAGAAATACATCTGGAAAAAAGAAACAAACAATGCTAATCATGATTTACTAACTGTCTGAATAATCAAAGCAATAAATGACAAACTTGCATGCATCATATTAATCAGCTGGGATGCATATTGTTCACACACCTGACTTGATGTTCCCGTCATCGCGGATGACTCCTCCCCAGCGTGTGTAAAGAGACAGGCTGCTGTTCTCCCTCTCTCGCTCTCTCTCTCCCTCTCGCTTCAGAAGTTCCTGTTTCTCCCGCATCTTCTCCCAATTCCGCAGCAGGAACACTCGATGTTTCAGCACAAAGTTCCTGAATTAAACAAAAAAATCAGTGGAGGATGCCTGGGCCTTTACTATGAGAGATTAGGCATTTATAACATGTAATTTGAACGTTGAAAATAAATTAAAAATGACTTTTGTTGGTACAAAACGCAAATTCATTAGACTGTGATGGGATCCTACCTCTCTCTGTTTGACATGGGCTTCATTAAAAGGTGTTGGTAAAACTTGCTGCTGTCACTGGACTCTTCCTCCTTAGGTCAAACAGAAGAAAAGAGTTTTGCCTTAGGACTATGCTGTACTAGTAGCCAATGGTACTGTCTCATTATTGAATTAACTGTCTCATACCCGCTTCTTCAGTGAGTGTTTGGACTTGCGTTTCTCTTTCAGTCTCCCAAGCCTTCGGGCTCCGCCCCCTGATCCGCCTCCTTTCCCAGGCAGCCCATTGATTCGCTGGCTCTTCCCGCCAATGATGCCACGGCAACCCTCTGAGCCGCACTTGCAGACTTGCTGCATAGCAACAAGAGCAGAGTAACATCATCATTTGTGGTCACAAATACACATATCAAAAATGTGAGATAAAAGTAAGATTTCACTAAAAAGTAAATAAATGTAAACTGACATGTCCACAACCTTATTAATGTGAAATACATAAATTAATACAAATGATAGAAGCTTACAAAAATTAGAGGATTTGTATATAATAGATTATAAAAGTATTTTTTTTACATTAATTATGCCTTGTAATGCCAATTTTATGGTCTTGTTGTGAATAATTGTAACTATAGTTATAACATATGATAATATTTTTTTCGCCCTTAGAAAGTATAATGCATTAAAACTCATGACAAATGACCAATTCAGATGCAACAAGAAATCTTCAAATATTATAATGCACGTTGACTTTGGTTACAATTATATATGAAAAGCTATAATGCATTATAACGTACAATATGAATACCTTCGCAATGCATTACATTTAAAGGCTTTAAGTAAACTGTTAACAAAATAAAAAAATCATATATAATCAGGGCTTGACATTCGCACCCGGCAACCTGCCAAATGCAGGAGGATTTCAGTGGTGTGTAACGCAGTCACTCTGGCAGGTTAATATATTATAATATATACATTTTTCCATTGTAGTCTTTTAAAAAGGCATCTGAAATAATAAACTAAGTAATATTTAGTGCTGTCAAAAATACAGATTTTTCTATACATATCAATCCTGAAATATCTGAAACGATTCCAATACTCATTTTCCACAGATTCGCTATACCACCTGCACTTTCTCGCGCTCACCTCTCCGACAACGAATTGGCACACAAACTCACTTCGCCTCACTCATTTATTTGCTTTGGATTAGATCCAGACCGATATATCGGCAGACCGATATTATCGGCCGATAGTAGGCATTTTCCAAACTATCTGTATCGGCAGTTATAATGGCCGATAAATGAATATTTCAAAAATAAAATAAAAACGGACGAAACACGCTTGAAACATGTCATGAGTGTTGGAGTTGTATAGTTTGTCCACCAGAGGGCACTCTACACCGTTCCTGTTGGCAACACTGGTTGAGTTGGTCACGAGACATACATTGCTTGAATAACAATTAAAAGAACATCTCCATCAGTTCTCTTAACTCAAATAAGCATGACAAAATGTGTGACTATCATGTCCAGTTAAAAAATAAATAAATAAATAAATAAATAAAATATCGGCCGATATATCGGATTTTAAAACCCCAAAATATTTGTATCGGTATCGGCCTTCAAAATCCTTTATCGGTCGGGCTCTACTTTGGATGAATATTATTGGTGTTGAATTATTGTCACTCTTGGAGAGTTTTCACGTGAACACAGTTATGTTTTAAGTGAACGTAAACACAACAATTGAGAAAGAAAACACATGTGTAACAGTATAATGGATCTGTGTCAGGTCTTAAAGTGACAGCTGCCTAATATACCTGCTGCCAAATATTAAACATATCTATTAGGCAGTTTTTCCCCATGGTATCTATGTCAAAATTGTGACCAGTTGAAATGCTGCGGCTGGTAACTTTGGAAAACCACTAGCCACAGTGGCTGGTGAGCAAAAAAAGTTGTATATAGTTGTATAAGCCCTGTATATAATGTTATTTGGAGTCCCAACCCTTCTAGACTCTGTGGCTGGAAGAATCCAGAGGCTATGAGTGACTGAATCAACACCAGCGATCTGGACGAATAAGTACAAGCATCCGCAACAAAACACAGCTGCATGTTCATGTGTATGTACATGCTTCAGACAGGTATGTTCCTGACATGCGGGACACGGGTGACTGCAACTCTTTTTAACATACCTGTTCTTCCATGTTGAAGGAGTGGAAGTTGTAGTCATATGTCAGTTCTATTCCGCTGTTGATGTCTTTCAGAGCAAACAGACCAATACGGTACACGCCATTCACCGACCTGAGAGAAACATTCAACCTCAGTGGGGATTCTACAGCACTTATGAAGCAAATTGTTACAGCTCTAATAATCTGATCAGACAAGCGATGTTCAACGAGACTTTCTCCTGAGAATGAGATTAATAATAATATTTTTACATATCCTTTACGGTTCAAAAAGTCTGAATGTCGATCTTTTTAAAATCAAATTAACTTAAGCCATCAGAATGTTAAGCAACATCAAGCATTGTGGACTTCTAGGCTGAGTTGTACAATATGCATTAAGGTAGAATGAGGCCATTTTGGCACAGATGTGGGTGTGTGTGCACTCTAACAGCTAAACACTGGGCAGCACAGCTGTGTCCCCCACCCTAAAACACAAGCTTCAGATAATCGCTCTTGTGTGAAAAGATGGATGATCTGCCACCATTCAGCCAACAAGTACAGTTTTTAATATGTATGTGTGTGAAAGAGAAAAAACGTAGACAGAGCAATAGGTGGAACAGAAGATACAATTTTTCTGTAGACTGTAGACCCGACGTGTCTGTAACGGTGCCAAGCAGATGTTGGCTACTGACCTGGATCTTGAGTTCACAATCCTGTTGCCAATATATAATCTTTCTGTTTCGACTAATTACACTAATTTATTATGAAACAAGTTTCAACACCTTGTGTAAAAGACAAAAATGTGACCTTCCTCTTATTAAATTTTTCAACATAACCGTGGCTTGTTCATAATACTGCAATTTCTAGAGGATAAAGTCATTGCTTACTCAGTACTCGTGGTTGTCCACGTCCCCACTGACTCACCGTTAAAAATGACCTTTCTGTTTCTGAATTCATCAGAAGCTGATGGGATTTTAATGCCATACTTCAACAGTGACTCATCAGCGGTCTCGTTTCACTCACCATTTCTGCATCTCACAGTTGGGCTCGCAGCTGTGGTTGACAAAGCGAGCCTCGTTGCCCATGCGGTAGCTGTCGATGACCATGCCGCTGTCCAGGTTCAGACAGTAGTTGCCGCTGTGGGAGAAGTACTGCTCCATCATGCGACTCCTAAACGTAATAATAATAAATAATATAATTCAAATAATACACACCATTTCATAAAGCAGTCCCTCCAGGATTTCACGATTTTTTTTGTGTGATTTTTGCGATCAAAATGACTGATTTTGTGGTGGTAATTTCCAAAAATTTGTGAAAAAAATTGCGATTTATATATAACATTTACCATTATAGTATTCAGTCCTTCCAGAAAAACACTGAGTTTTTTTGTGATTGTTGCGTGCAAAAATTGATTATGCGGCCTGTTTTCTTTAAAAATGCGATGGAATATGTGGGATATTTATGCAATGAAATTGCAGGAATTTGCAAAAATTGAGGGAAACTTGCAAAAATTGCAGTTTGATGAAAAAGAGAAAAAAAGTGATTCCCCCAACATCCTGTTCTCACTAGGCTAATGTAAGAGTCATTTCTTATTACTTCCTTTGATAAGCAAGCATACTATATCATAGAAAGTGCTGGGAATATTTAATTTCTCATCTTGTTTTATTTCAGACTGTAACGAGTGTAAATAACGTGTGGCCCCTTTAAGAGCTGTGCGCTCCCTGTTGAACTCTCAGTGTTATATGTGTTATATGTGCGCCTCGAACACCCCATGTGTGCGGGTAATTTCTGTTTGATGCTACTTCTTTTATCTTATGTTGTTTATTAAGTAACAATGTGACGGTAGAACGTGTGACAGACAGTTATACAAGTTCGATTTGTGAGATGTCAATCGCCTCCGTGAGTCTGTCTGGCGTCGCGTAATTGCGTCACTTCATAACGTTCCCATGGAAACAGGGGGAAATGGCTGCTCTTGTGTGAAGCAAACGCAACATTTTTCAACTTTTTGCTATGATACATGTGACTTTTTTTGCAACGAAAATGTGAGGATTATGAAATTATGCAAACCCCGCATATTTTGCACGGAAATCGGCAATTTATGCGGCGAAAGTGCGGCGTATTTGAAAATATGCGGACTTTGGCTGATTTTGCACGGAATTCAGCGATCGCATAATCGCGTTTTTCTGGAGGGACTGATAAAGGTTAAGGTATTTATATTAATTATAAAAAACAATGTATTATAAAAAAAAATATAAATGAATGAATGTAAAAACCTGTTTTATAAATAATTTATATTAAAAATTCAATCCACATGTACATAAAATATCCAATGTACAATCCAATGTACATAAAATATTGCAATCCACAAAACATGATGGGAGAAATATCAGAGTTCAAAAGAGGACAAATTGTTGGTGCATGTCTCGCTGGCTCATCTGTGACCAGGACACAAAGTCTTTATTGTGTATACCACCACATTGGACAAACCACATCTAACAGGAGTAACCGTCGATGCAAGAGGAAGCTGTCTGAAAGGGATGTCCAGGTACTAACCTGGATTGTCTCCAAAAATCATAAAACCACAGCTGCCCAACACTCTACAGAATAAAAACTCCTGTTTCCACCAAAACTGTTAGTAGGAAGCTTGGTCGGGCTGCTATAGCCAAACCTTTGGTCACTTGTGCCAATGCCAAATGTTGGTTTCATTGGTGCCAACAGTGTAAATCTTGGGCTGTGGACAATGTGAAACATCTATTGTTCTCTAATGAGTCCACCTTCACAGTCTTCACCACATCCGTGGGAGTTACGGTGTGGAGAAGCCCCAAAGAGGCTTAATATCCGGACTGTTGATGCGGTGGATCAGTGATGGTTTGGGCTGCAATATGACTGCATTCCCTAGGACAAGGACTACCAAACCATTCGGAAGGACCATTTGCACCTAATGTTCACACATTGCACCCTGAAGGGTGTGCCATGCCACGATAATGCACCATTACACACAATAAAATGGCCCAAAATCCACCTGGCCACTGTGTAGGCCTTTCATTCCCAAGAAAAATTGATGCTGTATAGGCTACAAAAGGAAATTATAGTGGTTTAAATATAGGTTGGACAATACCAAATTGTAAAATGTTCAAACTAGTTGCTGTTTACAGCCAAAATGCGGCTAACCTGAACTCATGTTCGCTGACCACCTCTCCCAAGTACTCAATGATGAATTGTCCGGAACGTAGGGGCTGCTTGGTGCGGATCCCCCAGCCCTTCCCCTCAGCTCGGAAACGTTCAAGGCACTGCACCCCCTCATGCTTCTGGATATGCTGGTTATCACACTGATCACCACTCGGACATGTACTTGGAGAACACTCAGCAAAGATCATCCTAAGACAGAGAGAGATGAGAAACCAATGGGATCCACATTATGAACTACAACTGCACTAATGAGTGTGCATAGAAGATGATGTAGGCCTTAATAAGTATTTAATTGCCCTGTTCAGTTACCTGTTTAGACAGTCGTCCTGACAGCCCTTCTCGTTGTGGTCTTCAGGCGCCCTGCAGTTGCAAGTAGTGGCTTCATAGCCAGAAAGAGGCTTCACATCCACATAGACATCTATTTGAAAAAAGATTAATGTGTTATTCTTAATCATCAGCAAGCATGCACACAAAACACAATACAAAAATGAGAGCAGTCCTGAAAATCAACAACTTCCAGTATATTTTTGGAAACAGATGCAAGTTCTGGGCAGCAATTAAAACAATTCAAATTTGCTTACTGGATCTGATCTTCTTGTAGAGAGGCACATCAGGTCTCTTGTGAAGCTAAAAAAATTAATCTTTTATTAGAAAGATTTTGCAAGCATTCAGAGATTAAACTGCTAAAAATCTTTTTAAATGTTAAAACTTGTTTTTATTAAATATATCCCGAATTAAGTTTATTTTTATAACCCTTTCGGCTAATTATATTGTCATAAACCTCACTAATTATTGTTAGATTTATGCTTGTATGATATATTCTCTGAAAACAAGTCAATGTATCTAGTTTTAAGGATGTTTTATTAGAAAACAAGAACTAAATACTGATGAATAAAATGATTTTTGCAGCAAAAAACATAAATGACAAATGCAGCTGTCAACTCAAGATGTGGTTTTAAGGAGCTACCTGATCATGTTTCCAAAGCCACAGGATGTCATAAGGCAGCTGGAAATCAATGCGTTTCTGTCTCAAGTATTTCCCTGGACAAACACCAAAGACAAATAGCAGTTATTAGTTCAGTTGCTTTGTCCTTTAAATTGAGGCTGCCTCACTCCAATAGTGAATCAACAAATCACCTCATAACTCATAAACCATAACTAATCAGCCTGATTGCCCACGAGGCCATCCATAATAAACTGGTTAGGAATGACACTGACAGCTGTATACCAATACACGTCCACAAGCTTATTTGTTTAAATAATAGTTCTTTTAAAATGTTATGTCGAAAATCCTAAACAGCAATTCGACAAACATGTCAAAATCTGTAGACTAAAAGGCTACAACTGTAAGTTAGGACTCACCAACATGAATGGGAGCAGGTAGAAGGCCATACTCATGTTCACCTGGAGTGTATTCTAACTTCTCCTTCTTTAGCTGTAGCAGCTGACTGCGAGGACTGATGGGGAAACGCAGAAAGAAAGCCTTTATTTACCTGGGACATGAATGTTAGATGATAAAAAGGGCTTGCTGAACATGTTCACCCTTACTCATCAGTCTTGTACACGTCAGAGTAAAGCCCCGCCTTTTGAAATTTCTTTTTGGGTGGTCTAGCAACTCTCTTCTCCCGTTGAGTGGTCACTGATGGGGTTGGGGCTTGTTCCACGGTAGTAGCGCCTGTGCACTCTGGGGAGGACTGGCTATCAGGTTTTCCCTCCATTGCACTGCAAATAAAAAAAATTATTTATAATGAGATTAAGAAACAATCATGAAAAATATCATCTGCATTTTTAGAGGGCTTTTTGACCATGACATGGAGCCAGAACGTAGATTGGCCAATTTATTTCTATATTCCATGTTGATTTTAAACTAAACTTCAGATCCACGCTGCAAGCGGTAGACCAACAACAACAGACTGGGCCATCTGACCGATCAGAGCAGAGGAAGCTCTTGGAAAGGAGGGATTTAGCAAAACTGAATACTTTATGGAGCCATTTCAGACACTGTGAGAAAAGAGGTGATGTGCTTATCAATATTAAAAACAATTGTTCTACTTAAAGGGGTGATGAACTGAGAAATACAAATTTTCCTTGAGCTTTTGACATCTAAGAGGTCATCATATTATAAGAATATCCTGTAAGTTTCAGAACTGAAAACGTCCTTGTTAGTCCAATAAAAGCGTTTATTGACACCAGCCTCAGCAAACGACTCGTTTTTCAACGTGGGGAACTATGACGACAAAGAGGATAAAACACCACCCCCGCAGAAGAAGATCAACGCCTACTTCAACATGGCTGGTTTAGCCCCACCCACCCATTCGCGCATTACACGCATGGCTAAATAACATAGGCCTGCCTCGAAATGACAAATCGGATCGAGCTACCGAGCAATAGAAAATATTGTGCAGTGCCTGGTTGTGGAAGAAGACAGTCGCCACATATGGGTCCTCTGGATTCCAATAGGACTGCATGGATCAACATTATTTTTAATGACGTTCCAGCTGATGAGGTAAAACATTATCCGTCTGTTCGCTTCATTTCACTGAGGATTGTTTTGTAAACAAGACTGGATTTGCAGACCGATTAAGAGTAATGAACGGTGCTGTGCCGTCTATATTGGATCTGACAGGAATGGTGCAACACACGGACTCAGGGTCGAACATGTATGGGCGAATCATTCTGGTTGCCATTTTACAACATTGGACGTTTTCAAAACAATTTCCCCCACGTGCATCGACGGGTGAGTTGAAACTCATTACAATATGCAAAATCCTCTCCACTCACAGCAGTGGGTGTTTACTTCCAAGTCTTCAGTGCGAGATGCCCATAAAAACCCAGCGTTTTTGAGCTAAGCTCAAAACTAGAGTAGAAAATAGCCTATTATTTATTCATTTTGATGTTTTTGAATGCAAAAACCAAGCGAACGTCATAAGTTGACCTCAGACAACAATATAATAAAATTTAAAAAGCCAGTTCATGACCCCTTTAATATTTTTGTTGAAACTGTGATGCACTTTTTTCAAGATTCTTTGATGAATAGAAAGTTCAAAAGAACAGTATTTATTTGAAAAAGAAAAAAGTAATTAGTAACATTAATGTCATTTACTGTCACTTTTGATCAATTTAATGCATCCTTGCTAAAAAAAGTATTAATTTTTGTACTGCATACCTGCGAAAACAATGCATTTCTTCCTGTGTCAACCATTCCCTCCCTCCTTCTGTTCTAACTCTCGGCATCACATCCTCCTCTCTAGCAGCAGACCGTTCTTCTTCTTCGTCGTCTTCTTCTTCTTCCGCCTCTCTTTCCACCTCTGGTTCCTCTTCTTCCTCATCGCCTCCTTCGGTCTCCCTCTCCAGCGTTTCCGCTTGCGTCCCTTTCTGCGCTGGCTCTGCACTACAGACTCAATGACATCAACCACGGTGTCTCCCTCCCAGAGCACACTTCCTCTGTGCCTTTCAGGTAAAGGGTGGTTCTCTTGTTCAGATGCCTGTGGTGATGGGGGAGGCGAGGGCAGAGGGTACTTACGGGGACGGCCCGGACCCCGTTTTTTCACTACGTTGTTTCCTGTCCGCGCTTGCCTCTGGAGCTTCTTTGCACGGAGGATTTTGTTGACATGGAGCAGGTTGTTTTTGGGAGGGGGCCGATGGGAGTGATGCGAAGGGGGGGAGTCAAGGCCGCATGCAGGCTGGGAGGAGCATGTGGAGGGACTAGCCTGGCGACTGGTGGGCCGAAGAGCTGCGGCACTTCCAGGCTGGTCAAGAGTGCAATGAGAAAGGCAAGAGGAAGAGTGCGAGAGGGATAGAGGAGGGTGGTGGTGCCGATGATGAGGACCCTCGGACACCTCAGGAACACTGGATTGACCACCTCGGTTCATGCCAGACACATTCCCTGTGAGATTAAACCAAAAGGAGAGTTGAGTGGCTGAAAGTCAACAGACAATTATAATAACCAAGGATAAAATAAATGTATACATATAAAACATATATTCCAAATGACTGTTACTGACTGGTTAATGTTGTATCCTTTAAACGTTGAGCCACACTCAATACAGAAAACAGCATCCTGCCACTGATTAACCTAAACTCGAAATTCGTGATTAGATTATTATCTTTATTTTTAACAACTTTATTAACAGGCAAATAACAAAATGGGGACTTGATAATCTTTTCTACACCATCTGTAATCCAATTTATCTCCCAATGGCCAAATTCTGATGTAGAAGAAAAGAATCATCTCACAGATTCAGCAAAAAAGCAGCATCATCTATTCATGTGTGCAGGGCCTCATTAACTGTGTTTCCTCTATCCTCCATTATCCCTTTAATTAACTTAATTTCAGTCTAACTCACTTTCAACACAGTCTAGTCTATTATGTTCTATTCATCTTGTCGTTCCATCAGACAATGTGTTTTTTCCACAATTTCTGTGCGAGACGAGTTACAAGTCAGTTTAATACTTATGGTTAGCTGCTTAGCACTTTGCTCAAATCACATATTAATGACTGTCTGAGCAAGCACCACTAACTATATATGGGCACCAAATCATCAACTAACTCTTCCTTCCAATCACTTCTTAGACTTTTTTTCATCAGCCCTATTTTCCTCTAGCCTTTAATCCTCCTATTTTACTCTTTCTCATCAGTTTCTTGCTCTCACTGTCTGCTACCATGAATTAATGGTGCAGTGAATGACCAGTGGATGACCTCATGTCCTGAGCTCTAATTCTGGATTACATACTACACTTTGCTGTCTCACTAGCGACCCTCTATGCATTAACACATATACACAAACACACTACCCATCCATCCCAGCATGACTGAGAAGCTGCATTGTTATGAAAACTGCTCTGTTTTACCTGGTTCAGTACTGTAACATTTGAGCAGGTGTTTATTAGGGCTGGGTATCGATTCAGATGTTCAATTTCGATTCGCAAGCTCTCAATTCGATTCGATTTCGATTCTCAATTCGACTATAATGAATATACATGTAAAAAAAAAAGAACAGTGCACATAAGTTTACGAGTGGTTAATTAATACAAAGAAATTAAGAGCCACAAACCTGTATATAAAACTATTTTTATTTTAGGTACACTATACACTAAATGCATACAATGAATAGACAGGATTTTGATGCAAGATGCAAAATTAATGCTAAAAATTGGACAAGTCAGAACAGTCGCACAACTTGATCAAACAGGATCAGGTTATTTTATGTTTAAGATAGATATAGATAAATAAATATATAAATAATTAGACAATATTTTATTACATTGATCGCACCTAAATGTTTGTTTTTACAATGGGGTCAATTTTTGTTAAGAGTTTATGCAACACATGGAAGCTTGATTTCAATCTTTGAATTAAATTGAAAAAAGTAGTACAAATAAATACAACAGAAAAAAGACACAAAAAAACATAAAAAGGAAAAAGTTTTTGGGGTAGGTCAGAAATAGCACAGAAACTGAATAAAGTAATCCAAAATAACACTGGATAGTCTTTTAGTACTGATTGAATTAAATATATAGGCTATTAATTCTGATTTCTTACAGTTAAAATGCTATATTATGTTGTTTTGACGACAAAATTTATGACAGACACATATGGCTGCGTTCACTTTAAGAACTAATGCATGGATCCATTACTTTCATTACTGTCTGTCACACGCGATTTATGCTTATTTAAAACATAACAGACTGTCTTTACGAGGTTATCATCACCAAGACCAGAGTCTTGAGATAATTTTGCGTGTCACTGTCAAAGCAATATAATCCACGGAAAAGAACAATATAATCCACGGAAAATAAATAATCCACGGAAAAGCAATATAATCACGGAAAAGCGAGCTGTTTGCGAGGCGGATTTAGGCTTGACTGTACGTGCACGCAGTGAAAAACATCTCTGAGAGGGCGCGAGTTTGCGTGAATGTTTAAACTGGTAAAACTTAAAAAGAAGTGAAAATGATAAATGTTAGTTACAATCACGATGCAATGCTGGCCCGATTTTGCAAGTGAATATTCGGTCATGTCCCGACTCCTAAACATGAGTGTGTATCGACGCCTGCTGCAGTGCTTGTCGCTTACCTTGTGCAGAGAGAGAAGACGCGGCACCACAAGCCCTGAATATGTAAAAAATCGATTTGTGGCCATTGAGAATCGATTTTGAATCGACCACATTTTTAAAAACGATTAATCGAAAAATCGATTTTTTTGCCCAGCCCTAGTGTTTATATGTGAATGTGAAAAAAATGTAGCTCCAGGTCTATATATGTAAGTAGCCTATTTGGAATCCCACTGCTATTAGAGGGCAGAAGAAATTATTTTGCAACAAGCCATTCTGCGTATATACTCGATAGTTTGTATTGTAGGACTTTTAACTACAAGCTGCAGCTTTGACTATTCTTGTATTAACTGCTTTAAACAGGTCATGCAAAATGCTTTTAATGTGATGACCAGGCCTTGAAATCAATACAGACCACTGACAGGAAGTACTGAAGACTAATCATAAATTTGCAGCATGCACTGAAGCAAGTGAGTCCAATAAAATTTTAGCACAGAATTATGGAGGACGCCGAGGTAAAGCTATATTTAGAGAGTGACAACATTTCACTGCATTAATTCTACAACCTTGACAATGTCAAACTAAATTAGGGTCACATCAGGAGGCTCATATTTGCATTCAGTCGGTTGAAAACAACATGTAAAAAAAGGACACTACTGAACTGAAAATGGATGTAATGTAATACTTTTGCGCTATAATTATGGTTTATAGGTTTAATAGGCTTATCAATATCAGCATTAGTTCATAAGATTTTTCACTTACCCATCTCTCTCCTCTCTGCAGACGTGGAACGATCCCTTCTCACTGTCCGGTCCAAACGTGAAAGGCTGGGGCTCTCTGACGTTCCACCTTTTTTGCTCCGACTCCCCTTGAGCGAAGTTCGAGATAGTGCAGATGCAAACAAGTTGGTGTGGTGGCTGGTTTCTGCCTCCTCAACGGGGGAAGCAGCATCTTCCTCGTCACTCTCTGAGCACTCCACTGTATTTTGCGCATGTCCTTCAGAGAATGCACCAGACCCAGAAAGGGACTGATTTCTACAGAGTTTGGAGTAATCAGTATCAGAACTTCCCATTCTAAACCAGGAGTCAACCGGATGATGTCCCCGGCTTGTGCTGCCCAAAGACAGTCGTGAAGGCCCAAGACAAGACAAAGAGGCTTCTTTACGCTTGTACCGTTCTGCAGAAGATGAGGAGGAAGAGGAAGGAGAGTTGGCAGAGGCTGCCTGTTTGTTAGCACTGGAGTCAGCAGAGCCATCTCGCCCAAACCGGCAGCGCTGAAGGGACTCTACACTCCCTCGCTCCCCTCTTCCAACTCCCATCCCCTCACCTCCTCCACTTCTGCCACCTATGCTACCTACAACTCCACCACCATCATCACCCTCCTCTTCTCCACAGCGATCACGGTGCTTGTGTCTATGCTTGTGTTTGTGGTGCCAGCCAAATGACAGCTCAGACGACATGGCAGGATAGAGTACTGACGAACGACCACCACCTAGATATTCCTGCCTAAGCAGCTTATGTTTCTTCTTGTGAAATTTAGAGGGGTTAAGAAGCAGGTGGGATGGGTGATGATGATGGACATAAGAAGGGGGCGGAGGTGGAGGAAAAGAGGGGGAATGAACATGGTGGGATGGGCCAGAGTGGGGAGTCTGGTGATGGGGGTGGGGGTACAGGGCACTTGCTGGGGTATAACCTCGATAGTAGCCAAGTCCCAGTGGGGCAGAAGAGTATGGGACACCATAAGAAGGGTGATAAAAACCACCGCTAGACAGGGGAAAGCCTAACCCAGGTACAAACGGTACTTCTGATATAGATTCTCTGAGCTTAGGTGGCCGTCCTCTTTTCTTTTTAAGATCTGGCTTACGGACATAATGAAGTGAATCACATGGGTAGGCTGGATGGGGCGAATAATATCCACTAAAATTTATCCTGAAGATGGTGGGCAAGAGGTCTCTATGTAGATAGTGATGGGGTGGTGGGTTGGTTCCACCTCCAAGGCTGCTGCTGGCTCTGGCACTTCCCAAGCTAGACCCACGGGCCGGTCCTGCTGCCCCAGCACCCAGACCCAAGCTGCTACCCAAACGAAGTGTAGGTGTGCGATGAGCAATTCGTATATCACTGAGCTGAACACAGATCTCATCCAAATCAGCCAAAAAGTCTGGGTCCTGTCGGCGTGTCCGCAGCTGAAGGTACTTCTTCTTGCGTTTGCGCTTTTGCCTTTTTATTTTGTCATAGCTAGGGCAGCCATGTGCACGACGCTTGCACTTATGCTTGTGCTTCTCTTTATGTCCAACCAAAGCAGATGATGGGGCAGCTGGGTGCGGTCTTCTTGGGTCAGGTGATGCCCTCGCTCCAAGTGGAGAGGGTGTAGGTGACGGACGTTCCAAGAGAACTGAAGATGAGTGCCGCCGCCTTCCTCTGGAAGAAAGTCCCATTCCCGCTCCCATGGCTGGACCTATGACACCAGGCATTAAGAGACCACTTGCCATACCCTGTGAGACCCCTACATTAGCTAAGCCACTTGCACAACCAGCCTTTTCCCCACGGTCAGAGGTGCTGTTGTTGTCTGTTCCAATGCCACTGTCACTGGGTACCGTCTCTTCGCTGTGCGATTCACTGACTGGGGAAGGTGTGGCCTCCTTCAGCTCACTCAGTGGAGCAGGAGACGTGGGCAATAGCGGCCTTGGGGGAGAAAACTTCCGATAATGGTAGTGTTGCCGGTAGTGGTGGTGGTGATGGTGGTAACCCCGGCAAGAAGACTTCTTTTGAGATGGGTGTGTTGTGGATGATGATGTGGAGCTCCCTATAGTGCGAGCAGATGGGGCTGAAAAAGTAGGTGGGGGAAAGGAGAACGAGTGGTGGCCCTGATGGGAGTGGCTGCAGTGTGGGTGGGATGAGAAATGCACTGAGCCAGGCTCAACAAAGCTAGCATCGCTAATGGGACTTTGACCTCCACTTGACTGTGAGAGTGATGGGGAAGGGAACACCTCAGATGGAGGCAACTGGTGTTGCTGGTTTTGCAAGGTCTGCGACTGGTGATGATGGAGTGGGGAAGAAGTGTTTGGCGACAAGAACGGTTCTGGAGGGGGTGTGGGGGCACCTGGGGAGAGATTAGCTGATGATTTTGGCTTACGACCCCTCCTTTTACCCATATATATTGTCCCCTTTTTGCTAACATTGATCTGCGGCCCTAGTTTGCCCCCAAATGTAGCAGCCAGTGACGAAAGAGACTGTGGTTTTGTAGCAGCCGGTGCTCCTGGTGGCCCACTGTTTCTGGGGCCTTCCTGCTCAGTCCCTGGTTTCGGCCCAAGCAGAATTTGGCTGAGGAGCCTCTTTCGTTTCACTGTCTTCATTTTATTGATTTTGCCTATAATCGTCTTCATGATGAGCTGCCCATTGCCCTTATTACGAAAAGGTTTTTCACCAACTGAAGCATCCCCTGACTCAGGAGCAAGTGTTGGGGGCTGGGTTTCTTGTGGAAGGGTTGGAGGTAAGCGCTTGGGGCGCCCTCGCTTTCTTGCCATGGGTTTAGGTGGATTAAAGTCCACTTCAGGGTGCAAAACAGGGGGGTCCTGCTCTTCTTTAGATTTGAGCAGACTGGAGTAGACTTTTGAGGGTGCCAGTTTGTTTGGGGTGCGGCCACGTGCTGGTGCATCTAACCGAGGCATTTTGTTCTTGGGCCGTCCCCTCTTCTTGGGTGAAGATTCAAAAAGTTCTGAAACAACAGTGGGCATTAGATTAGAATTGGGGGGCATTAGATTAGAATTTGGAGGTCGTCCCACAGGACGCCGAACAGGGGATAGGGATGAAAGCCCTAAGGGCATTGGTGTGGTGAGTTTCTGATGGTTAGTAGCAGCCTCAAGTAAAGACTTGTGGGTTCGATTCACCGCCTTCGTCCAGCGAGGTCGCCGTCCCCGCCGCTTCTTAAGAGGCTTTGAATCCTGCTCAGTTGGTGATGCAGGAGATGCAGCCCCAATGTCATCGCATAGTGGTGTTGGGCTCCTGCTGGCAAGAGAAGGGTATGAAGGAGAAATAGTGCATTTGGTGGAATCAGCAGGACTTGGTACCCCACTAACACGGCTTTCCTGATTGGGACTACGTTTGACTGGGCTTGAGCTCTCACTGTGTTTACCCCTCTCACTTCGAGGAGCTGACAAAGGACACCTTTCTTTAGCATCTTGCTTCCCTGCCATGGCTGGAGTGGAGCCCTTACTTAAATCTCTGGGACTGTCCATGTCTTTGTCTCGGTCACGCTCTTTGTCTTTCTCAGTAAACTCCTCTATTCGGGAGGGGCTTGCTCTAGGGCATGAGGCTACGGAGCCTGGCAAACCTATGTGAGGTCCTGTACTTCCAATTCTCTCTGAGGAGGAGGATGACGAAGAGGAAAATATTGGTGAAGAAAGAGAAGCCGTGGAGGAAGAATGAGATGGGCAATGCCCAAGACGAGATTTTAATCCATTGGTGGTACTGTTGTCAGTGCTTTCATTTGTGGATGTCGTTGTCAAACGACTATTGTTTTGAGACAGAACAGTACTAGTGGTGGTGGTGGTTGTGCTGCTGTTGCTATTCGTGACACCTTTTGAAAGTCCATCTGATTCCTCTTTTCTAGAGGTGCCAGAAAATTTTTCCAGTATACTGTCTTTGTTTTTGGAACCATATGGGCGACCTGGGGGCCGTGAAACAGGTGGAGCTGGGGCATGGTGCACCGCCCTGGAATAAGTGTTCCTATTTGCCATAGCCCGTTCAGGACGCTGCAGATTAGAAATTAAGGGAGGTGAGCTACTGTGTGCTGGAGCTGGAGACACCTTCCGGGCTTTCGGCTTTGGGCACTTTGAAGGTGGGCATGTAGCAATGAGCTGTGCAAGCTTCTCGGTCACAGTAGGGGCACCCCAGGCAGAAATTCCTCTTTCTTGTTCCTTTTGCCCCTCAGAAAAATTGTACTGAGAAGATTTTAAGATCCCATCTGTTTTGGGTTCCTGTTGTGATGTGACAGCTGGGGGCATTGTTGGTGGCGATGGGGCGGGGGAGTTGGTTTGTGGAACATGGTTTTTCTTTCCAGAGGAGTGTGATTTGCTTTCTGTCATGGGGCGATGAAGGTTAAGGGGTCTCTCTGAAGAAGCAACAGATTTGACATCAGCTTTTCCTTCGGACTTACAGGCAAGTTTTGGAGGACCCTATATGTATATAAAGAATAAAATACTGAGTCACAGAAACACCGTTACATACATTTAATTTAATGGAATATGGAAAATCATGAAACACAAAAAAAGGATGCATTATTAACTGTGCTGGATTTCTCCAAGCTTTTAGAAAAAATACCTAATTGTATGTCTTTTTTAATGTTTTATGCCACTAAAATTCCTGTTCATTATTTTAATATTGGACCATTTTACTTGTTTATTTTCTTCTTTCAAATCAATAATACAGCAGCAGGACAGCAGAGAGAGAGAGAGAGAGAGAGAGAGAGAGAGAGAGAGAGAGACGGGAGAATGAGTATGTGTTCAAAATAGAGAAATAGAAACCGGGTTAAGAGACATTAGGACAGAGTTGAGACAAAGTTGGAGAAACAAAATCTAAAAGTGAACAACAAAGTGCTCTGGGTCAAACAGAAAAGCATAGGCCTAGTTAATGGAGAAATGAGGAAAAGGAAAGTGTTTGGGTTACTGAAAAAGAGAAAAGTGAGAAGAGTGAGCAAAGCTTATTTATCTGAATGAAACCACAGTTTAGCAAAAGGAAAGTGTAGTGAGAGGGATATTTGAAGTTTGTCTATCCCTTATCCCTGTTGGTTTGTTGTACTGGATGCTTGTTATGTAATTTTAGCTAGTCTTTTTCATTGTTTAAAATTTCTTAGACATCTAAGAAATGCTGCATGACAAGTTTAAACAACCTTACCCTTTTTGCTGGAGCACTTCCATTCACAGGAGTGACTTGACTGGTTGAAACCGGCGGTGGAGGAAGAGAAGGCGAGGGAGATGCAGCAGCAGGAGCAGTAGATGATAGAGGTGCTCCTCGGTTGACAGAGGGGCTTTTCTCTCCTTCTTTTGCATGACTTGGGCTAGAAGTGTGGCTGCTCCCATCAATGGCTCCAGCCCCACGATTACCACGCCCTCCGCCTCTGCCTCCACTATGTCTTACAGTGGCTCGGAAGGCTGGCCGACAGACATAGTTCTCAAGGATCTTAGGTGGCTTCTTCATGCGTTTGGCCTGCAGGCCTATTTTGAGTTTGACGTTACCCTCAGAGTAACTGGTTTCTTTGACTGAGAACTGTGTGGGTTGCTGTTGTTGGTCACTAGTCCCACTTTCAGCACCACAAGATTCACTCTGTGCTCCATCTCTCGGTTTCTCTCGCTTCTTCTTCTCCTCTTCATCGTCCTTCTTCCCTCCTACTCCTTCCTTCTCACGTTCTGTTGGGGGGGCATTGGCAGGGAGTGGAGGTGGCGTAGAGGGCCCCCCCTGTGTCCTCTGATCCATTGGTGATTTGGGGAACAAGGGGGGCTTGAGGGTGACAGGATGTTCTTACTTGCAGGTATAGGTACAGGAGGACTTTCCAGATGTCAGGTAGGAGGAAGTAAGTTGAATGGAGGGGAAGGGGAAGGGGGGTGTAGCAGAGGTCGGAAATAAATCCTTGTTGGGTTGAAGCAATGTCGTCCCTTGCCAAGTGCCCAGCTCTCTCACCTTCAAACTGTGGAGATAAAAACAGAAGGTTGTTAAGACCAAAAGACAAATAAGCCACAATTCTAAGACAGCGTTAACCTTTAATGTAATTATTAACACAGAATGGTTTGCAAACATGGATCACTACTACCACCACAAATACGACTTTGGATGATACAAACTTAGGACATAGAAAGGCTAGACAGCTGCAATTCACTAATATCCAGAAATCTGCTGCCAGACATAAAGCTGACACAAATTTACTTTATAAACTAAACACATTTCAGTAATATTTTTATGAATCATTGAGGCTTTTGAAGAAAACTTTTTTTACAACTGCATTGCTTCATAGCTTCATATTCTAATAACTGCACAAAAAAAGTACTGGGGGCTTTTGCCGCTAACACACCTCCAAAACAAAAGGCCACCAAGTAATTTAGTACTGCACCAGCCACAGGTGCTTTCTGCGGGTCAAGTCATTGGGAGGCGAGACCGAGCGGTGACCTCAACATAAAAGGTCCTCTGGGAGACAGAGGATCCAGTCACCTTTCCGAGCCTTTTTATGACTTCTAGTCAGAAAAGCACAGAGAGTGAATGAAAGGCCCGGGAAAGAAAAGGAAAAAGAGAGGGAAGTGGACAGTTTCTTTATGCCCCACTGAGAGTGATGGTTTAAATATTACACAAGTCTATTAAGAACGCTTAGGGCATTGGAGCGTTACATGTATGGTTACGGACGTTTAGAGCTCGGCACGAGAAAAAGCTCAGAGAGCCGTTTTACGGGGTCTTATTTCATTAGTGGTGGTCTTTTATATTGAGAGAGTTGTTTTCTGTGAAATCACCACAACTACAATCTGGCTACAGAACTTGGAATCATGCCTTCCCTTTCTCTACTCTGACTTCTCTATGTTTACTATGATTACTCACCCCATTTCACTTAAACACTCTTCCATTCGCTGCTTCTCGCTTCACACATGGTCCTCCAAAAATCACACCTCGCTTGTTCTGTGTCCGACCTACCCTTTCACCCCATTCTGTCACCCTCTTCATCCTCTCACTCATTCAGTCTCCCTCTAACACTCACTTGGAAATCTAACAGTACAGCGGTCAAACTAGAGCGGTTGTGCTTCTGCTAATCGAAAACACATTTCCCTAGCACTCCCTCCCTCCATCTTTTTTTCCCTGGTCCGTCCCTCTCTTAGTGACAATCATTCCCCTATTTCCTCAGCGCTCTGGGTCATACTCCGCTTCTCGTTACTGTGTTATTCGCTCTCTTGTCCCTCCTCTCTTTGCGGAGAAGATGCCAAAAATAAATGCTACCTTGTATTGCAAAATGGCTGCGGGAAAAGTCTTGAGGGAAATCTGGACAGAATTGCAGCAAGCTATCGCTTGCTAATAATCCAAGACGTTTAAATTTATGTATCTGATGCTATAGGAATCACATGCTCTTGCCGTTGCAAGCATCATACTCTATAAGTTGAGCTACCAGAACAAAATAATTTAAACAAACCAACTAAAACACTATTTTACACTAGTTGTGTTACAAATATTACACATTACTAGTTAATTACTACTTATAAAAATGTGAACTATATATAATTGCACTAATACAAATGGGTTAAACTTTATTTTAAGGCGTCTTTGTTACACTGTAATTATGTAATTATGCATAATTTCAGGTTATAGTAGTATTTTGTAGTTATAGTAACTTCATGTAACAATGACACTGTAAAATAAAGTGTTGCCCAAATATGACACACCAAGTATATAGTTAATTACAGCTTCTTTTCAGTTATTTATGGAAGTACGTGGAAATATGAACACTAAAAGAAAGTGTGACAAGATAAAGCTATTTGTCTCAGTGTAACAAAGTGAATTTATCAACAGACAAAAACTGTACTCTGAAGTCGATTCCTCTATCCACGCTCTTTCAGCACCTGTCATTCATGACTCTATAATCTGTGCTTGTTTTGGCAGCATAGAGATATAATATACTAACTCAGTGTGTTTAGACAGCCTCTTCTTCAACTATGAAATTAGGTGCCCTCGTTTATTATATGAGTACTAAAAGCCACAACCTCCAGTCAGCCAAAAAACACTGCAGGACAAATTGGGAGACAGTGGAGCAGTTGAAGTTTGAGAGATTTTTAGGGTGCTTTCACATCTGTCTCATTTAGTTCGGTTGAATCGCATTAGAGTTCGCTTTCCCTCTTGGTGCGGTTCGTTTGGGCAGGTGTGAAGGCAGCAATCGCACTCAGGTGCGCACCAAAAGCGGACCAAGCGTACGAGGAGGTCTCTGTACGCTTTCAAACGAACTCTGGAGCGGTTTGTTTGTGGTGAGAACGTGATCCGACTTCGAACAGACCCAACTGCCAAATAACTGTGCATTTTTGGACTAAACCAGCTGCAGTAGTAAACAAAATGATTATTTTTATTTTTATAGCCAATAGCGCTCTCTTTAAGCCATGACTGACTTGCCGCGTTCTGCACTTTCACTAAAACACTCATAATAAACACTGAAGTTGTCCGCACTGCACAGTGAATCTCTTATTTATATCGCGTCTATACTTTGTTGTTTAAGATGGGATTTGCGAAAGGCTGTGCTGATTCTGAACATACATTGCGAGTGAATTCTCCGCATGTCAGCCAGATTTTCCTCGTTCGTCTTTGTTTACTTCCAGGAGTTCTGTTGGAATTTTCACGCACGTTCTGACCAATCTAAGTGCACTTATGGAAATATGTTCAAGACATATCTGGCCAACGAGTAATGTGGGTGTTGTCACGTCGACTCACATGACTATATTTTGGTTCATTTCATCAATTCATCAACTGATTCGGAACAGAGCAATCAGTGTGGTGTGAAAACAAACCAAACCCTTGGTCCGGATCAAATGAACCGAACTACAGATGTGAAAGCACCCTTAGTGAGGATTATGGTGAATAGAAGGCAAGGAGAAAAAACTCTTTTCCAATCGACAAATTGCATCTAAAAGCTAGTAAAAATATGGTGTATATGACAGTAAACAATTAGCATCTCTTCTCATTTTCCACTTATCCCTTTACATGCAGTTATGTCTTGTTTGATTCAAAACTGTCTTTTAAGCTACTATTTCCATAGTGGAGTTGCTATGCAACCAGAGTAGCAACTCATTTTTTTAATATTGTGAGACGTATCTGAAGTAAACATTATCAAAAAATAAAAAAGGTAGGGGACTGAGTTCTATTCATCAGATACAAATTGGATGGAGTTGATTGGATGCAAGCTTGCAGATTGTATAAAAGGGGCGGGGTTTAAGTGAATGCCATGATTATAGAAGTCTAGCATGTCACCAAAAAGACGTCTGTCATTTCACTGGAAAATCTAGTTGACATTGATTAAAAATTACAAGCTTACATGCATAGATGAACCAGCCACAATAAGATCAAAAACATGCATTTAGAAAAATAGGGTGAATTTTGTTTCATGCTGACCCAAAATGTAATGTATTTAGACATTCAAAGGAATAGTTCACCTAAAAATGAAAATTCTGACATTCTGGTTACCAACATTCTTCAAAATATCATATTTTGTGTTCAACAGAAGACAGATACAAGATTGGGACAACTAGAGGGTAAATAATGACAGAATTTTCATTTTAGGGTGAACTTTCCACACTTGAATGTCATTGCATTAGAAATCAATATCCAGCCAAGTGGCATCGGCAAACAAATAATGTCTATACTTTTCTGTCTAAAGTTAATTTTACTTATTTAGACATCTTTGCAATTATTTTTTTTAACCAACGGGTATCAAAAGTGATTTTTTTTAGTGAAGTTTAGCACATCAACTATGAATGTTAACGTTTAACAACAAGAAAGTCCCTACATAATTTTAATCTTCATTTGAACCGTATATAAAAAGTAGACTTGTGCATGTGCTATCTGTTTTGTTTTTTTTAAATGCAACTACTTTTTTTACTCCTCATCTAATAAAATGATATTCATTCCATTTTAAGTGTCTATTATTTTGGAGCAACTGTTTATCTACTAACTCGCCACTTAGCATCAGATGCAATAGTAAACTTCTCTAACACAGGCTAAGCATTGGGATCTGCTGTTGATCTGCACTCATATTTCAAACACAATGCGTCTTAGCACAATCTTTTCCGATCACAAACTAATGCCTGCAATCATGGCTATCCACTCAAACAGCACTCAGGCAGCGGGAAGCTTAGTTCTGGTTTCCTTGACAGCGGAGTCAGAGGTCAAAGGTGGTTCAGAGGCTCCAGACACCACTTTCTACACTTTCCTACGCTCCTCAAGACATCTGCTCCAATGGGAAAAAATATAACCAAGCAAAGGCGCGCGCAATTTGCATGTGCACTGAACCCTATTAGGAGTGAGGTTAACTGAGGATGATCTACTCGCAGGTGCTTCTGGAGGTTCATTTCAATGAAACTTGTCTTTTTTATGAACACGCAACACCAGAACTCATTCATGAATACCCCAGCACCTAGTAAACACCATACGTTCTGGCAACAACAAACAAAGCTCGCGAGTTACGCATCAAAATACTGAATTTTCCTCACTTGTTTTGACAGCTGATGCCCTAATAAACAAACCACCTGGATTAAATAATTTATTGAGTATTTGCAGTTTAAATACAGAAAGAATTAACAAGCCACTCACCTTGATAGCGGTCCAGAACTGCGTTCACATAATTTGCGATCAAAATCCTCCCTTCGTGCGCAACAGCATGGTCGCTTGGATATTTATCTTGAAATTGCTGATATGGCCAAAAAAAAAAAGCAAAAGGGAAAACGGTCACATTTTTCGAGAGAACATTCTAACCAATGCATGGCATAACGAAATATTCGTCAAGCCTGTCACGTTTGAAATAGTCACCCCGCAAAAATTACGATATTTATATACGCGAGGCGCACTGGTCACGGTTTATGATCCTAATATAGCTAGCATAGCTAGTTAGCAAAGCATCATATCTTGAGCTAAACCTTACATTACTGTATATGTCAAAAACTAGACTGCATGAAACAATATTAGCAAGTTATTAGACTGTGACTCTTACTACAGAGGGATGTCAAAATATATTGCTGCCATTGCAATTTTTTTTTAAGACACATGTCAGAGCAATGTAAGTTCATCGCGGCTACAACCCCACGTACACAACGTCAACGGTCATTTAATTCACGTCTCTGTGTTGTTTACTACCTCTCAAACGAGTGAATTCACACCAGGTAATTGGTACCACTAAACCCGAACTCTAATGAAACGGCTGATCTGTCCTGTCAGGCACATTTACTGGGTATGGCTAGCTAAACCCCCGCGATCCGTCCACACGACCAGTAATGTAACGAAGCAGCCACTGTTGGTGTGTTTCAGATTAGTAAAGTGTTCCCTTATCGCCCCGGTCGTCAAAAAAGATCCAACAATGGCGTACAAACATCCTCGGGAGGACCAAAAGAAGCAGAATACAAAAATCTAACCCTCTTCGGGATGAGCCTTGCACGGGTTATTAAAAACACGAACTGTCAACAAAATGGCGGCTGCTGCGTTGAATCAACAGAGGACCCGAAATGGATCTCTCCCTCAAATTCTTCACCCTCTCCCCCGTCTTGTGTGCGGCGCTTGTTACCCGTGATAATCCGATGTGTCGCCCGAATCCCTCTCCGGGTCAGCGTTAGTCGAGCTCAGACGCGTCGGAATGGGCCTCTCTCGTTAATCGGGCCTCCATGTCTGCTAAGCCCGTATCGTTTCTGTCAGTACACCACGGGCATTCTCACAGTCAGAGCGGGCGGGAGGCGAGGTGAGGAAAGGAGGGGGACGGGTAGAAGGGAGGGGAGTCGAGGGCAGTTGTCGAAGAACTAGGTTGTTCGACACTTTCTCCCTGCTAAATTGTACGGGGCATATTCAATTACAGACATTTGAACAACATACGGGCTATAATTGTTTTCTTCAGATGGACATATAGAGCAGTAACGTTAACGTTACACGTTTGATGAATCACTAAAAGATTGACTCCTGAGCAAGAGGGTCGTGTGTTGTACGCTCGTGGCAGTGTTTACCCACAGTGAAATATCGAGACACCCCTGGGAATCATTGCCGTGAGGCGGGTTGTGTAATAGTATAAGTGAGCAGAATCCATCATTAGGAGACCAGCAACTAATAGTTGCTTGTTTTGAAGGAATCTTTTAAGTGGAACAAGGACATAAAGTTTCAAGAGGGCTGTCATTGTTAGATTGTTTATCACCTGAAAGTGATTCAAGTGATATTTAAAGACAAATTAATTAATAATAATTATGACTTTCAGTTAAATGACTTTTTTTAACAGGTCAGTTCAGTAAATTATTCAATGACTCACAAAACACACTACAGAAAGGGCTACTGAAATTAAATCTTTTTAGTTGAAGAAATTCAGGGCTGCGTCCAATCGCATACTTTCTTGTGAATAAGTAATAACTTAGTAATAAGTTCTATATAGTATGAATATGTGTAGTATGAGTGTAATCTGGATGTAGCTACACCATGTCATTGTGACCAGTTATGTTGCTTCACTGCCATTCATAAATCCTCTCCTGTGGCCTCATGGGATTGAAAAGTGTCCATCGTATGCACACTTCAGAATCTAGCCGGAAGTAGTAGGTCATCGGGGGGCTTTTTGCCTGCTCTTTTATGAGTAGGCCTACTGTGAATTCGGACATGTTTCTTTCGTCGCATTCTGTTTTTCACCTTTATAGGGAAATATGCGATTTCAGATGCAGCCACTGAGTTTAATCAAAATCCCAACAACTATTGCGAAAAGGGCATCAATTATAGCCATTTCTGGATCCTGTTGTGTCATGTCATGTCAGTGGATATTAGCTGTGGAGTTGTGTAACAGCACAAGTGGGCATAATTCGCAATAAGAAACAATGACCACTGAAATCTGCATTTTTATTTGACCTTTATTTCATTTATTTGACACAAACTCCCTTTGAACTTTTGAATCAAGCTTGGAGGAGGTGGGATGGTGAAATATTCAGTTGTGCAAATGTTTTTTTACATTGATCTGAGTGACTGCATTTACACAAGTGCCGAGTGTCTTATTATAATGTCAAAGGATTATCATTGTGGGGACTGGTCCATGAAGAAATATGAAGTCCTGTGTCTCATTTATCTCTACCAATCATACAGAAATGGCCTTGGTAAAACAAATGGAAATCAAAATTCATAGTTCAAGTGAAACTGTTCCTGTTTTGTAACTAATTTGATGTGGGATTTTTCAAGCTGCAAATGAGATAATTAATCTGACTGACTGCATGGCATGAGGACGTGTCAAATATTAATAACATAAATTAATTAGGAAGCTATGTTCAGAAGCTTTCTCCTCATACAAAATCTAAATGACTGATCAATTTTGAAAAGCATATCTGCCTCTCAAAGGATGCAAACACACCATGGGTCGGTAGGATTTTTTTGTGTTTTTGAAAGAAGTCTCTTATGCTCACCAAGGCTGAGAATGCCTTTTATTTGATAAAAAAAAAAAAAAATACAGTAAAAACAGTAATCTTGTGAAATACTATTACAATTTAAAATGTTTTCTATTTCTAAATTATCATTTATTTCCCGTGTTGGCAAAGCTGAACTTTCAGCATCATTAATCCAGTCTATAACCTATTCTAATATGCTGATTTGCTGCTCAAGAAACATTTCTTATTATCATAAATGTTGAAACTCTTTATTTTATATTATTGTGATTCATAAAATGATCAAAAGAACAGCATTTAATTGAAATATAATTTTTTATAACATTATAAATGTTTTTACTGTCACTTTCAATCAATTTAATGCATCCTTGCTAGAAAAAAAGTAATTAAAAAAATCACAGACCCCAAACCTTAGAAAGGTGTATGTAAAACTAAACACAACTCACAATTCTGATTAATTTATGGAATTATTATTGGTGGTATTTGGTATATCATAATATGATTATTAATCACAATTCTATAATGAGTCTTCAATCCAATACTAGGCTTAAATATTTAAGATTACTAAATATTATGTAAAATAAATATTAACATTGTTTTTCCCATCATTAGGTTGAATTATTTATAATATATCATCAGCCACCCTGAACTTAAGCTATTAACCATGAAAACCCTATGTAGTCTTAAACACACAAAACTTGTAATAAATTATTTTATTTATTTGCTTTGAGAGTGCAACATGTAATAGGTTGGCTTATAAAAGTGATGTGCCTTTTTTCGAGTTCATGCATTATTTTTCTTGTAAACATTTTACGTTCACGTTTGAGATTGAATGACATTCAAAATGTTCAAAGGCCATATTGTGAAGTGAACATTCTTATATATATGGCTGTACCTCAATATCAAAATATGGAGCAGAAAGTCAAGGAACCCTGAGAATGAGGACAAAAGCACCCAAAGGAACAGCTTCAAGATATACACTAAGTACTTTTTTTTTCAAATCTATCTTCAAAAAGCCCAAAACCTACACGAAAAAACTAATGTAAATCAACAACAACCACATAACAGAAGCGTAAACTATCAATCCAAAACACGAGACTAAACGTTAAGAGCAGACTAAACGTTTGACAGCGCAAAACTTCAGCAGGTATCTTAAATCTTCGTGTTTATGATGCCTCTATGAGAGAGAAAGCATGTGTGAAACAGATGTCATCCATTGACAGGTAAGGGAAAGTGAACTGTGCGCTGACTTCTTTGTGATTATTGAAACGAGAGCTCTGAAGAAGCTATAGGGTAAACGTGTGCCATGCCATTAAATATGCATTATGCAACTTGAACCATATCCCCTGAGGCATCTGTATCATCTATCTCAGCGGTTGTGAGCTCCAGTCCTGCGGGCCCACCGAAGAGACTGTTTATCCCAACCTGGAATTATCAAAACTGAAGTCAAAGTTGAAATGCGTTTGCTCAGGTTGCTCATGGGATTTTAGTTCACAAACCTTATAAAAACAAAATGAACAGATATAGATGCTTATCAAATATATATTGTTTTAAACAGGGTTGTCTGAATTAAAAATGTCTCTCGAAATAGAAGGCACTTGACTGGAAGGTCTTTTTAGGGTCTCCAAGAAGCACTGATGCACATGGCTATGGTGCTTCTCCTTGTCCTGGATTGATCAAACTAATCAAGGAAGGAAAAGGAGGTTAAACAGTCTCAAAGGTGCTACGTTCCTCTACATTCGCCGGTGAGGGGATTGCCCCAGGAGGTCCTGTCTGTGGCTGGGAACCCCAGTCTTCACCATCCAGACTTTTCCGGCAAACAGGGCAGGTGTCATGCTATTAACACAAAACAGCACAAAATTAGGACAGAAGAGTCATTTCTTTTCCGTTTAATTTTTCTCATACGCTACCGTTGCGGTCACTATCACTAAATTGTAATAATATTTCACAATAGTACTGTTTTACTGAATTTTTGATCAAATAAAAGCAGCCTTGATGAGCATTAGAGACTTTTTAAATGGTAGCATAGGTTATTTTACCACATAATTTAGTATTCCATGACCTAGTTTTCAAATATCATTAACGTCTGAGCACATTTCAAACCTGTCACCTCAAAAATTCATGTTTGTGGTATGACTGGATGTAATGTTGTAGAGAAAAAATGTGAGTCTCTTCAAGTAATGTTAACCACAATGTTTATTGTGCTCATAAATTTGAAAACTGACATTTAAAAAAAACCAAGTGGAAATTCCCGAGGGTGAATTAGACTCCGGGTTGGTCTACAAATTGACGTCATGACTGACCACCTCTACAAACTTTGATTATTAGTCAATTAGAGTAAGGCTGTTTTTCCAAGTCCACCACTAGAGGTCCTTCCAAACATTTTTGCTTGTATAACCAACAATTACACATGGCCACCACTATTTACGACAAGCAGGCAGAACTAAATTAAGATTATGTTTTGGTTTCATAAACTTGAGTCTGATGACAGAAGACCCAGCGCTAAGGTTGTTTTATGAGACTCATACCAGTTGAAGCCAGGGCACAATACAGTTGCTGTGAAAGTAGTGCAGACAGGGCAGCTGTCGGACAGATTCCCCAACAGAGTATTCCTCTCTACACACGGGGCATTCCAGCCGGCATGCTGTGAGAGAGAGAGAGAAAAATATGCATGGATGAACATAAAAGAAAAACGGAAAAAGCAATTGTGAAGTGCTGCATCCCAGTTTACAAGTGCCACTATTATAATTTTTCGAATACAACCTTTCACGCAGAGTGAAATATAGCTGTGTGTAAATGTAAAATGTCTGCAAAGTTTCAAAAATCTAAGTTCACTCCTAAAATAAAGAATAAATTCTGAACTGGCGAAATGAGTCGTCAGGAAGTAGACCAATAACAAGAGACTGGGCCGTCTGACCAATCAAGCTTGTGGAAAGAAGAGGTTTAGAGAGACTCAATCTTCAAATAAACCATTTTCAGCATGAACCTGAGAAATTAGGTGATGTGCAATGTACACTCAACTAAAGGATTATTAGGAACACCATACTAATACTGTGCTTGACCCCCTTTCGCCATCAGAACTGCCTTAATTCTACGTGGCATTGATTCAACAAAGTGTTGAAAGCATTCTTTAGAAATGTTGGCCCATATTGATAAGATAGCATCTTGCAGTTGATGGAGATTTGTGGGATGCATATCCAGGGCACGAATCTCCCGTTCCACCACATCCCAAAGATTGGATTGATATCTGGTGACTGTGGGGGCCATTTTAATACAGTGAACTAATTGTTATGTTCAAGAAACCAATTTGAATTGATTCAAGCTTTGTGACATGGTGCATGATCCAGCCATCAGAGGATGGGTACATGGTGGCCATAAAGAGATGTAGATGGGCAGAAACAATGCTCAGGTGGGCTGTGGCATTTGAACGATGCCCAATTGGCACTAAGGGGCCTAAAGTGAGCCAAGAAAACATCCCCCACACCATTACACAACCACCACCAGCCTGCACAGTGGTAACAAGGCATAATGAATCATGTTCTCATTCTGTTTACGCCAAATTCTGAATCTACCATCTGAATGTCTCAACAGAAATCGAGACTCATCAGACCAGGCAACATTTTCCAGTCTTCAACTGTCCAATTTTGGTGAGCTCTTACACATTGTAGCCTCTTTTTCTTATTTGTAGTGGAGATGAGTGGTACCCAGTGGGGTTTTCTGCTGTTGTAGCCCATCCGCTTCAAGGTTGTGTGTGTTGTGGCTTCACAAATGCTTTGCTGCATACCTCGGTTGTAACGAGTGGTTATATCAGACAAAGTTCCTCTTCTATCAGCTTGAATCAGTCGGCCCATTCTCCTCTGACCTCTAGCATCAACAAGGCATTTTCGCCCACAGGACTTCCCCATACTGGATGTTTTTCCCTTTTCACACCATTCTTTGTAAACCCTAGTAATGGTTGTGCGTGAAATTCCCAGTAACTGAGCAGATTGTGAAATACTCAGACCGGCCCGTCTGGAACCAACAACCATCCCCCGCTCAAAATTGCTTAAATCACCTTTTTTTCCCATTCTGACATTCAGTTTAGAGTTCAGGAGATTGTCTTGGCCAGAACCACACCCCTAAATGCATTCAAGCAACTGCCATGTGATTGGTTGATTAGATAATTGCAGTGTTGTCACGGTACCAAAATTTCAGTATTCGGTACCGATACCAGTTCAAATTCACGGTTCTCGGTACCAATTTCGGTACCAAAGCTTAGTTTAAATTTACATATATTTAAGTGTTTATCACGGTTACAAGTATGGAAACTGTACATTCGTATTATAAACACTTTAGAAAAAGATTAGATAAAATGACCTAAAATAAACAATAGTATACACTAACACATTTTTAAAGTTGTTTGTAAAGTTTTAATCCATTATTTATTTAATGCACAATGAATTAAGTGAACAAACATGAACAATCAGGTGTTTGTAATAAATAACATTTTCAAACATTAATTAATGTTGTAAAAATATATTGTTCACTCAATGTGTTGATAACTAAGTAATGTTTATGAATGGTATCTTTGTAGCATTACCATAAAACATGTTTTATTTGACTTGACTGTCCTTTTATTAATCTAAAACTGCATTCATATTTAATTTTAAAAAGGCTTTTTAAACCTGCTGAGTTATAAAGGCAAGAATACGCCTAGAACTGGCATTGACATTAAATGATAATACTAATACCATAGTACTCTGGTGTCGGGTAGATACTACTGTGCTCATGTACTCGTAAAACTACCCCGAAAGCACTTTAGAGGCCGTTCACATGTCGCGCGTGTTTTTTAATTATATTTTTGCGCGTGCTTATTCTTTCCAAAGCGCTTGCTCTCACGCGGCGTCTGTCGTTGCTATGCAACGCCAACGAGTTTTTATTAGGAGCGCGCTTGAATCACGCCTATATTTGAAATTGGGAATTTGCATGTAATCGGCCTCTTATGGCAACGTGACATTAGCCTAATCCAAAATATTTCCATATGTGGCTCTTTCCTCCTTTCGTTTCAACAAGTGGATTCAGAGAGAGAGAGCCATATCAGCGTTATGAAGAGGACGCAACTGTGCACGTTTCAGACATCGCGTCTAGAACAGAACTGGATTAACCTGGTACTCGGTACCTAGAAAAGCTGGTACCGTAACATTTTTTTTTTTTAGTACCGACTTGGTACCGAAGTACCGAGTTTTTTGACAACAATGAGAAATATTGAGTGTATATTATTAAGTGTTTTTTGAACGTTACCTGTCATCTGGGATGTTTTAAAAATGTGTGACTGAATAAACAAACTGATTTGTAGCTCAGCAATCAATAATTTGCGGGGGAAATGTGAGTCTCTGGAAACATTTGACATGAATGGCAAATACACAATGCACCGCTGTCAGAATCATAGAGATTCCTCTTATTTTAACACCTTCCAATTCACCCTCTTAAATTTATCATACTCAATACAATAGACTGCCAGGAAAAGCAAGAAAAACACTTCCTGGAGGTGACCAGAAGTGTGTGAACAGCCTTGTTTTGCTTTACAGCACTTAAAGTGAAGTGTGTGCATGGTGACTCAGAGGATTATGGGAACTTACCAGCCTGTTCGGAGGAGATGCTAACAGTGGGGAGAGATGAGATCATCTCCTTCTCGGCAGGAGGGGGGCCGGTATTTTCAGACTGACCAAGCAACTGGAAGAGAACAGAAAAAAACAGAATATTTCTAATGCTTCTTTAATTTTGGTCAAATAAAATCTTCTTGACTCTAGCTTGGGGACAAATTTAAGTGGCAACAGGCAAAATACTGCGAAGACTAATGTGACTGAGTGCAAAAAGGTTGAGGACATGATGAGTCATATCATTAGATGATGTCACCCATGACAGTGTGACTAACCTGTGTGATGATCACATCTAAACCTCCTTGTCCCCAAGCATAATCTTCAGGGTTAGAGTGTAACATGCTAGACCTGAGAAAACATTGGATAGATCTGTAGATATCGTCTTCACATATAGTAATAAATGCATTTGTAGGACAAAGGGGAACATGAATATGTTTTGTTGGTCCTGGAACAACAGTGCTGTCACACAAACAAAGGTGAATGGTTGATACGAATATTGTTTAAGCCCAGCCAAACCTGAAATCTGATGAATTGATTGGTTTACAGGAATGTTATTTCAGGAACATATTCCACTTAACAATCACATGTAGTAAAGCACATACACATACCATGAGGAGGGTTGGGAACCTGCACTGTCAGAACTGGAAAACAAACCAGCCAAGAACTGCTGGACAATCCTTAAAGAAACAAAGACAGTTTTGTTGCATTTAAAAAGAAAGAGTTAAAGTTTATAATCTCAGAATATCAGTCTTTAAAATAGTTTAAAAAAAAAGAAGAAAAATCCACAAAAGCAGAAATTGAATGGAGACATGGGTGTCTATTTAAAAAAAAAATCTTTACAAAAATTCCAGTCTTTAGAGTTCTAGACACATTAATAAATTCTTATTAATCAGATTAAACTGTTTTGTATTTTGATTTATTTTAAATTGTCATTTATTCCTGTGATGTCAAGGGTGAATGTTCATCTTCAGAAATCATTCTAATATACTGATTTGGTGCTTAAGAAATGTTTCTTAACTATTATCAATTTAGTTTAGTTTAATTTCGTTTTCAAGGACTTTTAGTTTGTTTCTCTTCAGTCACATGTTTCCCTTTGTTCTATTTTCCCGCCACAATGTTACCATGGACAGTCATTACCAATCACATCTGTTTGTATTCTGTTCATAACTAGCCTGTATTTTTTAGTTCCTCTTGTGTCTTCTCATAATCGACTATAATAATTTCCAACTATTAATGTCGAAACCATGATCTATGGTGAATTATTAAAAAAAATAAAAAAAATAATGGAATATTTTAGATTAATTTTGCATCAAATAGGTGTTAAAAATAGCCATGGTACTTGAAACTAGATTGATTTAAAATAGTGTTTTTGTGTATATAGGTTAAAACATGATGGATTTAATTAGTAAACAATACTCCAGATTAGTCAAGTCAAATCCCAGAGCCAAGTAAAAGAAACATGGATATTGTAAATATATTATAAATATTGCAACTGTGCAAATCAACAAATCCTCTCTGTGCAAAAGAAAAAAAAAAAAAAACGATTATATTTATGTATAAAACATTTGCATGTTCAAACTGAATGCTAAACTTGACCAAGTACAGATTATTATATATTCCGTCTTGTAGAACTCAACTTCTAGAAGACAGCAGCTGTAACAAGTGTCACTACACACCCCTCCACAGCCTGTCCCTGATCCAGTCTAGAGTTTCGCTCCTGGCTGTTTTGTTGAGGGTGGAGCGCAGGCTCTGTGCAGTCTGACAAAGACTCCTCTAAAGCTACAGGTCCCGCAGTCCCAGAGGCAGGATCACCAACTGCTGCCTCGACCCCAGAGCGGCTGCGGGACGCGTCTGTGACCGTGGGGTCGGATAGGAGCGCAGAACGTTCCATGAAGAGCAGCTGCCACAGCTAATCAAAAGAAAAGACAAAAGACTCATACAGAAACAAAACTATGACTGACCCCATTAAAGAATTATTTCCTCTGCACCAGCAAAGTCATTCTGAGTCAAAGGAGGGTATAATATATATATATATATATATATATATATAATTTTATAGTTTACCTCAGCAAACTGTGAAGCCATGTCATCACTACCAGCCCCATCACTGCCATCACGACTCTGAAGAAGACTGATAAGCATGTTTTACTCATTGAAAATGACAAACATCATAATTAAAAGACAAATTATTCCTATTAGACATAAACAGGATATTTTACGTATAATAAACTGAGATACATGCAATTACATAGTGGCATAAATGCGAAACTCACCTGGAGGTCTCGGACACCTCTTCAATGAAGCCAGATTCACATCTGGGACAAACATATTCCTGTTCAAAGGTGATTTACATCAGTTCCAAATAAATTACTTCTGAATTCAGATGTTGACTTTTAGGTTACTAAACAGGGCAAATTAGCATGTAAGTGCAATCCCATAAAAGCGCAAATGGAAGGGGAAAGTTCTGCGGGTGATTTACTGACAAAGACCACATTAAAGAACACAAACACAGCCGGATCATTTCCATAATGCCCAATGCAATCTACCAAGAGCAGCGTGAATTAGTCTCTGGTTTAAGACATGCTTTTTGGGCAGTGTTAAATAATAGTGCAGATAGCAGTAAACTGACTAGCGCAATCCTTAGTAAATTGTGTTGCGTGATTTATTTAAACATTCTCCTCCCATAAATTTTGCGTCCGTCAAGGAAACTCCTACAAAAGCATATGCAATATAAGGTCAGCTGAAATAACTGTCCACACCTTTTCAGTGCAAAGTTTTCACTGCACGTCTTTAGGAAATCCTGACAGTAGTTTTTAAACGTCAAAAGAGTATTTGCTCTGGTGCAAACTGTTAGTAAATGTGGCTCATAGAGGTTTGCATACAAAGTGTAATAATACATGTAAAACACTAATGTTAGCAACATGCTAAAACATGCTAGCAACATGTTAAACATGCTAGAAACGTACTACAACATGCTAGCAATGTGCTAAACATGTTATTAAAATGCTAACAATGCTAGGCTCATGTTAGCAACATGTTAAATCATCCTAGCAATGGTTAAACATGCTTAGAAGCATCACCCGTAGGTTTGGGTGGGCTAACGGACAGCAGACAAACAGCTAGTGATAGCAGTGGCAATCCACCTAAGTGGCCATGCCCTTAATTACACAGAAACAGATGAGTTATAAAAAAATTCACCCCCCTTAGGTATCATGAAGGGGAAAATTAGCAACAGAATAGAGACCAAAAACCACTTTTTGAACCAGGGTGTACATTTTTTTTTTCTGCTGTAAAGTTGGGCACTTTGCTGTAAAGTTTGGACCCATGGGGGGTCTTTGGTAATGACTCTCTTTTGGAGCCTTTCTCTGGTGGCCAGTCGATGAATTGCAGTTTAAGTTACTTCCATGTTAGATTCAAGAGAGAAACTGAAAGGTTGCAGTGGGGTTAAAACATGTTAGGAATAGGAAAATACTTGTAAATTGTAAAATAATGTTAAAACATGCTGGCAACAATTTAAATCATGTTAAAAAAAACACAAAAACATTCTAGAAGCGTGAGCAAAATGCAATATCATGCTAGCAACTAAATAAAAAATGTTAACGATGACCTAAAACATGCTAGGCAGTAGACACATACCAAGACATGCAACGTGATAAAACTTTCTAGCAACACGAATCAATCAAACTTTCAAAATTTCAAACAAGGCTTTGTCAAGCAAACATTAATGTTTGTCTCGACAAACTTAACTTTTTAGTTTATTTTACTGTAGTTTTGACCTCAAAAAGCTATTGAACATTCCCATTGTTGTTGCCCATAAAAAATACATTGATTCATTGAACACACATTTACCTTTTGTGACATTGACAACATACCCCAATAGTTGACAGTACTTTATTAGACAAGTTGCTTCAATGGAACTTGAATTAAACAGCCTGTTACAGGAGTTACAAGTGTTGCGGTCAGCAAATGCCGTATTGTAGCCTATTAAAACACTGGACAGCTTGTCCCGATCTAACATTTAGTGTAAAATAAAATGTAAAAATAAAATAGTTGTCTCACTTTTTACTGTAGTGAATAATAATTCTCAGAGTGGATTTATTTATTGTAGCCTACCATGGTCTTGACTTCAAATGGCTATTGAACATTTCCATTGTTATTGACCATGGAAAAATACAGCTAATTGAACACACATTAACCTTTTGTGTAACATACCCCAATAGCTAACAATAATGACTACCAGGCAAGTTGTCGTAATGAAATTTCCCATTAAAAAGGCTTTAATCTAAATTAAAACAGAACAAAAACCTTAAATAAATCAGTGCTGAAATACCAAACACGTGTTGTGGTCAACAAATACTGTATTGTTTTAAAAGACGTGTGATAACCCTACTGTATAAATGTGACAACTTGCCCCAAACTAATATTTATGAAAAATATATATTTGTCCTGAGAGTAGAACTTTTCACTTTTATTACCTTGACCCTTGTATGAATGTATGCCAGGGTAATTTAATAGCGTCTCAAGTTGTTTACCAAAAAGATATGTTACATCCATCTCATGCCAATAAATGCACTGCATGTTTCTGCGTGATTGAAGAGGATCGAGTCTGTGCTAAATTTGGCATCAGAGTAACTCCCAAACTAGGATACCGAATCCCTTGCAACCATGGCACTCATCACAAATTCCTTATAACGTTTAGTCCCCAGTTAACATGAAAGACATCCCCAGTTATATACTAATGCGCGTGAACTATATAAGAATATATAATAAATATAAAGTAGCGATACTGTATGTTACAACTTATAAGCTATAAATGTAAGAATGAAAACTTCGATTGCGTTGAGGCTAATACGGAGTGAGCAAACCACCAAACGCAGATAAATCCTAGTTAATGAACTGTTGCTGTGTACTCACCGGTAGTCTGGGATCGATTTCAGCTTTACAGAAATGACAGAAGAACCGGTGTCGTGGGGCAGCAGAAGCCTCCGCCATCTTTACTCAATATAGCTTAGAACTATGACGTTACGCGACACATTTACAAAGGAGCGTCGGTTGTCAAGGTGACGCGTCGGACCAATCAATGAAACGAGTGCCTTAATAGTTCACCCAAAAATGAAAATTTTGTCATTACTTACTCACCCACATTTTATTCCAAGCCTGTATGAGTTTCTCTCTTCACACAAAAGAGGATATTTTAAAGAATGATGGCAACCAGACCGTAAAATCCAAGTATAAGATGCATATTCATGAACTTTAATAAAACATAACACAGTGACATACAGCAGCAGCAACACAATAACAGTAAAAACCAATACTTTCATTTAGGCATATACAGTTGTGTTAGACAAAACATTAGGTTGAAATTACAAAAAGAGGAAGTTACAAATCACAAAAGCAACACAACAATTTTGGCCACAGATAACCACACCAATCTCTGCTACCACATTCTGATATGAACATTTAAGTTTTATGTCAAGGTCTCTAGTTCGATTCTGTATTCCAAAGCACAAATCGCCTGCCTTAACCCATGACAATAAAGCATTAGTCGTGTATCAATGCAATGAGTTACATACTTTTGATGTAAGCTGCATCAAATCATGCTTTTTCTTAAATAAGGTTCCATCCACCAATAGACTAATAAAGTAAATAATACATCTCTAAAATAAGATTTGAGAATCCTCTGATTCGGTAAAAAAAAAAAAAAAAAAAACTTTTGGCAAGGTAAACGTCACAGGTTTATAAGTAACCTCAATTCTAGAGCAATGAAATGATCCCTTTCCTTAACATGTACAGCTATTTACACAGAAAGGAAGATGTCAAAGAAAAAGCAAAGGCAGAATGTGGCACATCTTTCGTGAATCTGCAAGGCTGCTTAACCTTACACTTGGCAAGCTTTAGAGATGTGCTGTAAATATTAGGGCTGTCAAACGATTAATTGCATCCAAAATAATAGTTTGTGTTTACAAAATATATGTGGGTGCACTGTGTATGTATAATTATTATATATATATATAAATACACACACATGCTTGTATATTTTTAAGAAATTTTCGTGTATATACTGTATATAGATTTATATATAATTTATATTATATATAAATATAAATATTGTGTGAGTATTTATATGTATACAAAATAATTATACACAGTGCACTCACATATATTATGTAAAATTATTTTGGATGCGATTTGGACTATTTTGGATGCAGCCCTGGCAAATATGCGAGAATTGTAAGCCAAAACGTGAGGTCTTGGGTATTGTTATGGTCTCAACAAAATATTATAGTGACTTTTCTAGCATAATAAATTGAAATAAGACAATAGTATTAGTTGATCATACTGTAGATCCTCATAGAGAGCATTCATATAAACTATAATTTCACATCAACACCTAGATCCTTTTTGCATGTCTGAACTAACGGCCTGATGCTCAGCAAGACCGACAAAGAGAAAAAGAAATCCAATGTAGCATTACTATCATTATGACATGCATGCAAGAGGGGTCTAGGGTAACTGTGTTGGTTTGCAATTCAGCAATGCCTATGGGTGCTAGAATAAGTCACTTTGTCTCATGGCAGCGTAACCAATCAGGTTCATCAACCTTATCTCTTTTTTCATCCAGGTCTCTACCGAGGTGCAGTGAAGGCGCCCTGTGCGGCAGAAACGGTGGCGTTGGTGGCTGCCTGGCGCACTGCCTGATTGGAAAGCACACCGGTGGCAAACTCGGCCTGGGCCTTCTCAAAGCTCGCTTCAGTCTGCCTGTACATAGAATGAACCTGATGGAAGAATATGCAAGAAATCATCATTAAACAGATCAATATGTATTATGAATTAAAATTCTACATACACCTCTGTTCAAAATTTTGCATTGGTCTCTTATGCTCACAAAGGCTGCATTTATTTTAATCAAAATGACAGGAAAAACAGTAATACTGCAAGATATGTTTTTTTCCTTTTTTAAATATAATTCAAAATGTAATTTATTCATGTGAAGGCAACAGTGTTGGGGAAGTTACTTTTAAAAAGTAGTGCAACTCGTTACTTGTTACTTCTTAAAAAAAAGTAATCCGTCACTTTACTTAGTTACCCCATATGGAAAGTAACTTTTTACGTTGTTTGTTACTTTTATGGTGCTTGACTTTAGGCAGAACCCAATATCTGTTCCTAAATGAGTAGGCTTACATAAAGTTCTACTATGCATAATGCCATAAATAATGCCATAAATGTATAATGCATTTAACAAAATTGTGAATATTTATGAAAAAATGCCCTTTATTGGATTGGAATATGCATGGGCTACGCTAGGGAGGGGCTAGAATGAAAGCCCCCAAGAAAGACCAAAGCTCCCCGTTAGCACCCCCAAAAATAATTTCTGGAAGCAATTATATTAAGGCTGTAATCTATGGAAGTCCTGAACCGCATGGTGAAGTAAATGAAAACTTATTTTGTTATTTTGACATAATAAGGGTATATTCTAATTTGCATTAAGCCAAATTAAGCATTCTTATAATGGTTTTCTATGGGAGGAATAGAAATGGGAGGAATTACAATGCTTAACGTGTAATTAAACATGTTGCGTTCATATTCTGGGCTCATCTGATTTTTTATGTACATCGTATAGCCGACTTTTTATGATTTTAGTATCAAAATTATTAATAAATGCACGCACAATTATTCGTGAACTTGATAAATGTTGCAGATATGTTTTACTACATAAACAAATGCCTTTCAACTTATTTGTGCAAGATTCAGAATTAAATTGAATGTGCAGCAATTTGTACCAATAGAGAGTCTAGGCCTTCTTGTAGTCATTAAATAAGCACATTTGTTAAAATATTATTTTTTTACATCTATGTTGAGATTATGAAAAGTGAACAGCATGAGTAAAGGCCATTGCACACTGAGTCCGAAATTTTCGTATGCGTTTCGTATTCGTGATTTGGTGGCTCTGAATTTTCAAAACACCATTTAAACTGCTTGCTACAGATGCGAAAAACACAGAAAATGTGCATTTCTCTCTGTAGGCGTTCACTATGGAGATGGTGATCGCCATCAAATCTGTCAAATGACAGAGATTGCTGGCAAATCTGTCCCAGGAAAAAGTAACGTTTCGCCGAATTGGAAAGGGAACTACGTTTCGTTACCAAATTTTCAGTAGTAGCGCGTTACACTACTTTTTTCCCGAAAAAGTAGTTACGTTACACACAACACTGGAAGGCAAGCTGAATTTTCAGCATCATTACTCCAGTCTTCAGTGTCACATGATCCTTCAGAATTCATTAAACACTATTTTTGTCATTAAACCCTGAAATAACTGTGGACAAGCTGCCGTAGAGGAATAGACAGCTTCACCATAGGATGAATTTGAATATTTAGTATGGTTTTCATTTTATATTTAGGATTATATCCCTAATTTGACTGTTAATGGATGTGTAAAGGTCCATTTGTTGCTGTTAGTGGAGATGTGATTTACCCTCTTGAGCAAAATGACTCCCATGGTCGCCTGAGCGGTTAAGAGCACAGAACTGATCAGCATGATCGCACCCACTGCCTTGCCATTTTTGTTGGTGTTGTCACTAAGAGCGGCTAAACTCACGATCCACCCACTAAAACAAACAAACGGGAGAGAAAGAGAGAAGTTTAAAGTGTAACAAGCCATTGGCCAAATTTATGAATGGAATAACACAATTACCGCTAACTGAAAAGTCAATAAGTAGGTTAGCAAAAAATCTTTCGTCACGCTCACCTGAAGCCCCAGCCAGGGATACCGATAGCCATGATAACATAAAGCACCAGTTGGGCGAAGAAGACAAAGAAAAAGGCGAAGAAGTTGAAGGAACTGTCACTCCTGTTGAGAAAGAGGAGAGAAGTGCACAATGACTGATCCATGATGTTTGGATGAGACATCAATTCCAAACGCTGAGTCTGTGTTTATACCTGAAGGCTTTGTACACAGGCCTGTACCAACAGACGAAGGAGCAGGGGGTGAAGAGGAGAAACCAAAGGATGGCAAAACCGAAGCCAACCGGTGCCGAAACATTACTGGGTTGGCCACAGAACATAGCCAAACAGGAGATGAGGTTAAAGAATAAAGTGCATGCTGTGACTAAAAAAAAGAGAAAGAGAAGTACAAAGTAAGTAAAGTAACACACTAGAATAGTAGTTGACCAATATTCCTATAATAGGGATGACTAAAGAGCAACTGCTGGTATGTGATACATAACACTATTTAATGAATAGTTACAAATTTATAAGTAACTACAGGCATAATTCAACCAAATTTGAAAATTTTATCTGCCATATGACTTCAGAAATCATAGAGATCTGAAACAGGATATGTATGCATGTATTTATTTGTTTGTTTGCCATATCAGCATTATATTAATATTAGTAATAAACTTTATTTACACATAGCACCTTTAAAACCTTTTTTTGCAGTGATGAATATAGCATTAAATGCTATATTCATGGGAAACGTAATAATGATACCATAACACAATATGCAATTAAACCTTACATCACAACAATAATTCTGTAAACATTTTCCCAGGGGACAATTTATGAATGAAATGAATAAATGAAACTGTAGCCTAGAAACATTACAAAAAGTATCACATACTCGTGACTCTTTACATGTTGAAGTCGCCCTTTATTATGAGTTTTGAGTTAATATAATGCATTTTGGGTGAACTATCCCTTTAAATAAACATTTATTTTACCCAATATTTACTAAAACGTATTTTAAAACAGAAAATGGCCAAATACCGGTCGAATTATCAGCCTGCCTAATATATCGGTCAATCACTACCATTTAAAGGAGTAGTTCACTTTTAAAAAAACTTTTGCTGATAATTTACTCACCCCATGTCATCCAAGATGTCCACGTCTTTCTTTCTTCAGTCGAAAAGAATTTAAGGTTTTTGATGAAAACATTCCAGGATGGACTTCACTGGGTACCAAACGGTTCAAGGTCAAGGTCTCCTGTTCGAACTCGTTCATCAAAATGAACGAATCTTTTTGAGTCATTTCGTTCGTTAAATGAACCAACCAAATGACTCGAAAAAAATATTTGTTCATTTAGATGAACGAGTTTGAACAGGAGAGTCACGAATAAGCATCACAGAACAGAGCAAGGCGAGCATTTGTGCTTATAAACCTTAAACTTTTTTATTTATTTTTGAAATGAGCGATCATTTCGCTAGAAAAGACCCTTATTCCTCGTCTGGTGTCGTTTAAAGCCCTTTGAAGCTGCACTGAAACTCTTATTTGGACCTTGAACCGTTTGGTACCCAGTGAAGTCCATTATATGGACAAAAATCCTGGAATGTTTTCACCAAAAACCTAATTTCTAAGACGTGGACATCTTGGATGACATGGGGGTGAGTTCATTTTTAAAATGAACTACTCCTTTAATTCATAACTGAATTATTTACTAAGGATAATAATACAAACCTGAACCATCCGCACACTTTAAAAGACAAGACATACTAATCTGAGCAAACTTACACATCCAGTAGTAGTACAAGGTGGTGACAGTGCGCTGAAACCTTTGGCTGATGTCCAGATTAATGTCCTGATAGAAACAAGGTTTCACTGGACAGAAGGAGGGCAATGGAGGCCAATTATTCAGACGAGCTGATGGAGAAGAACACAGAAAGAGATTCATTTCCCCATTCATCAATCACATCTGCTAGCTAGCATCACTCCATTAATGTCTTGTTCATTACTGCCAAGGTCTAAATCTCACTTCTTTGAAAAATACCATCTTTTAACCGTTTCGTTTCTTGTCCCATCCTCATTAATTGTCCCTCATTCAGGTCTCATCCATCTCTGCACCTCCATAACCCTCACTAACAATTTCAGAAGTCCATCTAAATAATCACTTCAGTTCTTATTCTTAAAATACACTCCTGGTTTTATGCCCATCGATTAGGGCTGGGAGACCTAGGTATCGCAATTTTTTTTAACCAATTTTAAAATAGATTTTAAAAAAAATGTATTACAGAATCGCAATTAATTCAAATTAAACTGCTTTATTTTTGTCCTTGCTTATAGATGAGGTTGACAGACGTTACTACAGAAGTCACTTTGGTTCCAACAGAGGATAAAATGTGTTATCTGCGAGTGTTGAGTGACGTAATATCCCAAGTGGACGCGTGGAAGAGACGTGAGACCGAAAGCACTGAAAAGCCCTCGCACTACTCATAGTCATATGCTGAGAGAGAGATAAGACAATAGACCTGTACACTTCATCTTTAAAATACTGATCTCGATTCAAAAACCTACGAGATCTTCTGTCTATTAAACTTTGACAAAATCAAGAAACTTTGATTTTTAATTTCTTTGACCAGAAACTGGTGGTTGCACATGTAAAACCACTATGCTAGGATGTTGTGGATGGTTGTCAGGTCATTCCTATGTGATTGCTTAGGTGTTATGATTCCTATTTTATTCAACAGGTTATGAATGGCAAAACTAATCACAAACTGCCACCAATACGTGTGATGCCAGCAGAAAGAATTGCAAGCAAGAGTCAAGGGGGAGGGAGCATGTTTCATTTAAATTGAATTCCCCTCGCAAAAGCATAAACGAAAATATTTTTCCCTTCATCCTTCACTCACACGCTCCAGACCCAAGTGCATGGGCATCCAGCTCTCTCTCTCTTCTCTCCAGTTCCTTTGCTTTTCTTTCTAGTTCCTCCTGCTTCCTCAACAGATCTGCTGTGGTGGCATTTACTGCAGACTGAGACTGAGAGAGAGAGAGAGAGAGAGATTAAGTTATGCAATGCATTAGTGTTTTCTGTCACTACCGCATTAATAAGCATTTTAGCACAGTATTATGGTAAATATGCACAGTAAAGATGTTCATTTATATATGGTCATCTGTTTTATTTAACAGGAAACATCTGAAATTAATATGAAATTTGGTCATATGCAAATTATACTTACTATTCCACAACAGTATGAACTTTTAGTTAGTTAATAATCAGTAAAATGCACACTGTAATTCAAAAGTTCAGGGTAACTAAAGCTGTATTTACAAAAATACAGTAATGTCATTAAATATGTTTACAATTTAAACATAACTTTTGTATTTTAATATATTTTTAAATGTAAGTTATGCAGTACATGCAGTAAATGTATTTACTAGTAAATGTGCCGATATGTGATAATAAGATCTATCACAACGTTGATAATACACTTTCAAAATACCATGAATAATTCCTTATTACAAATTATTTCAATTTTGAGATTGCATTTTAAGAATCATTTTCAATCAACTGGTAAAAACCATATACAGTGTACTTATAAGAAAGATATGTTTTAAAAAAAACACCTTAAAAATTCACATTTTGGATATAAGTGTGTGTAATTTACGTTGTAGAGCAAAATGTTCAAGTATCATCAGGTCATGTATACAGCAGACCTTATTTTACTCGCAATTAAAAAAAAACAACGCCACTTATAAAGTGGCGAATTAGTCTTACGGGTTTTGACGTCACTCTATTATCATGATATAAAAATGTATACCGTCACATTTCAAGCAATCATAGTAAATCCAGTTTATGCACCTTTGTCAACAAATATGACTAATTTAGTTGAAATTCTGGCTGAGTCCGAAATCACCCCATATCCTTAAATAGTGAACTATTCAAGGGGACAGCCATTTGTAGTGGTGTCTGAAACTGAGTGCACTCATTCAATCCCACAATGCAGCCCTATAACAAGTGTACAACTGATGTATGCCCATTGGCTTGAGAATACCCATAATGCACAAAAGAATTCCCGCATCTGACCATAAGACTGCACCCGCAGCTCAATCATCTATCCATCCATTTTCCAAACCACTGGTCCAATGTGGCTACAGCGTAATATCATACTGGTATAAATTGCATTTTAATTGATCATTAGATTGTTTAATTACGGTTTATGTATGCTAGTTTCCAATACAGAGTTCAAAATAAATCTTTTCGTTGCTACATTTCAAATGGTTATTAAACAGCAAAAACCATGCAAAAGCTGCAGCCCTTCTGGCACACTCATTGTTTGAATTCACTCTCTTGCTTTCATTAACTCCTTCAGTGGACTAAATCAGTAGAGTAATGGGGAATAGGAGGTGATTTGGGACACAGAATCTGTTGAGTGACAAGTAACAGACTGAATCTTCACCTGTGTTCCATTGGATCCATAATTCCTGGGCTCAGTGGGTGTGGTCCTGCTGGGAGGCGTTTGGACAGGAGGTGCTGCAGGAGATGTGGCTTCATAGGGAGGTGGAGGCTTCATTACCCAAAACAAAAAATTCAAAACAATTAATATCAGCTGAAAATAAATCCAACTAAAATAAGCTATCATGATAATGCAGGCAAAAAGTTCTCTTGCAGGTAACCGAAGTTGAAATGAAACGCTGTTTTTTTTCACCATTGTACTCCCATCATGTGCTGTATTAATAATTAAAGGCTATGTTTGCTATGTAGCGCAGGCTGCTCACCACCTGTGACGACGGACATATTTACCGCTGTTGTGTTGTTGTCAAATGGGTTGTAGAGGTCCAGTGTGGCATAGCCAGTGTTACTGCTGTGCTGCGTCACTGATGGATCCTGCAAACACAGAAAAAACTAACTTTTCAATTCATTTAGTGAAAGTGGTAGATACTAGATGGTGGGCAGATACCACAAAAATGCATTTTTAAAACAAGCTTGAGGTGGCCTAGGAACTGGCACTGTAAGCTCACGATCTTGCACTTATATCACTTCATATGCTAGGGAACTGACCTTCAAAACACAAAAAGACATGAAATCCTTCTGATAAAATGCAAGTAACCAATAAGCAATAACTTAAGACTGCCGTTAAATAATTATGACACAAATGGTCGAATTGGTTTCTCTTGATCTAAAAACCTTTTGACCTTACAAATATAAACTGTACTTATTCACAGACTAAAAAATTATTATCTATATTTCCATGTGGACAATTTCATGTCCATAAACGTTTTAAGATCTTTATGGATGATTTTAATTTGCAATTAGTCTCTCCAATGTATTGACAACAAAAAATTTAAAGATACTATTTTATTTGCTAAAGAGTTGAAGTAACTTGGAAATTTTACTTTATATGCATCCATCTTTCCTTAAAAACTACTTATAAGTATTTTTCTCTTCCTCTTTTCTATTTTCTCTTGTATTGTAAATTAAATCTTTTCAGTTGTTATCTTTTTGGATAACGTCATAGCTGTAAATATTTTATGTAATGTCTTTCATGTCTAATAAAAAAAAGAGTTATAGGGTTGCAGTGTTTATTTACCAAGGGACATCCCTAGCTTCTGGTCTGCCAGCATTACGATAATATAGCGTTTTAGTCATCATTGTCGTGTTAAATGTACCCTTAATTTATCCAACAAGTTTTATTTATAGCAACAAGTTCCCCACAACTAGCAGGTCAAATAAATTAAGACCAGAATGCAACGACACAAATCATGGAACATTGGGATCAACTAACGTTATACAATAACATTATCATGTAATTTAATATGATCGGTCTGATGACCGTTGAGTCTTACGACAGCATCACAAGACGTACAGTACCACACAAATAAAGGCCCCGAATGAGAACAAAAACACCATCAGTTTTCCAATGTACAGTTCCAAAAACGTAAACAATATCTTACCTGAAATGGATTATGATCATCGGCTGAATTAGGAAATGTGGTGTATTTTGACATCCTGGTGCTGATTTGGCTAATTTAATCTTGCCAAGATGTAAAAAGACGATAAACTTAACCGTGATGACCAAGTACAAAACAGAACAGTGTGGTGTAACGGATAGTTACAGGAAGAAGTTAATATAGTTTAATAAACAGCTTATTATTATTATAACGCAATTTAACCAAAACAAATCACGATTCACTAACCAACCAACCAGCTAACGTAACCAACAGACATTACAAGGTGTCCGTTTCAAATCAATAACATATCTTGTCCTTCTTTGAAGTGGTTTATGGTCTTCTTCTTTGGTATTTTTATTTATTTACTTATTTATTGTTGGATTTTACGAGCGACGCGATTTGTTTCAATTTCACTCTGGCATCACTGCTGGCTGTAACGTTATTAGCGCAAGTGTACAGGAAATGTGTTTATCACATGACAGGGATGTTGCCAGGTTGCACAAGAGAATTAAGTCTGCCAATCTGGAAAAACAAAGCAATAAGCGACCCTTTTCCGTTCCGGGGATTAAACAAACTAAATAATGTATTTTTGAAAACCACTGAAATTTACACCAACAAAAAATTCATAAAATATATTTCACATAAATTCTGGAAATAAACCGGTCGTCATGTCCCTTTTTATATAAAAATAAATACGCAGCAGCAGCGAAAGTCGCTTGTATTAAGCGGAAATGGCAACCACGACAGAGGCGAATCGAGGAAATATCTGTGTGACATGACGGCTAAAAGCCAATGAAAAAAGCATAGACTGTAAAAAATAAAAGGTAAATATGTCACATGATGAGGGAGAATCTTTTGGGGAAATGCATGTGGAGTGTAACAAACTAAAATGCTATCTATCTATCTATCTATCTATCTATCTATCTATCTATCTATCTATCTATCTATCTATCTATCTATCTATCTATCTATCTATCTATCTATCTATCTATCTATCTATCTATCTATCTATCTATCTATCTATCTATCTATCTATCTATCTATCTATCTATCTATCTATCTATCTATCTATCTATCTATCTATCTATCTATCTATCAATCATCTGTTTCCTGCTCCCATTTCAACCACTGGGCGTCACTGTTGCTTCGAAAATCACCAACCTAATTTTCCCTCTGTAAAATATAGGTGGGCACCGGGGCAAGTTGTCACATGGGTAAGATTGCTGATGGCTTGCTATTTTCAAGTCATGTGAGTTCACATGTGTGACAGGAGGGCGGAAAGTCAGTCATATGATTCCTTAAACACAAACAACCTCAAACACTGCATGCGAAGCATACACACACAAACATTTGGTTTGCTATCTTTATGGGAACTCTTCATAGATGTAATGGTTTTTATACTGTACATACTGTATATTCTATCTCCTTACTCTAACCCTAAACCTACCTGCCATCACAGAAAACTTTATGCATTTTTACACTTAAAAAATAATAATAATTCTATATTACAGTATTTATAAGCTCGTTTCGAGGACCAGTGACACGAATCCCCATGAGTCAGTGTGTATTCAGGTTCAGAAAAACAAGCACACACACATACACACAGTCACATATTATTATATATGTAATATACATATATTTTTTTACATTTTGACCTTACTACAAAACAATGCAGCACTTTGACCAGATGAAGCATTGAAATTCACATATATTGTATGAAAACCAAACACTCCACCAATTGGCTTTGACACCGAATGGCTCCAGGATCACATTATTTGTATGCTCTCATTGCTCTGATCCTAGTTTGCAAGTTTCCAGTGAAGTTCCAATGCAATACATTAATGAGCTTGACAGAGCAATGGTAAACAGGAATGTTAACCATTCATGGAGAAACCATATGCTTTTTATCTTCGAGTTCAGAGGAAGGTTTTACTAAAGTGACAACGATTTGTCACTATTAATTCCCCCAAACCATCTTTCTTTAACAACCTAAATGGGTGTGTCCATGCTTCCTTTTGCTTTCCTTTGAAACCGCAACATTCCTCAGCCAATCAAGCGATGCATGGCCCCATGACATCACCGCCTGTGGAATGAGCTGACATGAAGCCTGTACTGGTAAGTTGCCAAGGCAACCAGCAGGGATGGTTGGAGCTTCAGTGGACCTGTGTGGGCTTGTGGATTTTGCCACTGATTTCCAACAGTATGGTGTCAATTAAAGAAGGGTAGAAATCATGATCTGGGACTAATTTAGTGCATATACCACCACAATGGGCTTAAACCGCACAAGGCCAGAGTTAAATCCACGGCGAAGACTTGACGACCTTGTTCTAGAGCACTTGTAAAATGAATCTGGTTAACGAGGTGCGCAGTGGACATGCCAGGAGTTGCAGCGGATGTGGGTCCGTGTCTGAAAGCATTTTGGCATTCTCTTGAAATTTTAAACTGAGTCAAGAACTCCAGGCAGACAGATGGAACCAATAGAAGTAAATGCTGAATTCAGAAGAAAATGTTAGCATCGCTTGTGCAAAACTTGCTGCTACAATGACAGGGTGCTGTGGGTGGCCTTGCAACCACTTAAACATACAACAACAACCCTGAAACCACCTAACAATACCAAAAACCCAGCAACCACCTAGCAATACACTAGCAACAACCCAGCAACCACCTTATAATACACTAGCAACAACCCAACAACCACCCAACAATACACTAGCAACAACCCAGCAACCACCTTATAATACACTAGCAACAACCCAACAACCACGGTAGTTAGGCATTGCTAGGTGGCTACTGAGAGTTCTGGGTGGTCGCTAGGGAATTGCTAGGTGGTTGTTAGGACATTCTGGGTGGTTGCTACAGCATTACTAGTTGCTAGGTCATTGCTAGATGGTTATTATGAGGTTTTGGGTGGTAGTTAGGGGTTCAATGTGTTTCCTTGCTTGCTGGTCGTTAGGGGGTTATTGGTGGTTGCTGTGGCATTGCAGTCTGGTTGTTATGTCATGACATTCTGGTAGTTAGGCATTGTTAGGTGGTTACTGGGAGTTCTGTGTGGTTGCTAAGGGTTTTATTTTGGAGTTTCTGAAAGGTTGCTATGGCATTGCTAGGTGGCTACTGAGAGTTCTGGGTGGTCGCTAGGGAATTGTTAGGTGGTTAGGATGTTCTGGGTGGTTGCTACAGCATTACTAGTTGCTAGGTCATTGCTTGATGGTTATTATGAGGTTTTGGGTGGTAGTTAGGGGTTCAATGTGTTTCATTGCTTGCTGGTCGTTAAGGGTTATTGGTGGTTGATGTGGCATTGCAATTTGGTTGTTATGACATTCTGGTAGTTAGGCATTGTTAGGTGGTTACTAGGAGTTCTGGGTGGTTGCTAAGGGTATTATTTTGGAGTTTCTGAAAGGTTGCTATGGCATTGCTAGGTGGCATCTGAGAGTTCTGCGTGGTCGGTCGCTAGGGAATTTCTAGGTGGTTGTTAGGATGTTTTGGGTGATTACTACAGCATTAGTTGCTAGGTCATTGCTATGTTATTATGTTGTTTTGGGTGGTAGTTAGGGGTTCAATGTGTTTCATCGCTTGCTGGTCGTTAGGGGGTTATTGGTGGTTGCTGGGTAATCAGTGGTTGCTGGTTGGTTGGTGGTTGCTGTTGGGTTGTTGCTAGTGTATTGTTAGGTGGTTGTTGGGTTGTTGCTAGTGTGTTGTTAGGTGGTTGTTGGGTTGTTGGGTTGTTGCTAGTGTATTGTTAGGTGGTTGTTGGGTTGTTGCTAGTGTTTTATTAGATGGTTGCTGGGTTGTTGCTAGTGTATTATAAGGTGGTTGCTGGGTTGTTGTTAGTGTATTGTTGGGTGGTTGCTGGGTTGTTGCTAGTGTGTTGTTAGGTGGTTGTTGCTAGTGTATTATTAGGTGGTTGCTGGGTTGTTGCTAGTGTATTGTTAGGTGGTTGCTGGGTTGTTGCTAGTGTGTTGTTAGGTGGTTGCTGGGTTGTTGCTAGTGTATTGTTAGGTGGTTGTTGGGTTGTTGCTAGTGTTTTATTAGATGGTTGCTGGGTTGTTGCTAGTGTATTATAAGGTGGTTGCTGGGTTGTTGTTAGTGTATTGTTGGGTGGTTGCTGGGTTGTTGCTAGTGTGTTGTTAGGTGGTTGTTGCTAGTGTGTTGTTAGGTGGTTGTTGGGTTGTTGCTAGTGTATTATTAGGTGGTTGCTGGGTTGTTGCTAGTGTATTGCAAGGTGGTTGCTGGGTTTTTGGCATTGTTAGGTGGTTGCAGGGTTGTTGGTGTATGTTTAAGTGGTTGCAAGGCCATTTCTATATGGATGTTATAACTGTTAACCCTGTTATAACAACCATATCGAAATGGCCCATGCAACCACTTAAACATACAGCACCAACCCTCAAACCACCTAACAATACCAACAACCCACCAACCACCTAACAGCCATATAGAAAGGTGGTTGCTATATGGTTGTTAGGTGGTTGCTGGGTGGTTGCTAGTGTATTGTTAGAAGGTTGCTGAGCCTTTGTTATAGAGCTGTTAGGGGGTTCTAGATTGTTGCAACACCTAGGTGGTTGTTGGGATTGCTACTGTAGGCAATTCTTAGATGGTTATTAGGACGTTCTTGGTGGTTTCTAGATGGTTGTTAGGTGGTTGCTGGAGTTCTAGGTGGATGCTAGCCCCTTTGGTAGTTGTTAGGGTGTTTTGGATTGGTTCTAGAGAGTTATAGGTGGTTGCTATGTGGTAAATATAAAACCTAAGATTCACTATTAGTTTTCATTCGTACAACCTAGGAAACTCCACAAAAATATAATCACTGCATCTGATCTTTTTAAAGAAGAGCTTATGAACTTTCTCAACCTCTTACAGAAAGTGTAAATTAATGGCAAACTCTGCACACTGCAGCGTACATAACTTAGTGGGTTATATGAGCTTAAAACTCTTAACGGCACCACTGAGAATCGTAGAACACACATACTCAACACAGCATACTGAAATTATGTGCAATCTTGAATAAGTCCACTGTGAGCTCTGTTGTCTGGGAACCTGGAAAATTCATCATTGGCGTCCGACTGGAAAAACACAGCAGTCTTTGAACTGCTGAATAAATGTGTGTCTGTGGCAGAATGAAGTACATCAGCAACTTTTTGCATCATTTATTCAGACATATTCTTTTTATTAAACTTTCAGATGCCCCAGATTTAGAATAAAGCAACAGTTTGGATCATGGATCTGGATGCAGAAAGACCAAAAAAAAGGGAGGAATGAGAGCCATTCTCACTGACCTCATGCAGTAACTAGCTGCAGATGCGAGAGAGAGCAGAGGGAATATAACCTTCAAAATATGAAATCATTTTTCTTTTCTAACGTTTACTCACTCTTTCCGCACCTCTCCCTCATTCCCCCTTTACTCTTTGCCAGGAAATAATTCAACAATTGATGTAGACTTGAGAAATACAAATTTATAGTGTTGTTCAAACCAGCGAGTGGTTGGATCAGGAGACAGAAAGTGAGAACGGACACAAAGGGCACTTTGAAGAGAAGGAATGAGGCAGAAAATAAGGGGGAAAGTGCAACCAAGGTCAGTGTCAAAGAGATTTATATATCCAAGATGATGACAGTGAAGTAGTCATGGAATTTTTTGGGGTTTATTTGTATAAAGGTTTATTGGCAAAAACAGTTTTGATTGATAAGCCACATTGTGGCATATACATAAAATGGACAAATGACAACAATAAATACACTTTTCAGATAATGCATCAAAAAGAACAATGCAAACTCACGACTATACAAGTACCGCCTCTCACCCTTCAAACATCTCTCCTTCTCTGACAGACAAACTTAGCACATGTCAAACGTATAAAAAGTGGAAGGAACAGGCTATTTGTACAATGATAAACTACTGTGGACATAGTTGAGATGGAATGAAGTAAGTCTAAGTATCCTTCAGTCTCGTTCATACACACGGGTGCAGACAACATCTCCGGCTCTCATGGTCTGGAAAAATAAACATCAGAAACCGCCATCTAAGATTCATATCCGATGGGCTTAAACTTCACATGTTAAATATTCACATATCGAATTAGATCTTGTTCTCTAAATTCAAAGCATTGAGGGGCCTGTTTAGTGTAAGTGGCCTTAATGGGAGATGTGTGACTTCTAATAATGTGAACATCTACACATCATCAATCTAATGAGAATGAATGAACAACATCTATCACTGTAAGGTGTTGAGCATTTTAAGATGCTGGTTGTAGCCTATATTAAATGCTACTGGCATAATTCAGTTGCACGTATTCAAAGAGCTTAAATGTGTACTTACGAGAATCATCTGGCCATCATTGGTCAGTTCACGTGTCCATGATGTTTCAGGCCCCTCCCCCTTCTGCAGTGTCTGCTCACAAGTGATTTTACTGTCTGTTTCCCATTTGGGAAAACTCTAGAGGGGAAATTGAAATAGTTAGAAAACAACAAAGAGCTGGGATATTAATTTATTAATGTCTTTATAGTCACATTAAAGGATTGCTTGCTGAAAACATGGATCAAAGTTTTTGTGCGTTTAGATAAAAGTGAAATTTCACCATCAAATAAAGACAGCATATCGAAAATATAAATAACATTATAGTTTATAATATGTATTGATATTTTTTTCTAAGAGTAAACTTTATATATGATAATAAATATTATAATACATTTCTGTATTATGTGTCTAGCAATTTACAGAGAGAAGAATATGATGTGTTGAGATGTAGGGAATGATGGATTGATGGGTGGGTGGTATTACTGTGCACGGGCGTCCATCCACCGTAGCCTCATTGAAGGACTCGCCCACCGTGAAGGACACATGAGTGGTCCGCACGCTAGTGGAAGTCTGAATGGAGAGGCTTTCCCCTTGCTGTGAAATCTCAACAGCTGGTTTGGAGGCTGCCGCAACTGCAATCTTCCTCAGAAAGACATTTACGCCTGTAGAACACACCCACAAATGTGCTAAGAAATTAAAAGGCCATTTATCAAAGCCATTTTTCCTTACGGCCAATTTCCTGTGTTTAATGAGCATGTCCAATTTCCACGGGAATGTTTTACAAATTTAAACAGCGGTTGCATATTTATGCAATTAAAATTTGGTGCCCCAGTCTTAATGTTTACACCAAGGAATTTTTTTTAAATATTGAGTCAGACTGAATTCATTATATTTACTTTAGGGGCAACAGCATACTCAGTGTGCTTGAACTCCCTCTGGCGTGAATAATTGGGGTCGAGGGACGGTGTGTCTGCAGAGCCAAACGGCTGGCCGAGGGGCCCTGTGTCAGGGTTTGTGAGGCTAATCACAATCCCATGAGGAAGTCAAGCATAACATTGCTCCATGCAGCTTTCCATTGATTGAGCTTATGGTCAAACTGACTCTCTTTTTTTATTTTTATTTTTATTTTTTTGGTAACACTTTATTTTTATGGTCCACTTTAAACATTCTACACATACTTCTATCTATAACTTTGCAACTTATCTGATAACACTATATTTTGATGGTCTCCAACAGACATTTTACTGACTATAGGCTAAGTAACTTTGCAAGTAGGCCTACATGTCTGCTTATTCAACTAATCTGAACCCTAACACTCCACTACAGTCTACTAATACTCCAATGAGGGTTAGTTGACATTACTTATAGAATGAGAAACTTCTAGAACTTCTTCTATACTTCTATGAATTTCTAAACTGGACCATCGAAATATCTTTTTTGGTTTGATTTATAGCAAACAACACGATTATAACAAAATGGCTAATTTAATATATTTTTTATTAAAACTTAATACAAAATATTTAAGTAGGCCAAAGTAATAATAACAAATATATAGGCCTACTACTTATCCAAGCACTTTTCTGACTTTTAATTAGACTTTTTTTTCTTTCCTTTTTTACAAGGCAAAGTAACAACAGATTTTGCTTTCAACCATCACAACGTAGGCTATATCAAATAAAATGAACGAATACAAAGATCAAATGTGTTTTAAACTTAAATTTTTTTAATGATTTCTCCTTTTAATAATCTCAAACATTCTTTTTATAGCCTAATTAATAATCTTTAAAAACTCACCGAGTGCTTTCAATAGCTCCTCGAAGTTTTCTGAACTTTTCATTTTCCAGGATCCAGAAAAGTCAGCAAACGTTCGCTCCACGTTTGATTCCATGTTTCTTCTTAACTTTTCTTTTCTTTCAAACAGTTGTTTTGGATGGCTCTCCTCCTCTCATCTGCCGGCGTTCAGCAGTCTTTCTCTCTCTCAGATCAGCCTGTAAATGTGCGCTGAGTTCTCGACCAATCCGGAGCGTTTGCGCGAATTGCGCCCGTGCGGCGTTTCATTGGGCGGCCCCTCCTCGCGCACAGCGTGCTTCCAGTAAATATCCAACTAGCCCCTATTTGCCCCACCATTTCCCTTGAGATATCGGGTCATTCTGCTAATTACCTCAATTACATCAACTTGCAACTTGCAGCACACTTACAAAACATCTTCCTTGTAAGTCTGATCAAAATGGATTATTATGTTCTGCAGTAAATTCTTTTAAGTAATACATTACATTTAAAGCGATAGTTCACTTTTCAATTTTTGGTATGTTTTAGTTGATGTAGGTGTCTTTGTTTCCACAGAAGTTTCAATTTTGATATTTTTGGTCAAATCGTTCTTGTCTGTCTGTCAGTCATATAATGGAGGTCTATGGTCACCACCTCAAGAGCATGCACAGACAAGTCCAAATTAAACATGATTTAATAACTTGTAAATGTAAGTACACATTGATGGCCTAAGACACGAAACGAGCGGTTTGTGTGAGAAAACGAACAGTATTTATGTTGTTTTTACCTCTTGTTACCACAGCTTCAAAGCGCCCACACCCTCAGATCACTTGGACCTGGCTGTGGTTACAGGGCGTGCATGTTCTTTGAGGTGGTGACCATAGGCCTGCATTATATGACTGATAGACATGAATGGTTTGACCTAAAAATATCAAAATTGAACAAAGGAAAACAAAGACACCTACATCCGGATGCCCTTGAGGGCTAAATTCCCTTTAATTAAAATTTAGTAACATTTAGTTATAATTTGCTGAATTAGAAGGCATTCCATTATGTTTAGGAGTTTTTGTCAAAAAAAAAATGGAAATGCTGTAAAATACATGGAAACCCCCATATTCAGATCCCTTTCCCTCATATAAACATGCCAACAAAGACATCTCATGCTGAGCTTTGTTAGTATTCAAACCACAACAGTCAGCCATTGTCAGTCAATCATATCACAGCTTCAAATCTGGGCTCTTTTCTGTTCTGTCTCTTGCTGGGTGCTTCTGTAGACTCCTCTGTGTCTGTGGCCTAACAAGACTCTGGCTTTGAATTTGCACTTAAACCACTACTTGAGACTATAACAATATTCATTCAAATAATAGTATATTAATTATAAAGTAACTTTTCTGTTTGATTACATTAACCCTTTGAGGCAAATTTGCCTATAAGAAAGGATGAGATACTGTGACAGGCAACTGAATGAATGTTATACATTTCTTGACTATTGCCTGGTTCCACAGAAGCACCCGCGCCCTCAGAGTAGGCCTACTTGGACGTGACTGTGATTACTAGAGGTAAAAACGATATAAATACGATATAAATACTCGTTTTGTGTCTTAGGCCATCAATGTGTACTTACATTTACGAGTCATTAAATCATGTTTAATTTGGACTTCTCTGTGTATGCTCTTTAAGGTGGTGACCATAGACCTCCATTATATGACTGACAGACAAGAAAGGTTTGACCTAAAAATATCAAAATTGAAAATACTGTGGAAACAAAGACACCTAAATCTTGGATGCCCTTGAGGTAAGCTAAAACATATCAAAAATTAATTTCAAAGTGAACTATCCCTTTAAATAGCCTAATTTAACCAGGCCTAATCCTAGATTAATCCAAGCCCTGTCTGTGAAACCAATAAGGCTGTGGTAATCTGGAAGTAAAAAAGCTTCATCTTAAAATGCTTTGAAGACAAAATAGTGTTTTAATCAGTCTAAGGCCATGTTACAGACCCTGATTTCTGAGCTTTATTATTATTATTCATGTTATCAATATCCAAATGAATTTTGCCAACGGCCCATGACCTTAGTAAATGATGAAGTATCATCATTAGTTTTCTTTAATCAGTTCCATTGACTCTCTCTTTCTCTCGCTTTGCTCTAATCTGCTTCACTTCATTTCGTTCTGTTCCTTTTGTGCACGTCTCCACATTCCTCATACAAATGCCGTGAAAGAAGCAGCGAGGAGACGAGAAGCAAATGGAGTGTTTGAGTGGCCAAAAGGGAACCAGGGAGGAGAGAAAGAATGAGGCCATGTAAACTGAAACCACATCCTCTTCTCCAAATGCTCGGAGGTAATTACCAGTCGATTCCTTAGCTTCTCCCCACCCGTCTCTTTTCTCTCCCTTTTGCCCCCTGATCCCCCCCACCACCAAGAACATTTCAACAAGTCTGGATAAGAAATGATATCCCTGGAAATGGAACAGAGGAAAAGCGGAGGGGGAAAACGAGTGAGAGAGAAAGAAGGAAACTGTATATTTTCAGCCAGAATAGAGACAGTGGCAAAAGTTCAAGCTGTTTTCTGGCTCTCCCTTTGAATGCTTCCCCTAAAAGCGCATCAGCAAGTCTTTCTTTGAAGTGGTCGAGTCAATAAAGCTACTTGAATTTGAATGAGAAAACAATCCTGATTCCACACTCACCTACTACTGACCCCATTATTCGGGAGACGGTGAGGAATTCATGTATGAAAGAGAAAGACAGCGAAAGGAGGGGGAATTTTTTGACATAAAAAGTCAATTATTGGGAGACTAAGTGAGCCGTTTGTGATAACAATCACTGATGACCTAAGTCCGTATGCCATGTGAAGAGCCTTTCGTTTCACAAAACATAATAGGAGCTCAATGGGCCTAATGAATATGGTAGGGCAGGCTTAGTTACAATTCTTTAACGACCAACTTCTAAAATAAAGGGGGGAAAACAGCATTTAATTATTATTAATACTACAGGTGTAGCTATCTTAATTTATCCTCTAATCAACAAAAATGCATTCCAGAGAATATTGTTGTAAAAGTAACCATTTAATAGGTTTTTGCTGTGTCCTTAATTTAAATGTTCATCTTGTTAGTCATCCTGCAGGTGAAATTTTACATAAAGTGTTATAAAACTTAAAAAAAATATGCTGAAAAATATCAAAATTAACATCAAGTTTGTTCCCCATGTAATCTCTCACTGAGGAATGGTTAACTTTAGCTCTTTATTTCCATCCTGTTAGTCCTGTTTTGTAAATGAAGCTAAAAGATGTTGTAAAAATCTATCAAATTAATAAATTTGCCTGAATTAATTTCTCTTTTGTGTGACTGAGCCACTTCTAGTTCGCAACTGTTTTTTAATCCATTTGGCGCCATCTAGAGTTCGCGAGATCACGTACAGGAACTGTCTGCTCAAACGATCGCATTTCCACACGAGCACAATTGATGGTAACACGGAGGAAACATGGCGAATCATCTTCGCTTCGTCGCTCGTACTGTCATGGTCCAGAACGGCAATGTCGATGCTGCATACGGCGCTCTGAGCAGGTATTTATCGGATGTCGAGTGATTTTGAGATATATATATTTAAGAAGTGTCGTTATAAATCTAGAAACTGGTGTAACCCTATCATAATTACACGACACACACATGTCAAGTGATGTAAACCTACCGCTACTGATCTGTTCTCAGTACGCCAGGTCATTTAGTTTATGCAACTGTGAATGCACTGCTGAAATTTAACGTTAGTTGCAGAGAGCCCTCACTCAAGACTTTGAACGAACCAGTAAATAAAATAAAAAAATAGAAGTAGGAGATGTTCCTGTTAACGCATAATAACATGATTAAAGAACATTAGTATGTTAAATAGTGAATGACAGGAGTTAGAGGTGTAAATTAGTGTTTTTAGTGTATTAGTGTTATTGTAGTATTTTCTATACGCTATTGTAGTTTATTAATATTGTAATTGATCTTTTATTATATATATATATATATATATATATATATATATATATATATATATATATATATATATATATACATATATTATTTTACAGTTAATTATTTCCAGTTATTAATATTCACACTTCAACTTAAACTTATTTCTTTCCTTCAACTTTGCTTTATATTTGCATAGTAGATTAAATGAAATAAAGTCAATCAAAAATTATTCGAGTTAGATACATCATTGCAAGAAGTGTGTTAGGGGGTGCAGTTGAGTTGTAGTCATGCAATCTGGGGCATGGACATATGATCAAAACACTGATTATATCAAAACTCTTACCTCGGATCGGTTTTATAATCATACTTTCGCAATGCTTAAGCTTGGATTTGCTTTGAAAGGTTGCCTTGTTTTCAGCCATTTAACCAAATTATTCAGTAGGCTATTTCATGTGTACAGGTATTGTAATTATGTGCTCTTTTTCTCTGCAGAGTGCTGTCCTCAGACGGAATAATTGAATCTGTGAAACGTAAAAGATACTATGAGAAACCCTGTCGTGAGCGACAGAGAAAGAGTTACGACAACTGTAAGAGAATCTACAACGCTGAGATGGCCCGCAAGTTATCATTCGTAGCAAGGTCACAAAGACAAGATCCATGGCTTGGATGTTAAGATGACATAAACTGACTGTTCATGTTGAGCACCAGATGAGTCATGCATTGTGATCTGCCTCAGAAGCATCTTTGGTGTTTTACAAAGATGAAGATCCACGTGTCAAAAAGGTCTTTGCAGGACTGGTCTATCATCACCTTATTTCTATCTTGTGTTCTGATATTGTAGGCTATAAACCATTGTATGTTTTTATTAATAATAAAAAGCTTTAAATCATAGGAAATTGTCATTTTTATTAAACATCACTAACAATAAATGCATTGTACATAAATATGAATTGTGTTTTATTGCATGTAAGACATATTATTTTCAGTGCTAGCAATTAAAGGGATAGTTCACTTTTAGCATTTTAGCTTACCTCAAGGGCATCAGAAATGTAGTGCGCTCGTAAATGTAAGTACACATTGATGGCCCAAGACACAAAACGAGGCATTTGTGTGATAAAACGAACAGTATTTATATCGTTTTTACCTCTTGTAACCACAGCCACGTCCAAGGGATCTAAGGGGGCACGGGCACTTCGGTCTGCGCAAGCGTCGGAAGTGATCTCTCGCGCTTTTAAATCAGTTATTTACACAGATTTCGGAAGTGTTATCTTTCACTGAAGATCTAAACATATTTAGATATACGTGAAATCACAATGGAAGATGATTTTGATATATCGACAGACAAATTTTAATTTTTTTCACAACCATATTTAGATCACTTCCGGCACTTGATCAGACCAAAGCGCCCACGCCCTCAGATCACTTGGACGTGGCTGTGGTTACAAGAGGTAAAAACAATATAAATACTGTTCGTTTTCTCACACAAACCGCTCGTTTCGTGTCTTAGGCCATCAATGTGTATTTACATTTACGAGTCATTAAATCATGTTTAATTTGGACTTCTCTGTGCATGCTCTTTGAGGTGGTGACCATAGGCCTCCATTATATGACTGACAGACAAGAACGGTTTGACCTAAAAATATCAAAGTGGAAACAAAGACACCTACATCTTGGATACCCTTGAGGTAAGTTAAAACATACCAAAAAATTATTTCAAAGTGAACTATCCCTTTAAAATGTCCACATTGTGCAATGTTTAAAGTAGCAATAGCAAACCAATTTAAACAAATCCTAAACGAAGTGGGAACAGTGTAGTCACTCATTAATCTTATCTTTTCTCCATGCTAACAATTTGAAAATGCAGAAGGTCTGCTAAAACCTGAGACCTATCAGTGATTCTTTTATACCTACAAGTTTTGTTTATGTAGTCTGTCTACATTTTTAAATGACTGGTTAAATATTGGGGAAGTATTGTTAAACTCTATTGTCTGGTAAAGTGGAATAACCAGGGACTTTAAAAAAAAGAGACTAAACCAGACTGTATGTGTAATGAATGATCAAGGTATTAATCAATCTTTTTCCTTCTAAATATCACATAGGCTTGTGAGATTTTACTTAGTTATTGAAGTTACCAGTGTGATTACTGAAATGTTTTTTTCATGTATTCTCTATGGTCTGTATTTGATATAAATGCAGTAACAGTTTGGTCATTTAGCCCGGCTTCCAGAAATGAAATATGGACACGTTTTGTGTTTGAGAAAGGTCTTTAACATGTCAATACATACATCTGTTTTTCTAGAGTACTCTGACAACTATGGTCAGTCACAGAGGTCATTGAAGTCTATAGTTTAAGGGACCATTTCTCAATTAAAGCCCTACTTTCCAGTTAGATTAAAGTGTAGCTCTCCTTGAGAGAAAGAACGTATTATCTTGATGTTTTGAGAGGACTCTCCTGTTAATAGTTAGAGCCTGGCCAAATCCATCCTTGGAAAAGCTGTGTGTCGGTGTGTGTTAGTCTTTTTAGGTACAGGTTAAGGAACCACTGCATTATTGGAGATTGACTGAGTTGTTGTTCGGGACATGGCACCCAGCATCCCAAATCTGCGACCTTGAAGGTCACGAGTCACGACATGCCTAACTTCAGGTTCAGAGTGTCCGCCGCATAATCGCTGGAGATACTCTTCAGTCAATCTGATATGTGTGGAAAATTACAGTTTATCTTATTCATAGCCAATAAGAATCACTCAACCTGAAGCAAGGGCGTAGCTTAGACCTTGGTGAAGGGTGCAACTGTAAGCGGGGCAACCTACGAACTCCATGTGAGACTTGAAGCTGACTTCTGCTGATGAAACTGCAAACTATCTTCAGTAAAACTTTTCTTCAATTTATTATAATTCTGTCTCCAGGTCTTCATTCATCATATCTGGTTCTGGGTCTTTGACTGTTAATCCCCAATGTAACACATGAATGACAAGTCCTTGAGCAAAGATCAGTGAAATGTATGGCTCAATGTTTGAGTTCCAATGAGATGGCTCTGTCCACTTCTTATACTGTCTAAGCGCAAGAAGATGTGAAAGAGAGCTCAATTCAGTATTGGTGCGCTGTTTTCCTCAAGTAACTCATTCCTTTTCGCGTCTTCTTGAGCTTTAATATTTAAATTGGCAAGGCTGACGATGCAGCACTGTCGACTGTCCCAAGCGTTGTTCATGTTTGTTCACACTTTTGAATTGCAGAATTCACAAAAATGTTACCAACTGTTAACTGGCGATTGACATCATTTCACGCTCGACGTGAAGGCAAAGTTGCCTACCTCCCGACACGAAGCATTGCTGAGAAATATAATGTAGCAATACACTGGCGAAGATATTTTATTAAGTAAAATGGCAGGGCAGTGTTGATGATCACGTGCTTCAATGGCTACATTCACTCTGTCAGTCCAAATCCGATTATTTTTGTAAACGATTGGCTTTTTTCCAGGCTGTCTTCTCCACCGGTTTCAAAACTCTGAGAGTAGCCAATGAAAACAGTGCATTAATATGGTGCTTAAACTGACTGGAATTTATGGTTTAAATGCACATTTTCCAGCCAATCAGAATCACGTATTCAGACTGAGCATGGTATAAGGATGTTTAAAGGTACATATTTAAAAAAGTTTAATGTTAAAATAGCAAGATTGTTAAATAGCATTATTATAAAGTTTCAATTCCACCTTTTGACAAATGCTTTAAATGAGTAGTTCACTTTTAACAAAAACTTTTGGTGATAATTTACTCACCCCCATGTCATCCAAGATGCCCATGTCTTTCTTTCTTCAGTCGAAAAGAAATTAAGGTTTTTGATGAAAACATTCCAGGATTTTTTTCCATATAATGGACTTCAATGGGAACCAAACGTTTCATGGTCCAAAAGACAGTTTCAGTGCAAACTGCAAACTGTTCAAAGGGCTTTAAACGATTCCAGACGTTGAACAAGGGTCTTATCTTGCGAAACGATCACTCATTTCAAAAATAAATAACAAAGTTTAATTTTTTTAAGCTCTAATGCTCGCTCTGTTCTGTGATGCGAGTTTGTGACTCCTGTTCGAACTCATTCATCAAAATGAACGAATCTTTTTTCGAGTCAATTCGTTCATTTCGTTCGTTGAATTAACCAAACGACTCGGAAAAAGATTTGTTTATTGTGATGAACGAGTTCAAACAGGAGAGTCACGAACGCGCACCACAGAACAGAGCAAGGCGAGCATTTGAGCTTATAAAACTTAAACTTTGTTATTTATTTTTAAAATGACCGATCGTTTCGCTTGATAAGACCCTTATTCATCATCTGGTGTTGTTTAAAGCCCTTTGAAGCTGCACGGAAACTCTCATTTGGACCCCATTGAAGTCCGTTATATGGAGAAAATCCTGGAATGTTTTCCTCAAAAACTTTAATTTCTTTCCGACTGAAGACAGAATGACATGGACAACTTGGATGACACGGGGGTGAGTAAATTATCAGCAAAAGCATTTTTTTTTTTTAAAAGTGAACTACTAACTAGGGGGTTGTTAAATACCACAGCAAGTTTGTATTTGATAACCTTATTGTTTAAGGTTAAGTTAATGGGTAAACTGCCTATTCTCATGTCATCTATCACTTAAAATACTTTCATTACCAGAAGAAACCATTAATAAATTGTTAAAAAAGAAACTAATATCTAAACAACATTATTGTATTTATATCAAAGCAACCCGTGATTTGTGACAAACAATTCTTCAGTCTGAAATTTGGCCATGCTCAGTGACCAGACTAAGAAAAAGCTGAACTGCATTGAACTGGATGGGACTTATAGTAAGAGTTCAAGGTCTCTGTGATATATGGGGGATGGGTCTGGTCATTAAGTTCAACCCAACGTATAGCTGGATGGGGGAAGTGTTGTGTTTTCCATGCGGTCATGTTTGCATTTAAGCCTACTACAGAAAAAATGTAAGATGTGCCTCTCCTGTTGCTTCAGTTTTTTTGGGGCTAAACAATGTCATTCACAATATCCTTTTTTTTTTTTTCACTACAGAGTTGTGTATTTACACACTCTCAGAAAAAAAGGTACAAAAGCTGTCACTGGGGAGGTGCCACAGTGACAGCTTTTGTACCTTTTTTTCTGAGAGTGCAGTCAACGTTTAAACGATTTCCTGTTTTTTTGATTGTATCCAAAAGCTCTGTTTGATTGGTATAGTTGTGCATGTTGAAGTGTGCGCTGGCTGAAAAATATCCTAAGCTGTGTGAAAGCATTCTGCCCCAGGGTTCAGATATTCTTGTTTGTAAACCAGGGGGATGGGCTGCTGGTTTAGTGAGTTCATAGCGGTTCATATGGATGGAGCCTCTCCTTCATGCTACACTATGAAATCCACAATGAACCAGTAAGTGAAAAACAAGGAGGAGTTTAACGTATGCAGTAAAGAGGATATCCCTTTTATATATTTATTTAATTTCAGTTTATGATTTTTTAGTTTACTATTATTATTTAATTTTTTGATTTCATGTTTTTTTAAGAAAACATTCATTATTTATTTAGTTTTTAAGAAAATAATCTTAATATTAACTCTAATAATTGTAACTGATATGTTTATTTGGGGGGGGGGGGTCAATACTTCAAGGAAATCAATAATTTTATTCAGCAAGGATTCAATTGATCAAAAGTTATAATTTTAAAAAAAATTCTATTTAAAAAAATGTTTCGGGTTGACAATAATAATTAATATTTTTTTGAGCATCAAAACAGCATATTAGAACGATTTATGAAGGATCATTTGAAACTGAAGACTGGATGCTGAAAATTCAGCTTTGCATCAGGAATAAATAGGGCTGTCAAACGATTAATCGTGATTAGTCACTGTAACGCTCACCAGGTGGAGTGCCCTTGAGAGTCACTAGAGGGCACTCCACACCAGATAAGACTATGTTTCACACAAACTACATTTCCCAGAACTCACTGCCCGGACTCATCATCACTGATCAGATTCACCTGTACCTCATTCACTGATTCCATTCACCTGTGTCTCATCCTGTTAGTGTGTCTATATATACCTTGTGTTCACGTTCAGTGTTTGCGAAGTCTTGTTTAAGTGTTACACTGCATTTCTGAGCGGTTTTCCGTGTTTGGTTTCTGGTTTATGACTTTGGATTGTTTTTTGGATTTTGATTATTGCTGCCTGCCCTGACCTCTGCCTGTTTCCCGGATTCCCACTGTGTTTCCTCCATTGTCCTGTCTGCTAATTCTTGACCCTGCCTGTACGACTAATCTTAAATAAAGCTGCATTTGGATCTTCATCTACAAGCCTCAGAGCAGTTCGTAACAGTCACATCCAAAATAAAAGTTTGTGTTTACATAATATATGAGTGCACTGTATATGTATATTTAAGAAATATTTTCATGTATATTGATTTGTATATAATTTTTTTTCTTAAATATACATGCATGTGTGTATTTATATATATACAAAATAATTATACACCATGCACCCACATAGGCCTATATTAAACAGCGATTAATTGCGATTAATCGTTTGACAGCCCTAGGAATAAACTACATTTTCAAATTATTATTATTATTTTTTTAATAATATTTCACAATGTTACTCCTTTTTTTGTTATATTTTTAATCAAATAAATGCCTCTGAGAGCATAAGACACTTATTTTAAAAACATTACAAATCTTATATTCATTAGGCATATACTGTATATTAATACATATATAAAACTAAAATACAAATTTGTAAAAACCTATATAAGCATATTTAAAAATAACTGTAAAATAACTAAAACTGAAATAGTTATAAACTAAAAAAATATACATGTACAAAATAAAAACTATAGTATTTCAGTGATATTAAAAAAACACTGATATCAGCTAAAAACCCATATATTTTTGACTTAATCAAGTGCAAGTTTTGGTCATCTACAGATGAGCCTTAACGTGCCCAGCTTCCAATAGAGTCGTGATTATCATTGTGAGTGAGGGTATTGATTTTAAGAATGTAGAGCATGGTTAACATGTGACCTATATTCTGTTGTGTGCGTTGGCTGCTGACCTACAGGTGGGCAACAACAACAGAGCTGCAGAAAGCTGAATCGGTCACCTTCAATGGTTTACAGATTGAAAAAGTGAATACGCTTTCAATGCATTCATGTGTGATGCAGACAGAATAAAAATGTAAAATGAAAGGTTCTATTCACAGTAATTCTGTAATGTCCATAGTTATCTAACTATAATCTGATTTTGGATTCAGAATACAATAAAAATATGTACCAAATCTTTATGCCACACAGTAAGTCTTCAGTGCTGGCTCAAAGTGAATTCATATGCCCTGAAAGACTCACAATTACTCTTGAAAGTGCAAAAAAGTGTTGGCTTTAATTAATTTTAATTTGTCAACAGGTTCCACATAACTGGATTACGTTAAAAAAAACATAATTTGTTCATGTAACTTCAACATAATAGAATTATGTAATTTTAAATTACCCAATTTAAGTAGTTTATGAATTTTTAAAGGCTTCCTGACATGATTGGAAGGCATTTTATTATTCATTCATTCCTTTATATTTCATTTGATTCTGTGACTTTAAATTAAATTGATCGACTTTAGCTAGCTATTTGTTAGCAGAAGCACATAAGAATCTTGAATGCCAAGATTTACATGCTCCTTCACCTTCACTCAATGCAATTGAAAATAATGAAATCAGTCGACAGCCAAACAAAATGCTCCACTCTTCTCCACAATGGTAACCCACTGTAATTTAAATGGTTTAATAATTCCTATGTAATTTAACATTAAACTTTATTACACACTATCAAGGCTTCCCCTTTTCTAAATTTCTCAAAAAAACATAAAATAACACTTAATTTTAACATTTATTCTCTCTTAATTCAACCATATGCAAAGCATGCTGGGAACTAAAAGCACTGCCCAGTTTCAGTTAAGGCAACACAAATAAATCATGTAATCCAACACAAACGGATTAGGTAAACTTAAGTTGTTCGTAGATTTAAGCAGATTGAACACAATAAAATTAAGTTCGGGCAAAATGGCAGTCGGCTCGCACTATACTGCCACCCTCTGGACATTTTTAAATGGTTTGTGTTTAGACAACACATTAGGATTTTGTATACTGTTAAGTTGAGACACAATTACATAGACCTTAACAGAAAAAAAACACAATTATTAAACTATATATAAATGTATTATGTAAAGTGCACAACCTCCCTAGTTCACTTTTTTGAGTAACCATGAAACAAGACAAAGTCCAGAATACAATGCAATGTATATAATATTGCCTGGTAATTTCACTGACCACAGGGAGCAGACTCATGAGCTCATTTGGTTTGAATGAAACGGAGCCAATAACAGTTGTTGTTTTGAGCTGCATTTGTCTTTTTTTGTGTGTCAGACTAACAATAGTCTGCTAAAGGAAAGTTCACCAACACACACTTTGACAATGATCCACATTTGAAAGTCTAAAATATTAAGAAGTCAAAGGTGAGTGGATTATGCAATGACTTTTTTTAAAGGGGTCTCTTGTGAAATTTTTGGGACACAATACTTCATCTTGCAAAATGCATTTTCATGTGACACCAGTGTTATTTTAGTATTAATGAGATACAATTATGTTTTTTTAATTAGTTTTTTATTTTGAAATGTTCCATTTTAAATATTAAAATATATTAAAATTATATTAATAAAAAAATATAAATGCCTATATTATTATTTTTTCTTTGAGTGTAGTTATTTTAGTAGCTACATTCAGTTAAACTAAGTGAAAATGAGAAACGTTGAAAAGCTTTTTATATTTTAAGCATTTTTATATTTTATTTCAGTTTATTTACCATTTATTTTGGTTGAAGCAATACATATTTATTCTAGATATCAATTCTAGTCTAGATTTTTCGACAAAACACATTTTTAATTTTTTTTTTTTCAACGTAAATATGTCATTAATAGGTAATACATAATGTAATTAGAAGTATCATGTTGCTGTGGTTACTTCTAAAATAATTTGAGGGTCATCTAAAATAGAACGTTTTCGGTAAATTTTGTAATGTTCCAAACAAACTGTCACGGGTACCAACTCTTCCTAATGTGGAATAACGAGCACCGTCTGTATAACGTGATTCAATCTGTAGTATCTGCCTTTCCACTCGAATGCCACGTGCGAAGAGCGGGGTGTGCAAACATGTGAGGCCGACCAATCCCGACTCAGATACTTATGGATTGGTTCTACTTTCTGTCCAATCAGCTACTCGACTTTGATCTTTCAGCCAATGGGAGCGCAGCCTGCCTTGGCTTTTATCCAGCACGTGTAGCGAATGCGATTCACATGTTGTCCCTCGCTGTAGACTGACGTGACGTCACGTGAGTAGAGAAAGGAAGAGGATAGAACAATCTCTCAGGACAGGACAATACTGCGAACGACGAAGACGTCGACACACAATCTTATTAAGCATTAGATTGTATGAAACTACTTTTAGGCGTACGTACAACAGGTCAGATTGTGTCAGTGGAGCTAGGTTGTTGTGGTACCGACCCAGAAACGACCGAGTATTAAGGTAAGGGAATTATGAATTATTAATAGTAATATTTTTTACATCTAAAAGAATGTTAATAAATATCTCCGTTATATTCCAGAAATGCTAGCTGCTACACGTGTTTGGCATCTCGCTTGATGTGTGTTTACACCACGTTGAGCTGCATTATCCCTTTGTTTTGCCAGTTTATGTCTGTCATCATGTCATAATTGCAATTTGAAATAATTTGAAAATTAGGAAATTAGCTTACATATCCATTACAACCTGAGACTGGTAAGCATATACATTTGATCAAGTTCTCTTACGGTGATATTTTCCGTTGTCCCCCCCCACATGTGGTTGATGTTTTATTATTACTTTTAAAATGATTTTCATGTTTATGTGAAGAATATTTAATTTTTTTTAATATAACGTTATAGGAAAAAAAATCCCGTTTCAATATTTCTATGTATTGGCTTAAAAGCTAACGTTTTTATGGATTGTTATGCGTCACACCCCACATAACGTTACGTTCCAAGAGCTTAGTCAACTCCGCATAAATAATAATGTTCTTTAAATGTTTAATATTTACGTGTTACATGTATTCATGTTGCAAAAGCTTTTATCCAATATGTCTTTCTTCTTCTATACCGATATTTTTAAATCACAAAGCAGTCCATCTGGTGAAAGTTAATTTGTCTTAATGGCACCGCCTAGCTGTTTATTTTTTATGAGCCACATGCCCTCAGAGTGTTTTCGTCAACTCGTCAATTCTGAAACCCTACACTGTATTTATAGCTGTCCGTCTAAACAACATTGTAAGGTATAGTCATTATAGGCATGCACATAGCATATTCATGTGCTTTTCAAAACTCCTATGTTTTTTTCTTCTTAAAATACAGACCATATGTGGTATTGCGGCCTTTGACCTAGTGAAAGGAACATGGCGTGCTGTTCTTCATGGATAGAGTTATTTTTTTAAACAGGATAATTGTGGAATCTCCACGATCTTGCTTTCTACTTTGGACTGTATCCCGTGTTCCTGTATTCTTTTTTTTTTGTCCACACTGTCTGTTCCCAATTGTTTGTTTGGTGCTAGCACCTCTCTTGTTTCTTGACTTACAACATTTTAGTCTGTCACCTCAATAATAAGGGTTATTTTAGTCCAGTTAAGCCAACATATACACATTTGCATGTACTATACTGTACTGTAGACACACATTGTGTTTTCATGTTTTATGGGGACATAATGATTTTTATACTGAACAAACTATATTCTATCCCCCCCTACATTAACCCTACTCATAAAACCCTACCCTGTGTTTTTACATTTTCAAAAAACATCTTAGTATGATTTATAAGCTGTTTCCCTCATGGGGACCAAAAATGTCCTGACAAGGATTTCGGATATTGCCATCTTTGTGGGGTTTGTAGGGTAAAACCATAATGTAGGGTTTACCAGGCCGCACACACACACATTCCACTCACTAACTCCCTCTCTCTCTCTCTCTCACATACACACACACATTCCATTCACTCCACCCACTCACTCTCTCATAAATTATTTTCTTTGAAATTTTTTATTCATCAAAGAATCCTGAAAAATTGTATCAGCATAAGGAAAAGGATCCTTGTGAAAGGATATAAAAGGTTTCCGCTATTTTCAACATTAATAAAAATAAGAAATATTTTTGCAATAAGACACTTTCAACTCTTAATTAGCCTACAACACACTTTTGCAAAGTAGTTAAATGGTTATTTAGTCATTTAGTCAACTATTGTAGATCCTCAACCCTACTCCTGGAGAGTTTATATCAAACCTGCTTCAGTCTGTGATTATTCAAGTGATCCTGAAGAGCTTGACTAGCTTGTTCAGGTGTGTTTGATTCGGGTTGGAATATATGGAATATAAGTGATTCTAGCAGTTTTAACAAGGATTTGCAACCCTAGTGTCCAAAACATACCAGTGTCAGTTCAGTCAACCGGCCCTTTCCCCTGTTGTGCTTTTTGTTAACATTCTCTCTTCTGTATTTCCTCATAATTTTCTGCTGCCTTGTTCCCTTGAGAGAAATCACTTGCTCGCATCAGTTCAGCTCATTTCAGCCCATCGCTCTTCAGCTTTGAACAATCTGCCACCTCACACATATCTGTTTTCTCACATTTCAGTGATGCTGTCACCGGGGAGTCCTTCCAAATGGCAAATGCAATATTCCCTCTCCTCGACCCCCAGTTCTCTCCAGTACAGTGAGAGTGACCAGACGGAGGACGAATCTGAGGTCTTCACCTCTGAGAGTAAAGCCGCAGGAGTTGCGCCTGATCCAAAGCTATTCTCCTTGGCCAACGGGAGCTCTCAAAATTCCAAATCGACCTTTGTGAACCAGAAGAGTGATAGAGTTGAAATTGGTCAAACTGGATGTTTCTCGGCATCTCCAGCTTACAACAGTGAGAACCCAGTGCCATATGAAAGGATTCCCACAGAGGGAGACCTGAGGTTTGCACGCAAAGTAAGTCTGAAAATCTCTTTACCCTGTGATTTGTTCGTGCGTTCTGCTTCTCTTGTATTTTGCATTAGTGTCAGCCTACGATTAATGACTTTTTTTGAGTATGCCTTGAGCAAGAAGTATTTAAATAAGAAATATTGTGATGTGTGATCCACTTATTTCAGATAAGATCCACTTATTTCAGTCGAGTAGTTTTTAATGACCATTTCTCTGAGCCTTACATGCAAACCGTACATTTTAGGCCGCTGTACCTTTAAGCGCCCCTTTCAAATGTGAAATGCACACCATTACTAAGCACATTCTCTCACACATCAGCTTGTGAGTGGCTGTCATGTGAAATAGTTTGGTAAATGGGCCATCCTTCTATATAAGCCTCTTTGCATCCCATTGTGACAGAGAAACACAAACCAATATGTGTTGAAAATGTTATGAACAAATCAGATCTGATCACCTAGTGGTATCATTTACTTACAGTTGTGGGTGGTCATGTTGATACATTGGTCTGTGTGCAACTTTTTAATAACACAAAGCTTTGGAAATTCAGAATGAGTCATGTTTAGGGGCGAAGCACTGAAGGTGCGTAGGCACTAACTGGATCTGTTAGTGTTCTTCTTCCTCTCTTGAAGTCTTAAGGCAGTCCATTCCTTTAAAATGACACAGTTTTTAAATGTTGTGTGTTTTTAATGTTTTAATCTAATTTCTTTTACAGTGTTCAGACCTGCACGGGTACATCAGGCCTCTGTTGGGGCTGTTGAATGGGTTGAAAACAGGTCGATATGAAAAAGGTAATGCATTAAAAAAAAATCTATATACACTACCTTTCAAAAATGGGGCCAATAAGATAAAAAAAAACAACTTTTATTCTTTAAGATTGCATTGAATTGATACAAAATGACAGTAAACATTTATAATGTTACAAAAGATTTCTATTTCTATTTTATTTAAATTCAGCTTGATCATCAAAGGAATAAATTATATTTTTAAATATTAACAAAATAACATTTTTAGTATTATTTGTAGTTTATATTTATATTTATATTATTTGTAGTATAAATATATACTTTTTAGTATATATTTATATTATTTGATTAAAGTTTTGATTTCAAATAAACACAGACTTGATGATCATAAGATAATTCTTTCAAAAAATGTTTAAAAAAAATTCCAAACATGTGAATGGTAGTGTATGTCCACACCTTATGTAATTTTTTTTATCCATTTTATTTATTAATTTGTTTCTTTTTTGGCAGGTTTGAGCACATTTCAGCAGAGTGTTGCCATGGATAGACTGCGAAGGATTGTGGGTGTTCTACAAAAACCTGACCTTGGGTATTTTATTTTATTCTATTCAACAATCCATTTCTCTGCATCATATTAAAATACATATAATGCCTTTTATTAAATCTTATTTGTCTTCTATACCTCCATAGGGAGAAGTATATGGGCACTATTCTGCAGTTGGAGATGATGTTAAAGGCTTGGTTCCCTCAGGTGAGGCCTCAGCATCGCGATGGCACCCCTTCATTCCAAAACTTTATGACTAGTCTGCCTCCACGCTGGAATCAGGACCAGTTACATATTCCTGTAAAGGTAAGCGGAAAGAAGTGCTTTGAAACAAAACAAACAACAAGTTTTTTCTCGGTTCAAAAAGTTTTTCCACTTAAAGGGATAATTCACCCCAAAATTAAACTTGTATCATTATTTACTCTCTCATGTTGCTCCAAACCTGTAAGACTTCCGTTCATCCTCGGAATGAAGATGAAATCTGAGAGCTTTCTGAACTGACACTTTGACCCTTAACACTTTGACCCTTAAAAGTTAATTAAGAGATCGTAAAAGGAGAATTTTCTGAGGAGGCTCGATCGCTTTATATGATGAACAGATTGAATTTAGGCTTTTAATTTCATATAAACATTCATCAATTCACACATCAGTTGTGGTAAACGGAAGCTCAAGCATGTTCGCGTGACATGCAAGAACCAATGAGGTTGATTCTCACGTTTCGATTGAGCTTCTGTTTATGTTCGCTGATCAATGTTTATATGTGAATAGAATAGGGCTGTAGTCAACCAAAGAAATCCTTAGTCGACCAAAGTCTGGTCCTGCGCAACGATTAGTCGACTAAAAACCCAAATAGCCTAAAAAACAATCATAATAATAGGCGACATGTGCCGGTATTCGGTAATGCGATAAATCGCGGTAATGAATATGCACGATATTGTTATCGCGGGCTCTTCAAAATACCGTGAAAAATAATAGATTCGAATTTAGACTTTTAAAGCGCGCATTAGCTGCTTATTTTCCTTCAACCGCTCAAACACTGCGTGCTGGGCAGAACACGCGCGCACTCTGATGTAAACAATCCCCATTATGTATAAGCACTGTGTGCATGCAGCAGTGTGCACTAGTCTAATGTAAACAGTCCTCACATGGATCAAGCATGGCGGAATACTCCCGACGATTTATCCCCGCAGGGCTGCCAAACTCTCGGACATTCCGCTTTAGACTCAAGCTTGAGACTTTCAGACAGGACGCGGAATACGCGCGCGACGCGCAGGGTTGTTTTGTTGCTGCGTTGACCTGCATCGACCACGCCGGTGTTAAAGTTCAAAATAGTTCAACTTTTTATTTGTAAAATGGCAAATCGCGTTGTATCTGAAGGGCAACGTTGAACCAAGCGGCCGCAGCGTCGCGCATTCCGCGTCCTGTCTGAAAGGTGCTTAACGCATTTGACACTGCACGCTCTCCCACAGAGAAAAATCACAGGGCAAAGAGGACACTGACACCGACAGACTAGACAGAGCAGGTTACTTTTGAAATGAAAGTTGTTATTGATAAATTGAAGTTGATAAATCAGCTCTTCTGATCACAGATCGTTGCTCCTCAGTTCAAGTAAACCGATCATCATGTTACTTTCGTTTTTATTTAAAGATACAGTATAACTTACCGAAAGGTATATTTACTTGTACATAATAACGATCAATCAGTGTTTTCAAACATGGAAAGAGGTCAGTAACACTGCAGGAGAACAGTTGTGTCACAAAACGTTACATTTACCTCAGGAAAGCCATTTAATGACCAGAACATTAGTTGACTAGAAAAAAATATCAAGGAGTATTTTGCTAAATATTATATTTAATTTCTCTCTGTATGTTTACAGCATTATGTGAGGTTTTTTTTTTCTTGAGAAACATTAACAGACTAGGGCCTACATAATATTTATCCAAATGAGTCAATATTGAATTAAGACTGAAATCAAATCCAAGAATTTAATTGAATAATACAAACAGTAACCTACCAGTCATTGTCCCATGTAAACATTGTAACATGTTGTCACTAAACTTTAAACAATTTGGTTTAGTTACCATATGTTTCGAAAATCACAATTACACATTGTGATACAAGTTGAGGTTTTTTTAGAGACCCACAATGCATCTGTTTTTCTTGAGCATTAAAATATAATTTCATTAAAATATCGTGATAATACCGTATACCGAGATAAAAGCTCATCAATTAACCGCAGCATGAAAATTTGATACCGGCACATGCCTATAGGCTGTATAGTTGGAAGGCATATAGGCTTATATTCGTTTTGTTCCATTATTAGTGTACAAATAAAAACAAAAAACATTAAGAAAACACAATCTATTGAGTCAGCATGATAAAGCCGTTAAAGGGCCTGCTCACGTCTTTTGCGCGCTCAAATTCGATTTCAAATGTTTTTTATTTTATTATATTTTTTTTTTAAAGTGCGTCCACGCAGCATCGAGATAAAAACATCTGAACTTTTCAGAATGCCATATTGGTCGTCGAGCTATGGTAAGTTAGCTTTAGGTCGCATAGCTTGCACTCCACAGTCTTGTCGTCTTTTTTTTTTTGTTTTTTTTTTGTAAAACGCAGCCAGACAAAATATTTAGATTTCTTGGACATTTTGTCGACTAAAGCCAAAACAAGTAGCGTTCTAACTGAATGAATACAGCAAATCTACCTATATTACTTAATGAGCGAGAAGCACCAGCGCAGCCAGCCACAGGTGCAGTTCCCGAGTGTTCCATGTGGTGCGCTAAAACTGTGGCGCTGTTACAAAAATATCCTAAATTATCAAAGCATTTAAAGTTGGGGATAAAACATAGGATCATTATATTTAGAATACAGTAATAAATAACTGCTTATAAAGGAATAAATATCAAGGAGTAAATCATTGAAAATTTCGATGGTTGACCAATAAAAATGTCGACTAAACGGCTAAAGTTGACAGCCCTAGAATAAAAGCCTAAATGAAGCATTGTGATATCAGGGCCTTTACAATCTACAACAATCTTGAATGGTTTAATTCCTCATCAAAACCCTTTTTCTTACAGAAACGCAGATTAAGTTGGTCAGACTCTGACTCGCAAAGTTCCTCAAGCAGCAAACGTATTCTACAGGACGATCGAGGACCAAGCCCCAGCGATACTAGCTCATGGCTCAGCAACTCTGAAACCACATTTAGCGAACTCGAAGACAGTGCAATCTGTACTAATCAAAGTAAAATGACACCTGAATCCAAACACATCAAAAACAGCCATCTTCAAGTTCAGCAAAAGACAAACTCCTTAAACGAAACCCCTGTGACTGTGAAAGGAAGACCGCCTCCGCTTGTAATACCACCATCAGCCACAGATGGCAGCATTTTGTTTATGCAGGATTGGTCGGTGTCCTCCACGACTCCTACTTCTGACCCACCAGCAGACTTGATTATAAGTGGGAAAGATTTGGGCGAATCCGTAAAAGGAGAGGGGCCAGAAAAACAGGTTAATTGTAAACGTCATTGCACAGAGATGTTAAACACATAATGTTTTGAAGTTTCTCGCATTTAAAGGAATGGCCATTTTTTTTTTTCCAGCCTGTTGATATTGGAAAATCATTGTTTTTCACAAAGTGAAAAGTGTTGTTCAGTTACTCGGACTTTACCTTCTGCCACAACACAGAAGTTATCATATGTACAGTATGGCATAAGATTTGTTTTTATAAGATTATAGATTCTACATTTCTTAAGTCCTAAGAGGTCAGAGATGTGTCTTAAAATACGTGCTTGAGCCATATGGTCAACCGGTGAAACATGCACAGATATCACTCTACTGCACTGCCTTTCATGATAACACAAGCTTCCGACAATATTTATGAAGCTAGAAGAATAGTCTGATAAAACATCCAGACAATATACCTTAATAATGTCCTTTTGACTTGAATTGAGAACCACTTTGAGCAATGAATGGAATAGATTTGTGGTATGGGAGGATATTTTCGAGGCAGTTTTATTTATTACTTCTTTACTTGAACATTCTGTGATCTTATAAGCAGCCTTAAAATGACCCTTGAGAGTCCGAACATGTGGGCCATTTTAATTGCTCAATGTTGTATTTTTATTAAGATACAGAGAGCCAAACAACTGATGGGATGCATCATGAAGTGTTATTCTATAATCTGGGAAGCAAATGGTCATTTATTGAAAATTTTCTTGCCAAACACAGTTTGCACATTTATGTTATTCTGCTTCCATATTGTAATAGTTCATTTTGTCACAGAAATCTAGGTTTTTGTTTTAGAATATTGCTGTTTCCTTCTACTCACCTAAAAAAAGGCCCTTTCCATTTAAAATTAGTTTTGAAAATCAGCATTGTAATTATTAACCATTCTCTAAAACATTATGTTCAAGTTAATTCGAGTATGTGGAGTGTCCCACACTGTAAAGATCACAATGAGGAAGATAAGACTTTTATTTACCTTTTTGTAGAAATTAGAGATACATTATTTAGCTTCACGCATGTAGTCACAGCTGTATGAGCTGTTGTGAAATTATACGAGTTGTTGCCATCATAATGGAGATTGTACTATTGTACTAAGGGAAAAGTGCATATGAAGATATATTGATTAACATTAAAATGCACTTAACAGCTTCATGTAATTGTGAAGGTACAATTTTGAGGAAAATATATTTTTTAAATAAATAAAAAAATCTTCCTCAAAATTAAAAAAGTCAGGCATTGTAGCACTGTTCTTATTTTCTGTTGATTGTTTTGAACCCATTTTCTTTTACTGTTAATATATCAAAGTTTTTCCGTCAAGGTTGCTGAAATGTTTTTCAACGTTCCACTTTTTGATATCATTAAATGTTTCAAAGTTTCTTATATTGTTATTTGCAGTCTCTTTCTTTTTTATTGTCTTTCTTTTTAGACATCAGTTATCCTATATAGAGCAAAAAATATAAATGGAAATATATTTTAAATATACACTACTATAGCATTCAATGGCATTATTATAGCATATTACTATAGTAATATTGTGACATTTTAATATTTTTCAATCTATAATTTATTCTTGTGATGCCAAAGCTGAAATTTCAGCATTATTACTCCAGTCTTCAAAATTGATCCTTCAAAAATCGTATTAATATGCTTATTTGGTGCTCAATATTATTATTATTATTATTATTTTTTTTTTTATCAATGTTGAAAACAGTTGTGCTGCTTAATATTTTTGTGGAAACTTTAAAAAAAATTCAGGACTCTTTGATTTTGATTATTTGAAAGTTCAAGTATTTATTTAAAATACTTAATAGTTTTTGTAAAGGTGTACAATGTAATGTAAAGGTATTTACTGTCACTTTGTTTTGATATATTTAGTAGGTCTTTGCCATTTTTTATATTAAAATATATTAAATATTTATATAGTCGGTATATATATATATATATATATATATATATATATATATATATATATATATATATATATATTGTCTGTATTAACTTCACGAAAGTGTTCTTAATAGCTATTAATATGATAAACACGACTGTTGCCAGTAGCATAACAATTACACAACATATTTCTCGAGTGTTCTATCTGAACATGACTGACCCCTGCTGGATGTCTGGTTGTTTTATAACTGAGCAATATAAAATATTCATATATATGCTTCAACGTGATTTCACGAGCCTAAAGTTTCTTTGTACACACCCTGTGATGTATAAATATATTCTCCTTGTTATTGTGATTTCAGACCAAAGACTGTGAGCAAGGAGGGAAAGGTTTTATAAGAAAGAAAGAAAGAAAGAAAGAAAGAAAGAAAGAAAGAAAGAAAGAAAGAAAGAAAGAAAGAAAGAAAGAAAGAATGAGAAAAACTGTGTATCAAACTGTGTGTGTATTATCAATATTGTTGTAATATATTGGTGAGAATGGAGTCCATGCAGTATACACATGAACCTGTGAGCGGCAGCACCGCGAGTCAGCGACCAGAAGATCTGGAAAATGGCGGCTGGAAGTGCAGGCGCTAGCGGCCACAAGAGTGGCTCATCGCCCCGCTTTGAGTCCACTTTGGACCGTCGTTTTCAGACTGTAACCAACACCATGGAATCCATTCAGGGACTATCAGCCTGGTGCATCGAGAACAAGAAATATCACAGCGTGATCGTGCGACACTGGATAAAGTGGCTGCGCAAATGTGAGTATTTAGCACGCTAGCCGGCTAATCTGAGCCTAGCTGTAAAACAACACCTGTTTACGGACCCATATTTGCTTAACCTGGGGTTCCAAAGTGGACGTGCTAGGTATTTGTGCGAATAAGTATCACAGAAGTTATTGTGACTGGCTAGTTTCTCTTCTTCAGCTCACTTGACAACTGTTGTGGCTTAGTAGCAAACTGCTAATCTGTCCCCCATCAGGTCGGGACAGGTCGTATTTCAAAAGCTGGTGAGGTGCATTCGTAGACCGCTTTCTGAGGCAGCAGGTCTTTTAAGCACCATCATCTTTTAGAATACCGGACTTCTGGGTCAGCTGCATTTTGGATGTCATAGCACGATTCGACCCAGCTTCTTTTTGGGCAATAAAGGGGTGTTTGGGGTCAGCAGCATTCTGGGGTTTTTAGGGTCAGCTACATTTTGGGTGTCAGGGTTGTTTTGAAACTGTAACTGTAATATTTTAGTGAAACTGTAATATTTTAGTGCAATAAAGGGGTGTTAGGGCATTTTTTTTTTTGGCAGAATGTGGCATTTTGACACAGCTAACTTAGATTTTGAGTGCATGTTTTGAATGAGCAATGTTTTTTAAGCTTTAAAGAGGTGTTTTGGAACAGCAGCAATTTTTGGGTTAAAAAGTGATTTGTTGTCAGTTGCATTTTTGGAAAATAAAGGGATGTTCAATCGGCAGCATTTTTGGGCAAGACTGACTGAATTTTTTTTTGCAATGATATTTTCGGGGTAGTCAGGTCTTTCCCCAACCGACCCCATTATATATACAGTGCCCAGCGAAGGTATTCGTACCCTTTCATTTTTTTTCCACATTTTATGTCGTTGCCTTATGCTAAATTACTTATTTCTCACATTAATCTACACTCTACACACCATAATGTCAAAGCTAAGGACAGATTAGGGGTGGGCGATATGGAAAAAATATCATATCACGATTTTTTTAGGAAAATCACGATCACGATTTTTTATCACGATTCTTTTTCAAGTTGGTTTTAATATTTTGCAAGTGGCTGTTCATTACAGCCAAACTAATGTCCCAATGTTAAAAACAAAGCTTAGGTAACAAAAGAAAAAAAGAAAGCCACACATTTAGGCCAGTGGCGAAGATACAAAATCTTTGTCATTATTTACTTTGTTATTAAAAAAATAAGACAAGATAAACATTACACAAATTAATATTCATATTAAATAAATAGTGCTTTATTTTTTCAGATGCAGTAGGTGTATTTAGCAGTAGCATTGAAGTAATTAAACGAACAAATATGAAATTAAAACACTACATAGACTTCACTGAATAAATTGATTCTTATTAAAGATATATTAAAGTTCTCAGTCAGTGAGTGATTTTCTCCTTGTGTTTTTTTGTTTTAACACTAAAGGGATAGTTCCCTCAAAAATGAAAATTGTCTTAATTTACTCTCTCAAGATGTTTTAAACCCGAATAAGTTTCTTTCTTCTGTTGAAAATAAAAGTTATTTTGAATAATGTGGGTAACCGAACAGTTGCTGGTCTCCTTATAGTTTTTTTATAGGTTCTCTCCTGGAAGTTAATGGAGACCAGCAACTGTTTGGTTACCCACATTAAAAAAAAATGTCTTTTGTGTTAAGCACAAGAAAGAAATTAATACAGGTTTGGAACAACATTAGAGTGAGTAAATAATGACGGATTTTTTTTTTTTTTTTTTGTGAACTATCCCTTTAAGGACAAGCGGCAGTAGGCTACTATTTATTCCTGTTGCTTTTAGACCAGCACGCGACGCGTTTAATATAGACGCATATTACACCAGATATTCTCTCAAATGTTTGCTTTCACTTTAGACATAGCCTGTTTATGTAAACATTGTGTGTATTTAACAGTATTAGCTTAATAAGACTCGAGATATAACTTAGTCCAGTATTCAGGCGCTGTTTGACAGGCTTCTAGTGGATGTGAGCGTCGGGGGTATATGCGGTCAGGAAAGCGCACGTTAGAACAGCGCATCAGCGCGTGAATTAAATGTTTAACCGGCAAGGCTTATGCAAATAATGAACTTTTGTGAATTGCAGTGTCCCGTACCTATTCATTAACGTGTGATCATGTGTAGGCTACGTCGCGTTGTACAGTTGAGAGACGGAGGCGCCAGAACTGAACTGATAGAATGCAATGTAACACGATACTACGATATTTCTTCAAAAGCAGATCGTGGAGACATTTTAATCGTCCACGATTAAAAATCGTCATATCGCACACCCCTAGGACAGATTTGTGATAAATTTGCAAATTTATTAAAAAGGAAAAACTGAAATAAGTACATTGCATAGCCCAAGTATTCGTACCCTTATATTCAGTGGCCGAGAAATTAGTAAAATTGTGTTGTGGCTTGTTTCCATTGTGTTGTGGCTTTTTTTGGAAGAACATTGTTTTGGTTGTGCTGACTGTGCAGATGAATATGGTTATCCTATAGTTGGGTATTGTTTGAATTTTAGCGATTCCGATTCTGCAATTTGATTTCGATTCTGCATATCAATTCCATTTCTTATCGAATCCTAATTTCAATTCCAATAAGGTAAAAAAAAAAAAAAACAGCGGATATTGTTCACAATTCTGGCAATATTGCTAAACATTTCATTGTAGCTGAATACCATGAATAAAAATCAACAGGCTAAAGACAAATTTTGCCTTTTTTTTATATACTGCTGAAAAACAAAATATTGCAATTAGAGCTGTCACTAATGCTTGTTTTAATCGGTTGATTATTTTGACAATGTATATTTCTGCAAAAATCTTCCTGTCCGCTCTAAATAGAAATAGACTTAGTGAATCAGGATAAGACAAGAAAAAGTTTTGGCATAAGGATTTATGTATTGACATTTTGAACAAAAGAGTTACATAGTGTACCTTTAAGATTGTTTGAGATAAGATTGATTACCAAGAATATAAATTTAAATAAATTTAAATCTATCTTCATTTTTTTTTAAATACTTGAGACATTATGTGCATGAGGCTGAGGTGTTATACACTAAATAAGTCAGGACCTGTGCATTTTTGGCTAAAGTAGTCCCAAACTTTACTGCTTCCGTAAAGAGAAAAACAAGACTTTATTTTGACTAGGCCAATTTATTGTAGACACACCCCAACATAAAATAATACTGGTCATAAAATACTTTGTTTCTAGCTTGTTTCAAATAATGTATGAGTGTGTTGCCCTGGAATGAGTTATGATTCTTTAATGAAATGCGAGAGAATACATACTGTTCAAAGGTTTGAGCTTGGTAAGATTTAAGTGTTTTTGAAAGTGTCTAAAGGCTGCATTTCTTTGATCAAAAATATAGTAAAAACAGTAATACTGTGAGATATTCTAAGAGTTTCAAATAACTGCTTTATATATTAATAGATTTTCATCATCATTATTCCAGTCGTCAGTGTCACATGATCCTTTCTCCCCAGAAATCATTCTAATATTCTGATTTGCTGCTCATGAAAAATATTTTCATTAATGTTGAAAACAGTTGTGCTGCTTAATATTTTTGTGGAAGCAGTGATGCATTTATTTCACGATTCTTTAAAAAATGGGAAGTTAGAACAGCAATTTTATTTTATTACTTTTATATTATCATGATGAATTTACTTTCACTTTTGATTAATTTAATGCACTTTTGAATAAACGCGTTAATTTCTTAAAGAAA